TAAACAAATCACTTCGTACAAAATAATATGATATAGTGCTTGAGTTTTAATAATCTCTCTTCTATATATTTTTTTTCTGTCTCTTCCTTCGTCTGTATCTCATTTCCACTGGAAAAGATGTATGTGATATAAAAAGGAGGAGCATCATCAAATTTTAAGTGCACATATATGTATATGTGAATTTAATTAGCTTGTGATTTCATCGTTGGAAATCCATAAAACATTTTTATAGCAATTCTTGTGTGTTATATCAAGCATGAGATAAAGCATTTGAGCTTTGAAAATTTTCAATAGAATATTATCTGATAAACGAGCTTCAATAGATGCATTATTTGATTTCCGCATAAAAATTACCCATTTCGAAATTTGAAAAAAAAAACAACACACACACATACACTGACCCAAATCTACATAGCATGGTATGTATACGAGCTCACAAAGACCAATAATATCTAAAGCATCGATCTCTGTGTGTGCCATGAGCGTTCGAGCGCTTTAGGTTTTCAAACGAGATACGACAGGATGAGTACACGATTTAGATGAAAATCCAATGTATCGCCTGTGGCACACAAACACAATTATGTAAAATAATAGATGGATATTCAAATCTTGGAAGATTTGCCGAAATCACTTCGGATAGATCGATTTCAATTTTAGATTTCATGTAGGTTAATGTAGTGTTTTTACTTTTTGTATGTAGGAACAATTTTCATCGATAAACTGCTATTAAAATGGGACAACTCAAATCTTGGTCAAAAAATGTATATTACTTTATGGCAACAAACTCGCAGCAAATGGTAACAAACTCGCAGACTCTTCTAAAATTTACTAAATTTTGAAAATATGTCAAAAGTAAAGATAAAAACGTTTCAAAAAGAACACACATGCCAGTGGCTCTCGAATAACTCGAATGTATGACTTCCAATTGAGCATTTATTTATTTCTTTATTTGATTCGGTATTTGTTCAGAAAACATATACATGCTGCCCGAAGGCCAATTATAGTTGTTTTTTTTTTACATTTTCATCCTTAAATCTATGTGTATATGAATAAAAAAATATCATCATAATTATTAACTTCAAAATTCCGAAATTCAAATAAATATGTAATTTTATAACAAAGTAAGATAAAAGAAAAAAAAAATAACATTTGCATACATCACTATGATTTAATTAAATACTTTTCGAAATGTATGCTAAAATTTTTATAAGATTTTTTTTCTAAGATTTTTTTTCTCATGTGCATGTTAGTGGCTTGACCTGTTTCAATTTATTGGACCCATTCTTCATTCGAATTTTTTTTATTTGTGACCGAGATTTGAGTTGTCCCATTTTATAGCGGTTTTTCGATGCACACAGTGAAGAATGGTTCAGATTTTGGGTTTTTCTTAAAAAAAGAACCAAAATTAAGATATCTTAAACAAAATTTATTTTCTTCCATGCAAATTTCCAAAAAAATTCGTTCAAAATATCTTAATTTTGGTTCTTTTTTAAGAAAAAAAGAATCCATTTTACCTAATATCTGAACCATTCTTCCCTGTGTGTAGATACTCAAAAAATTGTTTCTATGTAAAAAAAAAAAAGTAAAAACTACATTAAACTACATAAAACCTATAATTGAAAATGCCTAATCCGAATTCATTTCAGGCTTTGTTATGCGCTAAATCCATCACGCTGAATAAATTCATGCAAAAGATTTATGCGATAAATGTGATGCGCTCGCTTTGCGGTGAACGAAATATGTTGCTCTTCACTACCGCTTAGCGATGCGTTCACTGCAAAGCATGAGCGTTCAAGCGTGAACAACTGAAGAGCAACAGACTTCGTTTACCGCAAAGCGAGCGCATCACATTTATCGCATAAATCTATCGCATGAATTTATTCAGCGTGATGGATTCAGCGCATAACAAAGCCTGATTCATTTTGGCTTATCTTTAAAGATTTGAATACCCATCTGAAGAAAAAAAAAACGAAAAATAAAAAAATTCGGAAATTCTCCTGAACCGTTTGAGTGTATGCGAATAAATTACTTGTTAGAAATACGGCAGCATTGGAACATGCTCAATAATTTTCCATGATATTGCACGGGAAATGCTGGGCAGTCGCCGCATTTGTGTTTCATATTCAAAATAACTCACTCAACTCAATTTTAATGAGCTCCAAAAATCGAACTACACGGTCGGTACATACAATACACAAACACGGTCGGTTCGGTTTGGTTCGTCAGAGTGCACGTCCAGTGCAATTTATAAGGGAACATTGGCTAAGATGGACACCACTTTGAATTTTGGCTATAAAATTTTTATATTTGCATATTTCTTGAATTTGACAATAGGGCTCGAAAGAGGATGGAAAATGAAAACTTTTTGCCGAAGAGAGTTTTTCTGTTGAAGTGCAAAAAAAAATTTTATCGCAAATTTTCCGACCATCCGAAAACGGTCAAAAAAAAATTGCATTGGCTAAGATGGACACCCATACAAATTAATTGCAAAAATTTGTTCAAAAAGATTAAAATTTGAAAAATATGACGAATATTTGAATTACAATGCCTATTTCTATGAATTAATTCAATTTTCATTAATTTATAAGCTTTCAACACAAAAAGTAAAGGTAGTAGGGCATTAAAAAATTTATTGGCTAAGATGGACACCCAGAAAATCTCGAAGGAGGTTTATAATCGATATACCTTTTTGGTCACTAAATGCATTAAAAACGTGATATATTTGGATAAATTCGCTTTTGAAGTGCAATTGGATTGCTTTAATCATGATATTAAGACATAAAAATCGAATCTGAGTACAAAACACAAAAAAATCTATGGGTGTCCATCTTAGCCAAAATACGTTATTTTGTGAATGACGCCAAAAAAATTTCCATGATGAAAAAACATCAAAACTCAAGTGGTATGATGGAATTAGAATAGAAAACAAAACATTTGATACATTTACCTTCCAAACTTTTCGAAAAAAATTCACTCCATGGTCCTATCAAAGGTGTTCAGAAAAAAGAATTTTCGAGAAAATTTTTGTCGAAATTTTTTTCACAGACACAGAGTACGTTTTTGCTCTTCGGAACCACACCAAAAACTAGCTCACAATGAATGATCAACTGGACGCTGATCAATTTGACATTTGAACGTCATCTGTCAAAAATTTGACTTGGTGTCCGTCTTAGCCAACTGTCCATCTTAGCCAATGTTCCCTTATTACAATACAGTTATTGATGTGGCCTGGCATGTGCAGTGTTCAATATGTAACATAGTGCATAAAGTGCTTTATGCAGTGTGCAATGCATGCCATCCAGACCATTGGAAAATGATTGAAAGAACTCAACAATAACTGAATATCGGTTAAATGCACCGCACGAAATTCGAACTCCATTACAAGAACAGGGTACTTATTCGAGATTTTCGCAAAACTTTTATCAATTTTTCATTTTAATTCAGTCTCCTTTCTTTTACGGACCGAGGCAGAGGGAGAAAGTGACACGGCTGTGACATTATCTTCTCTTGAGGCCACTATGTTACACTTGCATTTTGAATAAAACAAAACGGGTGTGCGTCACTCATCACGAACTGCGGAATAACTGGTCTATTAAATAAGTTTATCTGAATGAACGGAGGAATAGACAAAACTTTGCCCGTACTCAAAACAAGTGACATTTCACATTGAAATAGATTGTCGTGCTCAAAACTAAAACTGAAACTTGTTCGCGTTGGCTTGGGATGTTCGCCACTTGCAACATATAGATGCACACAATTTGAGCTTTTCTTTCTCATTCTCTTTCTTATGCCACTGCTCGGTCGCGCGCTCTCTCTCTCTCTCTCTCTCTTTCTCCTATGGTTGCTTGCACCGACTTTGGGCTATGTGTGTACAACAAAAAGGTCAACATAATCTGTCATGGAAGAGTCACTCAGAATGTTGTTGATACATTCGTTTTACGTCGGCAATCCTGAAATGATATACATCCCGATCCATCCAGCATAAAGGATGTTCATTCATTTTCGGAATGTGTGTTGTGTGCATCGCTTGAGCGTGCGGTGCGGTTTTCGTCATATGGAAAACCGCCGCATGTGCCTCTCTCTCGTTCACAGTAACATCATTCAAACCCGTTACATGGAGTGTATTGAAAAATCGCTTTCGCCATGGAAAAGGCAACAAACACACAACGCCAAATATGCTTTCTCTCTGTCTCTCATCTCGTATGTGTCTATGTTACTGTTGCTATTGGTATTCCATTTCGCTTGGGGTTTTCTTTGTGTACTGCGTACTTTATTCTCCGCCGCCACTGCTGCTGCTGCTGCTGCTGCTGCTGCTGCTGCTGCTGTTGCTTTGGCCCTCTCTCACTCACTGTGTGTTCGACTCGTCGGTTAGAATTGAATCGAACACACCATCCCCATTCACTGTTATCTATCTAGTTTCGTCCGTGTGCAGCACACTCAATGAAAATTGGTTTGTTCATTTTTGTTGTGTATATTGTATTATCATTTGTGTCTGTGTTTTGCTGGATGAACGAACTTTTTGTGTTGAATACATTGTTTGTGTTTGGCTCATGGTTTCTCCTCATCAACTGAATGTGAAAATTTTCAGTTGGGATCGAAGTTTGGAGTGAACTAGACGGATACGAAGCGCTTTCGGTAGGTGAGATTTGTGTGTGATAACGACACTCGTTGTCAGTCGATGTACTTTTTAAAATTCAAAATTCTCGGTCTTTGGATCGAGATAGAGAAACTGTTTGACGTTACAATCGATTTTAGTATTTGCGTGAGAATGTGAAGTAAATTGAAAAGATGAGCATAACTTAGATTCATTTTGATGATTTTTTAAGTGATTTTTTGCAAGAATTTTTTTTTCTCAATCAATCGCAAAAGGAAATAAAACTTGAAACATTTTAATGTTGATAATAATTTGTGATTTGTTTTAAATATTTTTTTTTTTTGCTTTGGAAAATAATTTTTTTTTGAACAAAATTTCGTTTTCTCGAAAAATATAATTATGATCTCTTGATGTTGTGGTGCCGGTATTTTTGGATCATACTAAAAAAAAACCAATTCAAATGTGAGGTATCGATCTGGAAAAAAAAGTTATGTGTCATTCTACATTGTTGATGGATTTTGGTTTTGTGTCAGTGAAATGTCCAAAGGATTAAAAGCATATATAAACCCGGTTAACATTCCGTAAACGTGAATAGGTGAAAAAGTGCTCATCGAAAAAAGATAAATTATGTCAGAAAAAAAAATATGATCCTAATGAATATGATAAATGGTTGTAAACAAGAAATTTGTCTCACTGCAGTCTATTGCAATTGAAATAGTTCAATGTCCGTATAAACGATTTAAGTCAAACTGTCAAAACGATTGCAAAGTTTATACTAACGCATTTTGCTAACCAAATTGAGTTGATCGTTACAACTTTAACGTGTGTCTGTTGTATCGGTGTGTGTGTGTGTGTGTGTGTTTTGTTATTATAACTCGATGTGGAATTTTTTTTCGACAATATTATAAATACACTGACACAAAATGATTTATGATGTGATGCGAATGTGAAAATTGTTGTTTTTAGTCTATTGTTTCAACACGAAAATTTCCTAACTTTTGTCGTTATTCTTTTACATGAAGTTGTAAAGTTTACCTTCGTCTTGAGTAACGAAAATCTAATTGTTTAACCTGTGTGTATAAAACGGTGCACATCGTTGAATGTTGTTGTTTTCTTCTTCTTCTTCGCTCTGTTCTTCGCAACAACGGCTTAAGCGAATAAACAGTCTAACTACTGTTCGCTTTTGAATTATCCATGTTACAATTGCGTAGCACTATGCTTTTGCAATTCTCGGTCTTTGTTGAAGAGATAAACATTTTCACGAAAAGTGACAAACAAAAGAAATTCTTCTTTATCGTCGGAAATTCTTCTTTTTTTTGCTTTATTTCGCTATATTTTCTGATGCGACTTCAAATCATTTTCAAGTTAGTTTTTTTTCCTTCTTCTTTTGTTTGCTCGATTTTATATCATGTATTTTATGTACCGCTATATAAAATATTTTGTCGGGCATAACCAAATGGACAAAAACAAACAATTCACCATGTTTTCATTGAATTGCTGCCAAATGTTGCTTACATCCACTTACATAAAATTCCATCTTTTCGATACACACAGAGAGCATAGGAATTCGATCCAAGAAATGCATTTACCTGCAAAAATCAATGTGCAACTACTTATATGTGCTGGTAAGTATACGATATCGAATTCATTTAACCATTGACAAAGGGAAGGGCTTCTTTCATCTCGTTACAAACGGTGAACAAAAAATATCGATACAATATTCGCTCGGTTTCTTGCCTCAATTTTCTCCTTCATTCAGACATGTTGGAGGGAATTTTCCATTAACAACGAATTTGACAATTAATCAACTATAAGTGAGAAAATAAATGGGCTAATATTTCAGTACGTACTCGCGTAAGATACTCGAAAGGAATAAAAACTGTTCAGTCCTTTTGAAATGGAGCTTCATTTTTCATCATGTCTTTGTTGAAAGCTTTTTCCAGATGTACAGGATTTCGGTGGCTTACAATTGATATTTGGGATGGCCCAAAGACAATGCATGAAGTGATTATTTTATACTAAATTCTTTACACAGCCATTTCTAATATCCTTGTGAAATGTCAACGGAACAACATTTCCGTTGTGAACGTTATAAAAAAAAATCCCCGGCGTTTTTTTGTTTGTATTTTTGTAGCATAAAAGATAGAAAGGGAGACGGAAGATGCCAAAATGTTAGTGAAGATCGAGTTTATGCCCAAAGGCATGCCCATTATCCTTGTTACATACACTTTTTTATTGTGAGGGACATAAACAATATTGGGTTTATCTTGGCGACTTAGAGAGTCAAAGTAGATTAATAAAGCTCACGAATGCGAATGCGAATGCGAATACGAATTCAAATCGATTTGCTGGCTCAACAAGCAGACGAATTTTTTCCTTTCTGCATTGCAATGCTGACGCTGAGTATGGCATCTCGTATAATGCCCGAAGCTTACTAATGTTGTTGATAACGGCAAAAAGTGATGAGGCTTCAGTACAAGCATCAAGTAAGAATTTGAGCTCAACACTTTGTGGTGTTAATACTGCGTTTTATACGGGGGATGGTTTCATGTTTAAAGGAATTGCTTTAGTAATCTGATTCCACTGGAGGATGAGTATCAACATTTCAGTTTGTGCTAAACCGATACGTTGAGTTGAAATGAAAAAAAAAGTAAATATGTTTACAAATCCAACGAAGAACCGACGGAATTGTATTAATGTTCAAAAATTAAATAAAACATCGAAATAACTAGCTTTTCCGATAATTCAAAAACAAATAACCATTTCGAGCGAAAATAGTTTTCATCGCTTTCTTCTCAAATAATGATTATATCATTTTGATCGATTTCAGTTTTTATCGTCTCACATTTCCCATGCACTTACATGTTTTTTTTTTTTTTTTGTCTCTCTCGTTTCTTCTTCATCCATTTCATATTCTCACATCGGCATAATAATCGGTTTGCATATTGTCCACACAACAGAGATATTTTATGTAACAATCGCATCACTAGTTGATAATGGAGTCCAAGCGCCGCTGTTCCAGCAAGAGCCAATCTCCGAATTGGTGTTTAGTAATGAGAGTGGTTCACTCGTGTCATGTTCAGCTCATGGGAATCCAACGCCTGTTGTGACATGGGTTCAAAAAGATACAGGCACACCAATATCATCGGTGCCTGGCTTAAGGTATAATTTACACACATACCATACATACACATAATCATAAAATGTATATCTTCAGTTATCTCGCCCGGTTCGAGTCTCTTGCTCATATTTATAAATTTTTTTTTATATGAGGCTTTTCTATCACATAATTCGAAATTTATATTATATTATGCTTTATTTAAATGCTATTGCACAAGAGAAAAAGAAGAAGAAGAAGCTGATTGTGTTTCTTGAAAGCAAATTCCGTTTATTTCATCAATTATTTACGTTGTTATTTCAAACTAGATGCACTGTTTAGTTAATCCAAAACTTATGTATTTCAAACTCAATGCCGATGAAAGCATTGCATTTGAAATGAGCAACTATTTATTAAAGAAAGTGTGTGTTTTGTGGAAGGATTTTTTTTTTCCGTTTAAATAGCACAAATAATTAGAAATGTTATAATTCATTGGTGATCCGCTTAGCTTCCTGAAATAATAATGGAATTTTCGTTTCGCTTCTTCATGCTAATATGTAGGCAAATTTTGCCGAATGGAACACTTTATTTTCCTCCATTTGCGGGGACATATTATCGAGCCGATGTTCATGAGACGGTATATCGATGCAAAGTATCGAATCAGGCGGGCACAATATTAAGTCGTGATGTTCATATCAGCGCAGGTATTTTTCAATATTTGAATCATAAAAATCAGCTTTTGCGTAATAAAATAATATTATAAGTATTTATTGCTTTCTACTGTGCATTTTCAATTTCATACATTTGTATGCCATGAAATGATGACTTATTTCCAAATACACCACATTATCAATGTTTTTTTTCCTGCTCAAGATTGATACGCCATCTGGCTAAACATACATAGACTTGATTTATTGAAAACAATATACTGTAGTAGTAGATTAGTGTGTAGTGTGTAGATGGCGTATCAAACATGAATTGGTAAAAAATATTTTTATGAAGGACAAGCACCAGTTCGGACATAGAAATATGTAAGATAAATATGCAAAGTATAGACGCGTACGGACGACCGTGCGACGAACGTATCAACGGGAGATCGTGCATTGCGAGACGCATGCGTAAGTGTGTGTATGAATACAATACACAGCAAACAACGATGGCTCTGTTGATACGTTCGTCGCATGGTCGTCCGTACGCGTCTATGCTTTGCATATTTATACTGTATAAAACAACTAGGTATATTTCTATGTCTGAACCGGTGCTTGATAGAGGTGCACACCATATGGTGTGAAAAATTATAATCAATTCGAAAGTGTTTTAACTCGAATCAGCCGAATCAAATTTTGTATCTTCAATTTTATTGAAATAATTTATATTTAAGTACCAAGAAATAAAACTGTATTTTTTTAAAAACATCGGCTAGAAAAGAAAACCGATTTATTTTTATACTAAACCCAATATTTCATCGGTTAGCGTATTATTTTATGAAATATTACATTCATGAAGCTATTCCTCTATATAAATCATTCAAAAGCAAAATTCTTTGAGGTGATCCGATATTTATCATGATTGAAATGGAGTAACCTCTAGGTGTTATCATATGGCACCGCTGGGCTGATTCGAGTAAATCAACAAATTTCCTCAAATGAGTGGGGAAAAAAATGGAAAATTTAAAGGCGAAAAATGATTTAAAAAATACATTAAAGAAATAAATTGTTAAAATGTTAATTCATTCGTTCAGTAGACAGCAAATAATTCGGCTAATACAAAATGTCGTGTGTATTTGCTATTGTAGTTGTGCGGCAGCCATATGACATAAGAGTTGAGGGGAATGAGGTGTTTATGGGAAATGTGGCATTTCTGCGGTGTGTACTTCCAGAGCATGTACGAAAATTTGTTGTGGTATCATCATGGTTTCGTGGCGATGAAGAGCTACTTGCCGAAATAGCTGACATGGGTAATGCTTTTTAACTTAGAATTTTCGATTCATTTGTTTAACCAATGTATATTATACGATTGCGTTTATTTCAATCGATGTGTGATAATGCGTTCAAGTAGTGTGGATATAAATGATTCGACATAAAATTTAATTTCCAAGAAAATAAATGGTAATTATTAATTTGTTTAGGCGGAAGATATTTTGTGACATCAACGACCGGAGATTTATACATCCGTTCGGTCAAATCGGACGACAATTTGAAAAAGTTTGCATGTCAAACATTCAATAAAATAACCCGGGAGCGAAAAATCAGTGAACCTGTTCATTTATCTGTGAAAGGTATATTGGTCAAGTTTTTAATTGGCTTTTAAAATATCGTATACTTTTTCTGTGTATTCACATTGACATTTGGTGTTTTACTGTCGAAATTATACGAAAAAAAAAATGCAACGATACAATTCGATTTTCAGATATAACCACCAATATGGCGCCAACAACAAATCAAAAGCCAGTGCTAAATATGTACGTCGATCACGGTAACGATATTCATTTGCCGTGTAACATTCAGGGAAGCCCACTGCCATTCTACGCGTAAGTCATTCGTCATTCATTTGTATTATCCGTTTTTTTTGTCCCTGTTGCTGTTGTCTCTTGCGAGCGAGCAAAAAAATTCGAAAAGCTTAAAGGATTAATGCAGTACAACTTCATATCGATTGTCGATAATTATTGAATCGTTTATATTTTTCTAGTTGGTATCGTGTGTCAGATTCGAACGCACTGTATCCGGTACCATCATCACAACGAATCATACCATCAAATACTCTACTCTACATAAGAAACGCTGACGAACGTTGCGCCGGCCGATGGGTAAGTTCGCATTTATTAATACGAAGCGTATGAATGAAAACAGAAAAATGAAGAAGAAGAAGAGGACGAAAATAAAGAGAGAAATACAAGATGTCCCTAAGGAAATCATTGGGATATTCACTAAATTCTCTCATTACGCACATTCTTTGAACTTTTACATTAGATGTGTTCCATTATCATCCTTTTTTTCCACCCATCTACCATCGTTGTTGTGCTAAAGACAAGAACGACACGTACCGTAGAAAAAAGTTTTTGGCCAAGCTAAGCATATTTATTTAATCAAACACAACCCAATTGGTTCGGCTCTTTTTATATTGTACATATACTCATACATAAATACATCAGTTAGGCTATTATGAAAAGATCCACCGTCATTATTCATTAGGTCAAACACATTTTTAGCACAATATTGTCGATGGGGTGGTGTGCTGACTGTTTTATTTGACAAAGAAAATGCTAAAATTGAATGCGTTCGGCATTTTGGGGCAAAACAACTAAAATAGCCAACGACTCATCCATATAACTTCTTCTAATATGTGCTGGTGGTGATGGTGCGTTTTCAATCCATCTAGGTGTGTAAAGCAACAAATCAATTTGGTGAACAGCGTGTGGAGATCCGTTTGCACGTCAAAATGGTTTTGTCTGTGCATATTCAACCGCAAGTGCAAATTGTTAACTCGGGTGGAACAGCTATTTTCAATTGTTCGATAGCTGGAACTGGTGAAGAAAAGATAGATTGGTATCACAATGGAATTCTTGTTCTACCGGATTTACCGGTATCAAATAATAAGTAAGTATTATGTTGCTCAAACCATTTTAACGGGTGAGTTCGTTTCTTCCGAATCTTATTCTCTAGCATATGAATGACAGCTTTGAATGGGAAAGAGAAATGCTCACTGAATCATGAAATCACAGTAACAGTTAGCGTAATATGGTTTCAGATACAGGGCGCTTTTTTTCCCCTATTCGCTTTGCAATTATAATTGTGTTCGCGCTTACGATCTAACTGGTATTTCAATGAATAATTTCAACATATTTTTGATCTCAGCTTCATCAAAAAGTCAATTTGTGTAGCATATGAATCGCATTAACCCATGTGTGTATGTGTGTGGGCATCCTAACATTTCATTTTCATTCCGTTGCAGAATTAAATTGCTGAGTCCTTACTCTTTGGCCATCTATGATGTGGGTCGACGCGATAAAGGCATGTATCAGTGTTTGGTTGCAAATAAGGAGAGCAGCGCACAAGCAGTTGCCGAGTTAAAATTAGGTGGTAAGTTTAACAAAAAAATCTCCATATTATTAAAGGAATAATATACTTTTATGTGCCATGCAGATTCAGTTGTATCGTAAAAATAAAGAAAGTTTTACTATAACCCTGCAATCTGTTTCATTCAGTTTCCTTCTATCTCATTTTATCTCTCGCTCAAATTAATGCTAGTCTCACTTTCGCTTTTTAACGACATTATTTTACTTTTCAACCATAACAGAAATTACACCGGAAATTATTTCAACGTTTAATGAACAAATTGTACGCCCCGGTCAATTCGTTTCATTTAAATGCACTGCAACTGGTTCACCACCACCACAGGTAAATAACAGAATTTAAAAAAAAAAAATTATTGTGAAATGTATATAAACCGCTCACTACTTGTGTGAATAGTTGTAGGCAATACCGAAACCAAATAAATGTATCCATTGCAGGATGAAGCCATTTTCTTACATTCCTTATTAATGCCATTTTTTTTTCTTCTTGTTACTCGAGATATTGAACACTCTCTTGAGTACCATGAGAATTTATGTTCGGATTGAAGAAGGAATGGGCTTGCTTGTCTGCAACAATTTAAAAAAAAAAAAAAAGAGAAATTTATCCATTTTATATATAGGTATTTTCCAACTTAATTTATTCCATTATTTTGCTCTTTACTTTTTCAGTTCATATGGCAATTGGACTCGCAGCCAATCATCGAAGTTTCTTCACTTGCACGATATGCAATCGGCCAATATGTGGATATCTCGGGTGATGTCATAAGTCATTTAAATATTACGCACGTGCGACCCGAAGATGGTGGCCTTTACAAATGCGTTTGCAGTAATTCAATGGGCACTGCTGAGTACTCGACTCGACTCAATGTTTATGGTGAGTTGACACAGAGTATTACCATTCATTTTTTCTTCTCCTCTTTCCCACATTCTCTCCAATTCCACTTACAAATGTTTACATACTTAACATTCTTTTTTACTGCTTCAAATGTTAGATTATGACTTTTAAGATGGCTTATTAGGAACGGTATCTTCTTGAAACATTATCATTACATTCAGCCATACATTCTTTATCTTGGCGTAGTTTGGCGAAGAAAAACTTTTTTTTTTTGTTTGAATTGGGTACATAGTACAAAAGAAGAGAATAACATATGCATTCAACTTTCGTTCGAATGTTGTACTTCATATGTAATTTCCATAAAGCGAAGAAATAGAAATGTCTAATGCTGTGTGCATGTTGTTGAATTCTACAGATCGCATTCTCTCTCTACCTCTTCCTTCTCTCGATTCTTGGGTGATTTGTACATGCACGGGCCTCCATCCATGTCATTCATGCGGGGGAAAAGTGAAATTGAATTTTTTTTTCCCATTCGTTGTTGTCTGATTCCTACTTCCAAAAAAGATTTCTGATGTGCCTGCATATGACACGAAGTCGATGCCAGTATAATAGATTGAACAATGCCATAGCAATCTACGTGCTTTCAAACAATTTTTGGTTTTGGCAAAAGTAGAAAAAAAAAGCTTGCACGCATCAACTGATTTTCTTCCATTTAAATTGTTCAATATAATTGTTGGACACGCTAGCGCAAAAACGTTGCTGAAATTGATGTTAGAATATGTTTAATATAGAGACATAAAGTGAGATGACAAGATGGGAAGGAAGGGAGCGAGAAACGAGACGACCGAACAGTTTGAGTTCAATTTATTTTTGCACCAAAAAGTCAAATCGTAATGTTGATACAATTGATTTTGGCATCCCTCTTCATTTCTGATTTCATAAATTGAGAACTCACAAATGTTCGGAAAAATTGTAAAATGTAATTAAATTCGAATTGCAAATTAGTGTTCACATAACGGAATGAGAGAAAGAGTGGGGAAGAAAACGGCATACAGAATGGTAACATGTATGTATGCATGTATGCACGCGGCTAAATAGTTGTGGAAATGAGTTCTTGTGGCTTGTGTTATGCATGTATGTGTATGTATGAGAGTGCGAGTGTATATCGCGCTCGAACAAAAATCGTCTGCACCACAAATTGATGTTTGATGGTGTATCCTTTACAAAATCTACCATATTTGCTGTATAGAAGGTGAATTCGATTCGAAGTTTTAGCGCGATGTAAATAAATTTTGGCCGGGGCTGACAAATGATATAACATGATATGATATGATGTAGAAAATTGTATATGCAACAGTGCGTAAATGTGTGTAAATTAATGATACAAAATTCTTTCACCAAAACAAACTGATATTATATAGTGCTTTTGTCACTCCATTTGTGCTTACATTGCTCACTCATGCTTATTGAGATGGATTCAATTATTGTTGCGAACGTTCGTACGAGTTATGTAACGCAGCACAAAACGTCCGACCATACCAAACCAAACGAAGCTTAACTAAATATATATATATATTTATTTTTTCAACAAACGGAAAGCCACTTCGGCACATACACCCATTATATACACTGCCGCTATGTACTGTATATGCTTACCAAATGTATCAACTAAACCAATAACAATACATGCCGATATGTTTGCATTTTATTGGAATGATGCTCTCTATACAACCGGTTTACTACCTGATCTTGCTGATACACGGTTTGACTTTAGGGTGGATGGAGAAATCGTGCACGCTTCAACAATAATCGTCGAATTTCTCGCCGTTTCAATCGACATTGTCGACATGTGGCCGCTTCGTCCTTGGTACCCGCGGAAGGATTGGGTCTTTGTATTTTGCATTGACACCGTCAATTTCTTTTATTACATTTAGCGAATCTAATTTTTGTGGTAGGCGGAAAGCCGATTCTACACTTCAATGCACCCATCGATAAGAAAGAAGTTTCGATATGGGCTTATGTTTGTTCATGTTAAATAATCTGCTAAACACTTTCGAAAATATATGAAATATTCAAATGATGCCGAAAGACATCGGTGAATGTTCCAGAAGATGATTGAAATTCTTTCATTATGTTTGTAAATGTTCCGAAAAGTGACACAGAGTTCCAATAATATTTGAAAATTTGGACAGATGGATTCATTTATTCCCAACAAATGTCGCAAAACAGAAATGTTTTGGCGCCACAGCTTTGTTCTCCTACTTCTATTAGTTGTTCCTTGCTTTAGGTAGAACGTTAAATTGTTGAATCACCCTAATGTAGATTACACATACAGCACATGACACATAATTGCTTGCATTTGCATTCCCAATTATTCTACTGACTATCGGTTTTGTACATTTCGTATCATAGTAGAATGGCAAACGAAAGACTGTGCTTTAGTTGACATAAACAAAATTACATTACGAATTTATGTACTCGTTTCCGACTATAATGTTTGAATAGATGCAAAACAAATTGCTGTTTACGTCCACATCCATTCGCTCTCTCATTCACTCACTTGCTGGTGCAGTAGAGAACACAAAACTAGTGTATAGTTCCATAATTGAAGTTATATACGTTCACTGAATGCTATATTAAGTGACACTTTGTGGTAGATTAACCCCTTAATTTTAACATCATTTTAGGTCTCTTGTCACCAGCACCACAATGGTACATAGTTTATACATGCACACAAGACACGGTGTGAACATAGCAAATGGTTGACATCTCAGCTCTATTGCAAAGATATTGTATGTGTGTCTGTGAGTATGTAAGTATGGGAGTATGTGAGTTAGTGTAAATGGGTGAGAGAACGAGAAAGTAAGTAAGTGAATGAAATAGTGAACTACTGCAGCACCAATAAGATAAGGGGTTCCATAAAAAAAATCCACATCAAAAATGTGCTCAAAATGTTCTCTATATTAGTATGGCTCACACGAACAACACCAACTTCACATCAAATTTGTGCTCATTTTGGGTGTAAGTTAGACTTTCACACCAAAATTTCCATACAAAACGAGCAAATCTTTGATGTGGCTGAATGGGGTTAAAGGGATGTAACAACTTTGAAAATAATCTACTGTGAATGATACTTAATGTGGGGCTTTTTTTTTCCCTTTAAATGTGTCATAAATCCTTAATTGAAGTGTAAAGGAAGATAAAATGTGTAAACGCATTCGACGTCGCCACCACTGACGCCATCGCTGTAGCCTATGTATGCATAGGACTGATCAAAAGGAAGCTTATCGTATTTAAAATGTAAAAGTGGATTTGAACTCGGAATTGATTGTCGCTGCATTGATTTAGAAAACCAAATTTTGAGCTCTTTACTACTTATCGTGGTTTGCATTCGCTGATGGCATCTCTTCTTGGCCATCCGATGTTTGGATCCAGATGAGTTTCGTGCATGTTGCGTGCAAAATGATGAAAACGAGTTTTCGTATTGGTGCTTTTTCTGAGATTAGTTTTTGATTGAATTTGGTATTCACTTGACACGAGCCAAGTTACTCCGTTCGCCGATTTATTTGAATAAAATAATGTGATCAAATATGTTGTTCTGTAACTTTTACAACACTGTATAGATATTTACTTTTTTTTTCGTCAATCGCACCTCACTTTTAAAGGATGAGAATGAAGAGATGTTGTAAAGGGCGTTTTCAGTAAGGATAATGGTACATACTTGAAAAGACGATAACGCTATTTCTTCAATTCAATTTTCCAACTCTTATTCGGACCCTTCGAAAGAAGTTCGAGTAAAACATGTTCGTCTGTGCTTTGTGAGTTTCATTCCAACAGATTACATCGCATGAAGTATGCGAAATGTTCAAACTATTTTCTCAACCGGACAATGTTATACATTTTGATGTAGGACTTTTCTATTTCACATGCAGTGGACGAAAAAGAAAATCATCACCCATTTCAAACTAAGTGCATTAAAATGAATTTTACGATGAATTGTTTTATTTTTTTTCCTCTGTCTTTATATATACACACATGTACGATATGTTATCTGTTTCAATCTCGCGTTTGAAAGCACACAATCTCATTTCCTGCTTTAAAATGGAAACTAGATGCCGATAAAATTCAAACTATAAATAAAAGATATCTGCAGCCGGTAGCATTTCAATTCGAAAATACATTTTTATACGAACACAATTTTCGTAACGTTTTTAACGGTCCGATCATGGAAAATTTAACACTTTTGTTGAGTTTCCGGTAAATCTTCTTGCATTCATGTTGGAACTAAGAGCATAAGAGACCGGATGCAATCTAACTTTGCACCATTTTGGAAATCATATCCACTTTCACCTTTTGCATCAGAGCCTTTGATTGTCTGCTGACTATTTATGTATCTTTTAGATTATCGTGTATGCTACATGTATGATGTCGCTTTGATCTCCGCTGGTCTATGTACTCACGAAAATATATTCTGTCTTTCAGCATAGCAAATCGGTAAGAATTAGATTGCTGAGTTGCCCGGCAAAGATTTGGTATATTTTAGTTATTTGTGTGTTGTTGTTAGCCGGGATGAAAAATGTAAACAATTCTTCTCCATGCTCCACTTGAAACGTTCGAGCACATAAATAAAGGAATAATGAGGTGTATGCTATGTATATGCGGAAGAAAAAAAAAACTATTTTCCGCCGATTGCTAAAGACTCGGGCTGAACGTGATTTTGTAAAACCACAAGCATTTGTTCAATCAACATTCCTCAAAAGCCATTAACAATGCACTATGAACGAATTTTACAGAGAATGAAAAAACACATCGGGCAAAAGCAAGATAGCAGACATTTTATTGGAATCAAAAGTATAATATTAAAATGTTAATTTAAGTTTTTATGCATCTTTATGCTGATTTCACTTCGATGGCAATATCTATTGAGATCTATACATACGTATATATATATATATATATATATATATATATATGTGTGTGTGTGTGTGTGTGTGTATACAGATGCAATAAAGCGATGTGTAAACATCGCATGGAAAGTGTTCAATACGCTGTTCCTCTCTCATCGCAACGTAGCATTATAGTGCATTAAGAGTGAAATGGACTTGGTTCTAGTATTTCTCGCTTTGTTTATCTTAACTCAGCACTCGATTGCTTTCATTTTTGTGAAGTGTTTGAACATGTTCGTTCACTCGCTTACTCACTTGCTTGCCTACTCGTTCCATTCGTTCTTTAGCTCGGTGAATATCATCACCATCACCACCACCATCATCATCATCATCGTCATCGTCATCGTCATCGTCATCGTCATCATCATCACAGCATAATGCTATGCTGCAGATACATGTATTAGACGTGTGTACAATGTACATGTATACACTGAAGCGGTTTATATTCAAAAGATTTATGTCTATAAACCGAATCTTCTTCACTGTAATCCATTCGACCATATCAAAGCACACGCATTTAGAATTCGAATTATGATGGAAATCAATATTGCAAGTGAATTTATGTATCATTTCATTTCTTTTATGTCTAACAAATTGAATTTTGAATTCAATCGATGCAAAGTTTCTTAACTTATCTTTTATGCAAGTTTAATCTGCTTTCAGAGCTTACACGATGATCATGAAATGAGAATTGTAAAGTTGGAATTTCTTTTCAATTCTGGCAAAAATAGCGAGCAATAGTGTGGGAGTGTAGGGATTACAATGATATCGAAGCAATTAATATTAGCAATTTGTATGTGGTTTGACTGGGAACAGAAGGAAAAAAAAAAAACCAACCGATGCGATAGATTTCGATCTGTTGAAACATGTTAAAAACTGTTTGCTGATGAGAGTTTTGTTAGTGTACGCTGTACGCGCACAAAGCACACTCGCTTTGTTTTCGAATTACTACTTCTACCCTTGGCAAATATATTCATTTTTCATATCAACTGAGTTCAAAATAATAGAGCTCTTATTACGAAATCCATTTGAGTGTGTGCGTGCATTTTTTTTCATATTCATTTTCCATTTTAAAGTTACAAGAGCAAACAACGAATGCCAATATAATAAATGATTGGTAACATTTCAACTTTTAATCGATGAACAGTGAATAATAATTTATATAAAGTCCATTGTATTTATTATCCATTATGGCCCGGGTGGTGAGTGGTGTGTACTGTGTAGTACATTGGAATGGGGCAGATAAATAGCGCATTAAACTGCTCAAACACACCCATCAAATAAGACCAGACGACATATACACGTATTGTGCGAGCGAATATATATATATATATATATATATATTTCAAATATGGATGCACACGCAGTCCCAATCGAAGCCTCTTCGTATGCTACGTTATACTTTAACCTGTCCATTTGATACCTCATTAAAAATAAACATTGCAGAATGAAGTGTGTTCATTACAGTAACACACTAATTTCAATTTATATTCATGAATTTGCGGTACCGCTATAGTGATTGTTTGCGCAAAAGCCAATCAAATGCCTTTAGATAGAGAGGGAAAGAGCGAGAAATGGTTGTGCTCGAAGCGATATATACTAGTGGCGCAACACTTTTCGTTAACACTGCACTGCTAGTGATAAAAAGCTAAACAAGAATCAGTGAAATTTATGTGCTTTTGGGGATAGCTTTTGCCCCCAATGGGTATTAAGCGCGGCATCATCAACAACAGCAACGGCAATAGCACCCGCAACATCACACAAACATACACACAATATAAAACGCTCGATTTTCAACCAGACTTCTTGATTTCAATACGTATAGATATTGTTTCGATGGATAATCCTTGCCTTGGATTAATGGCATAACAAGTGAAAAATCTGCTAAATAAAAGATTAGACCAATTTTCATTCGTCTTCGTTTCAAAACCATTGCAAATTGGTGTAATTTACTCTGTAATGTAATTAAATTTTGAACATTGTTGTTGGTTTTTTTCCCCGCGTGGTACGACCATTTGGAGTACTTTATAAATGTCACATTTACAAGAAGTTCTACTATAGAAGAATTTTTGATTGACGATGGACAAAGAGAAATTGTCGTAAAAACGTCTTCAAATGGAAGAAATGAAAAAGTGGCAAAGCGACGATGAGACTGCATTAGATCGGTTATAATTATATGTCTAATGTAACAAGACAACACTTCAACGATCAACTATAAAAAGACTGAGTCGATTTTCATTTGCTAGCTAACAATGAGCGCACAGGATGACTGAATACTATGAATTATTGAACTGGAACATCGATGTTGTGTTTAATGGAGATACGCATAAGTGATGAAGAGCCATACACATACAAATGACCCAAAAAGCGTTCGATGTATTACTATTAGATAAATGAAAAGTTGATGTACCATTACTTATGTTAATTAGAATTTGTTATTAAATAGATAGCAAACAATTAATCTTGAGGTTTTGGGGCCGATAGCAAACCAAAAAGACATGTAGTTGCCAGTCATCTCAAATTCATTTATGCGTATTACACGTGGGCATTTTACTGCTACTATCTACAACAGCCACTATCTATGGATTGTAATATATGTATATGTGGTTGATGCAGTCGAAGAGCAGAGTCAAATAATATACTTCGGTTATATTATGTATTTTCACAATATCCATTTCTCACTTTATCGATAATAATTCAATTTAAATTTATGCGTATCTGTTTGGAAACAAGTAAATTTGCATTTTACCCAACTGCTGTTGCCATTGTTGATGATGATGATGATGCTGCCGCTGTTGGTGCTGCTCCTGTTGTCGCCATCGCAGTCGTTCCTGTATTTGATGTTTATGCTCCGCAAAAATATTCGGCATAAAATGGGCTACCAGTATATAGTCAATGTAATACATAAACTATAATAACGCTCTAAATTAACACAAAATTTCTCGCAGCACAGAAGGTTAGCAGAGAATTTAGCTTAGCTGCAAAAGATAATGGTTGTGATTGTGATTGTGATTGTGATTGTTGAAACAATGAGTGATGATCAATTTCTGGTGTATGTATTTGATAATATTGCAAACTACTTGATCTTCATATCATTTAAGATCGAATTGCATTTCAAGCAGAAATTATGCCGAGATTTTATTATTGAGGATGAGAAGATGTCGTTTTGGTACTGCGTTCAATAAATTGTTATTGCATAATTGCATAGCGTTTATTTGCTTTGAGGTTAGTAGGTATGAGAGTTTCGTGAATATGGTTGTTGTGCGCATAAAGGAGATAAAATGAAAAGTTAGAATGTAAATGTATATATGAAAGAGTGAGTGAGCGAACGAACATTCCTTATCACTATTATTTGCGGATGAATTGTGTTATCCATTGTTCAACGATATACCATCAACGGTATAAGCATTGAGCTTTCGTTTTATCCTGGCGCACACATATTTTCCATGGAAACTGTAGCAACATATTTTTTGGTAAACCGTTCAATGGATATATTTTGTGTTTCATACTCATTTTATACAATGGACGAATATTGATTGAACGCAAACAATCAATGCAAATAAATCATGCTACTCAAAATGGCCAAAATATCGCTTGAGACAATTAAATATTGTTAAAGTATTCAGATCAAAGCAAAACCGCGTTTGCTATTCGCTTCCAATATAAATTACAATTCTCGCATGTTCTCTTTTTCCCTCTCCCTGCTCCTTTCTCTCTCTCTCTCTCTCTCTCTCTCTCTTTCTCTCTCTCTGTATCTCTCTCTCTCTCTTCATATATGTACGAAATGCCAAACTGAAATTGATTTTATTTTAAAGGTTCACCGTTTGTGCGCGCGCTTAGTCCAATTAAAGCTGTGGCTGGTGATTCATTTACTATGCATTGCCCATTTTCTGGATACCCGATTGAGCAAATTCGTTGGGAGAAATCAGGCCATGAACTTGCATCAAGTAAACTAATTGATATATACACTTCTCTTTAATGTATTTCCCTCATTCTCGATCGATTCGAATAAATTTCTTGCTATTCACACCTTAACTCTCCCCCACATACACATAACAACAGGTACGAAATATGAGCTGTCTTCCGTTCAGAGTGGCGGTGCTTTGAAAATATATCAAATTGATTCTTCGCAAGATTCCGGAACATATACGTGTATTGTGAGAAACAGAGCGGGCGAAGAAGGGCGTCGAGAAATCGAACTATCTGTCAATAGTAAATTGAGCTTTCGTTTCCCTTCATTTTTTTTTTTTTGAATTATCGATAGAAGGCACTGTATTGATTTTACATTCCCAGGCCCACCGGTGATTGAACCATTTGCATTTCCAAAAAACCTGCAAGAGGGTGGTCGAGCCCAGATCACATGTGCTATAGTCTTAGGAGATTTGCCCATTGTTTTTACCTGGAAAAAAGATGATCATCACATTCCGGCCAGTTTACAAGTAAAATTCCTATTATGATCTGTTTCGGTTTATTAAAATCTCATTTTTCCATAACGGTTGGTTCTTTTAATTAATCCAGATCACGGTGAAAGGCGACGAATTTTTTTCGATGCTAGTTTTCAAGGATATTTCAGCAAGACACAGTGGAAAGTACTCTTGCTATGCATCTAAGTAATAATAATAATACTCATTTTTACCGTAATAATACTAATTTTTACCGTAAAGTTCTGCAGCCACCGTCAATCATACGAGTGAACTTTTAGTGAAAGGTAATTTGCTCACATTTATAAATGGTTAATTCGCTTTGCGTTCTCTTGTTTTTTTTTTTTGTCTTCTTTTGTGAAATGGAGTGAACATGAGTGTTTATTTTTTAATGAAAACAGTTCCACCACGATGGATACGTGAGCCACAAGATACGGTTCTGATGTTAGGCAATGCTGTCGCGATAAATTGCGATGCCGAAGGATATCCCGAACCCGAAATTACATGGCTCAAAGGCGGTATATAAGTGTTCAAATATAAAATTATATGTATACTTTACTTCCATTTTATATTTATATGCAGAGGGAAAATCATCGAAAGAATTTAAATCGATTCAGCTTCGTAATAATTCATTAACTGTCGACTATGTTACGGACGCCGATGAAGGTTATTATATGTGCACTGCAAACAATGGTATCGGTCCGGGTCTAAAAAAAATCCTACATATCAACGTAAATGGTAAGCACACAAATGAAAGAATCCAGTAAAGCTTTTTAGCATTAAAACTATTGATTTATTCATAAAATGCACATTTCGGAGAAGAAAAACGAAACAAAAAAATAAAACGATTCGGCTGTTGTTGATCTCAACAGCAAAGTGGAGTGGGCCTGTCTGAAAAGTGTTTCATTCTATTCCGAATTTAATTGGCTCTCTTTCCACGAGCTTTTCACCAACACAGACGAGAATCTGCCTCACATTTTAACTTTTCCAATGCATCAAATCGATTTTGCCTCTAACCACTATATTTCTCTCACTTTCCTCCTCCTCTCTCTCGCTCATTCTCTCCTATCATTTTCTAATTGTATTTCGCGTCCGACAGAACCAGCTCGTTTCGAAACCACTTCCAAAAATATCTCGACACGTCGAAGCGATCCAATATCATTATCGTGCCAGGCCAAAGGCGATGACCACATTAGTATTATTTGGATGCACAACAATAACCGAATCGATCTGAATAATTATCGGTAAGGCCAATGAAATAAATATGCTGTTAAAATAAACCAAAATCCCAAACCCAATTTTTTTTGCTGTTTTTGTTGTTGTTGTCGATAACAATATTGTATATGCATACCGTAGAGACGACGTACTTTTTTGTGCTTAACTTTGCGAAAATTGAAACAAATATATTCTAAATAATCTGAGTTGTTGGATTACATAGTTTTTAAATGGCAGAGAAAGTTCCGTGATAGAAAATCATTATGATATTGAGATTACAGAGACTAAATCCAATCTTATATAAATTGCAATTCACTTACTTAAATCTAATTTTCATTTTGTGCCGCACGGTATGGGGCTGCTCTGTAAAATCGCAACATCATCTTGAATTCATACATATAAACTATGCAACGGGGGATGCAAATATGTGCCTCTACCTCTGAAATCTGTATGTGTATGCTGTATGCACGGTGTGTGCTGTGCCGTGTGCTGTTCACCGATGTGCCGTGCTATGCTATACTATGCTGTGCTGTGCTGTGATGCAAACACAAATCGTCTGCAAATTCGCATTCATCGAACTGTGCAGTATTAGCATTACCGAAATGCAAACGACAAATGGAATAAATTCGCAATTATCGATTACCCATTCAGATCGACAAGATTCGGGTGTTTATAAATGCATTGCTGAAAATCCATTTGGGAAAAGCGAACATGTTATTTACGTTGCTGTTCAGGGTATGTATTGCATTCTGTGTGTTTCTCTCTCTCTCTCTCTCTCTCTCTCTCTCTCTCTCTTTCTCTCTCTCTCTCTCTCTCTCTCTCGGATTTGTACAAAGCATTATACAAATTATAAGTTTGTTGTAAACAAATCTCTACGATACGTCGGCTATGAACATACCATATTATTGTTCTCTACCTTCTCATCTCTCTACGTTCGTTGTGTTTAAATTATGTTTAATTTACACAGTGTATTTAGGCTTATTCGAAAATTGGTTTACACACAACATTAAAAAAAAAAATGGAGGAAAAAGAGAGATAGAATGAGGAGAGAGACGCATACAAAACTGATTATCACCGAGTAAATTCGAAATAGCGCGTATTAGTTTAGATTAAAAGCATCATTTGATTTATACACTAGCAAATGGTCGAAAGGATTTTTTTTGGCCAGAAAATATTAGGGTATTTTGTGAATTGAAATATGAACCAATTTTTTGTTGCTGCTTCTATTTTCACCACTAAATGGTTCATACGATGCGATCGACTTTCGATTTTTCAAACGAATTTAAAGCTCATTTACTCGTTTAGTAGATGTAAACAACATTTATGTTTCTTCCCATTCTCACACATTCTGCAGAGCAACCCGATGTGCCAATGAATTTAGAATGCCGTGGAATGAGCAGTCGGTCAGTGAAGCTGTCTTGGAAACGCCCATTCGATGGAAATTCACCGATGCTCAGCTACATTGTACAATATCAGCCCACCAAATTTGTGCATGCACATTTGTCAATATTAGATTCAGATGACCATTGGAATTCACCAAATACGATGAATATCACATTGCCAAATATTAGCGTAGGAAAAAGGTATGTTCAATTTCATAATGTTTAGAGCCTCGTTTCGTCTGGTTGTGCTTGAGCTGGTGAAATGAAAATAGACTATATTTTTCGATAACTATTGCAATCATCGTTTCAATCATATGCAGCAACGGCGCATATGAGCTTTATTTATGCGGTTATGTTACTGTTTATAATGCACTCAAATGCTTTTTGAATAATCCCAAATAGATGAACTGTCATGACTAGCAAGCACTGAAATATAATCAAACCTATATGTTATAGTATATGGAATTTAATTATATTTTTGAGCTATGTGTTTGCGTTGTCGATGTTCGAAATTCGAATACAATCAATTTAGGAAATTTTAAATGAGTGTCTGTCTAAATGTCATTCAAATTCATAGACACCATCGTGCTCATAAGTGTACATATATACATAAAATATTGATTGCCATTTCTCAACTCCAATCTCTCGAAAAAGCATTTTTTTGCGAAAGGAAACATTTATCATGTATTATTTTTATGTTTATCTATTGAATTGTGTTGACAATGCATAGTTTGATGGGGAATATGATGGAAACGGCAACTTTGGCTGGACTACATCCATCAACAACGTATCTGATTCGAATGGCTGCTGTGAATGAAATTGAAAGCAGCGGTTTTACCGAAACAATTGTTGTGCGCACACAGGAAGAGGCACCGATCGAACCACCGCAAAATGTGCAAGTACAAACCGGAGGCATTGGTGAACTGATTGTCACATGGAACTTGCCGCCGCGTGACTCCTGGAACGGAGAGCTTATTGGTTACACCGTTAACTGTACGGAAGAAAAACAAAATATCAATTACATAAGCACAAATATGTCGTTACAAAAATCGATTCAGGTTGATGGTTTTGCAACAACAAAAACGACGATAAAAAATTTGCGAACTTTTCGACGATATTCGATTATTGTGCGTGCTATTAATAGTTTTGGAGCGGGCCCATTCAGTTCACCTGTGTATGGAACGACTTTAGAGGGCGTTCCCGAGGCGCCACCACAAAATGTGAATTGCATTGCACTGACTTCGCAAAGTATTAAAATATCTTGGCTTGAGCCACCGCTTCATCAACACGGTGGAGTTATACAAGGCTATAAAATATTATACACTCCGTTGAGTTATGATGATGACATTCTGGTAACGAATGAAGTGAAAAGAACGTCTAATTTGGAAACTTATTTGCATGCATTGCACAAAGCAATGAATTATTCGGTTCGAATTTTAGCGTATACCTCATCTGGTGATGGAGAGCCATCGAATTCAATTTACTGTAAAACCGAAGACGATGTACCCGATGCGCCAGCTGCAATAAAGGCTTCAGCATTGACTGGAGACTCGATACTAGTTTCATGGTTACCTCCAAAACATCGCAACGGAATGATCGTACATTACACGGTGTATAGCCGTGAAACGGGAAGAAAAGGGCAAGCACAAACCCATATGGTACGCGTAGATGAGGATGGAAATCCAAGACAGTTCGAATCACGTGGCCTAATCGAAAACCATACCTATGATTATTGGGTTACAGCTTCAACACAATCGGGCGAAGGTGAACCCACATCGGTTGTTTCACAGGTAACAACGACCAAAGCACCGGCTCGTATCGCCTCATTTTCACAAATAATTCGAAAAGCTGTGGGCAAAAGTTTGATACTGGAATGCAATTCGGTGAGTATATGGTTTGAAATTTTGATTGATTTCTTTACTGTTGGCCTAACTCAAACAATAAATTGCGAGAAACGAGCATTGACATTTGTTTTATTACATAAATAATTGAACCCCTGAGAATGAATAATAACCTCTAGCGAAGTGCGTAGAAACAGGAACTTAAAACCGGTCGTACGCAAAAAAACAAACACAACCATATGAAGTGTCATTTTTACGTTTAGTTCGCTTAGGTTTGCATTTCATTCCCAAAGGTTCAATTGAACATTATTCTTCATTTTCATATTTTATCTTTGACATTGATTGCAATTGATTGAATTTGAATTGAAGGTGGGCAACCCAACTCCGCGAGCTCGATGGTTTACGCGTGATCGTCCGGTTACATTTAGCCCATTCTATGAAATAATGTTGAATGGAAATCTTCGCATACACAGCATTGAGGCGAGCCTTTCCGGCAATTACTCGTGTTCGGCCAAAAACCTTTTCGGCGAAGATAATATCGTTTACAAAATAATTGCAATGAAAGTACCGAATGCGCCACAAATTAATGTCCATTATTCGTCGCTCGATAGTATTCGTGTGAGTTTCGAAAGTGGTGACGATGGCGGTGCACCGATTTTACAATACACACTATCATATCGTACGGTAACGGGTGCATGGATCAAAGTTGAAATTACACCGGAAAATAATGCTTACACGCTGATTGGATTAAAATGTGGCACACAATATATCATCAAAATGTCAGCTCATAATCGCGTTGGCGACGGTCAATCAACTGACGAAATTAACATTTGGACAAAAGGCAAAAGTAAATAAATCCAGATTAAATTTTCATTCGATAGATATACTATTTTATTCAATGGAACGACGCTTTGGTAACAGGACCGAATAAAAAAAAATATTCCCACATCAAAGGGTGGCGATAGCATACATTTTTCTCATTGTTTGCATGAATCAAATAACCATGGTTTATTTTAGTTTCAATTGTGTCAAAAATGATAGAGTTTCTATATTACAATGGTGTACTCTCTTTACATCGAGAGATGAATATCATTTGGCAAAATCACTAAGCGTTATCGCTCTTATCATTTTCAAACCATGAAATGCTTCCAAATACCATCGTTTGTCGATTGCACAGAAGAAATAAATGTTTTTTGTTTCTCTCCGTTCCGCTACGCACCTCTTCTTGTTTTGGTGAAAACAGAATAAATGTGCCATATTACAGGTGCTGCTCGTTGCGAGCCAGAAGGTTTGTTTTTTTTTTTCATTCACATTCGATTGTTCAAAATTCATGAAAACTGTGATAAGTGTCAATTTACTTTTTTATAGCATTTTCCATTCGATGGTTTTATGTGCTTGTTTAACAACACCAGTTCCATCATACCCATGTAAAATCCTTCGAAAATTTGTTTGAGAAAATCTATTTTTGTGGGATTGCCCAGATTCTTGATAATCGATCGGCTAAATATGGATAATGTGCAAAATGATACACACCGTGTAGTAAATGTCGTAGTGAATGTATAAAACTGTTGCAAAGCGATTATTCCATTGGTTTATTATCTATTGGCGAATTCAGTCGAAACAGCACAGCTTCCGGCAAATTTCTTAAATTTCTCTCTTTTCATATGGACACCGATAATTTTATTCAGAGTCACAAGAGCCCGAGGAAAAGGATTTCGTTAGCACAAATTCATCATGCATTAATTTAAAACTTTCACTGTGGAACAGCGGAGGCTGCCCAATTTCGCACTTTTCTATTGAACATCGACCGCACGGTTAGTCCATCTTTTTCACTTGATACTTTTGGTTGTTTTTCCTTTCTCTCTATTTTTAAACATGTACATTTTCTGTATCATCAATTCAATTATTATGGTTATTACTATTATTTGCCCGGCATATGAAATTGCGCACGTAGACATAACATGCACTTCATTCGCATTCATTTCAACTGTTGAACATTCGCAGCGTATGAAATGGCATTGTGCCAAATGTTCTTTTGGTGATATAGTAGAATGATACTGTGTATGCAATAAAAATATATGACCAATCCAATCTGACCCATACGCATATATGTACACGGAATACAGAAATTTTCTTGTTTCTTGTTTTGTATCGTAGGCGAACTGCAATGGACTGTCTTATCATCTGATATATCCAATTCAGATGAAACTCGAAAGAATTTAGTATTCTGCGATTTTCAACCAGCTAAATGGTATCAGCTCAAGGTGTCGGCAGTTAACGATGCTGGTAGAACTACGGCTCTCTATAATGTGGCGACAACTAAATTAAATGGGGGTAATTACCGTATAAATTATTGATGACCGAGTCGAGATTTTTCTTTTTATTGTTTTTATCCGTTGTGAAGGTCGTAAAAAATGGCTATATTTTATATCAATGAATTCCCAGACCAATGGATTCATATCTCTTTATTTTCTTCTTCTTCTCATTTTTTTTTTTTATCTCTTTTTCCATCCTCTGTTTCTGTTTGCATTCCAGAGCGCATACCAACACCAGAAGTTTTTCCGGAAAATGAGTTGTCAGACAATATTACCGTAATTTCCAGTCAGAGGGATTGGCTTCCCACAACGATTGTGGGCATTATGATTTTATCCGCATCTCTTATAATGTAATTTTTACATTGCATTTAATTTATTATCTCAATCACATGCACACACACACACCTTGTTGGTATTGGGCAATTTAGTGTTTATATTGAAGACGGATACCTTATTTGAAAGTTCTAATGCAATTTTCTCCCGGTTATCATCTTTCGGTTCATTTCATTAAGCAGTTGTTTAACACTGAAACATCGTGGCTTTTGGCGTGAATCAATTTCTGGCGGACTTGAAACGAGTACCGTACCAAATGATTTAAAGGATGGATACGACAACCGACGAAACCAACAAGTTTATAGTGCGTCTCCAGTTAAAACGGTTAACAAACACAACGACTCTGGTAAATATAAACAAACATAAAGAAATTTACGTATTTGTACTTCGATAACTTGCTGATGATTCTAACACAATTATTTACTATGTGGCTTCGCTTCGTTTCTTTTCCGCAATCAACACTCTATGCCTCTCTCTCTCTCTCTCTCTCTCTCTCTCTCTCTTGTTCTCTCTATGAAGAAATGTACGAAATTGCACCATATGCAACATTTAGCGTGAGTTGTGGAAGAACAACATCCGAATTAAGTAAAACTCCGTTGCGCGGTGTAACACCGTCTGCACTTGATTACAGTGTTCAATTCAAAACTTTCGGTCACCCCGACAGCGGCGACAATCTAAATGCAGCAGCATATCCGGTTCTTCCCAATGCTGCTTTTGGTCACGTAAAAGGAAAATCCAGTTGGCAAAATCAACGCTACTACAATACAGACGGTAATTATCAAACATGAACTTTCATTTCGACGAAAATACGTTATAAAACATTCAAAAGTTTTTTGATGGAAAATTATCGCTCGAAAGTGGTAAACTTTTCCAAAGAAAAAGTGGATAATCGAGTTCAAGCCTCGGAAATGGAGATACACAGAAAATCACCGGTTTTCCAAGTATTCGTTACCATTCTCTCGTTGGTGTCAGAACGAAAGCGAAAAATATTTAACACAAATCGATTTTTTTTTCTTTCTCTCTCTCAAACTTAGCAGATGATTCAACGTTGAGCAAATCGATGACTATATTGGCGGGTAACTCGCAATTACAGTCTAATCGAAACAAAAGCAAACGAGAACTGGAAAAATGTACCAAATCAAAATCACGCAACGAAATCACCAAAGCACATCACAATGACACTGAATCCGACACAAGTGTCAGCCCAATCAATGAATTTTCGAACATGTCAACATATCGTGTGCCAACTAAATCGAGAGGAGGTAAGCGCAAGATGAATAAAAAAAAAATATAAAGAAAAAATAAAGAATATACATGTATATTAGAATTGGCGAACAATTTCATTTTCAAAAACCATAACAATGATAAAGCAAGATCGTACCGGCAAGACAAAAAGAGCAAATTTATCGGAATATTTGTTAGAAATATTCAACTTATTGGACTAGAGGATTTTGCTTAAGTTATGCAATTTGAAGTGATTTTTAAATGAGAGGGAAAGAAACAGAACAGAATAAATGCACTGTACAAACTCCAAGCTTCTAAAAAAATGACTTTTTTTTTTAAATTTAATTCACTGCATGACTTACACTTACTACCTATTTTGGATAGATATTTTTCGACCCGATTCAAGCACTGAATCAAATAATGATAACTCACCCATTGAGAGACGATCCAATACGCCACGACATGTATCGGCTGATATGCGTATGCGTCCTCGATCAAGTAAATCGCCACACGAAAGTCATTCCATGAATATGTTAGAATCAGGAAGTAGCAACAGGTAGCTCAAAAGGTGATAAAATTAGGAATGTTTCATGTAATTTGGTTGTGTATGTGTTTTTATAGCGTTTCCTTTTTACCCTTTTTTAAGAAAATGAGAAATTTCTGTTCCATTCCTCATATATATTATTTCGATTCGAAATGCCTGCTAGTAATAATTGGATGGTATCTGTTCGTTCATTAATTTAAGAGAGAAAAAAAACCGATTTAGCACTAACGAAAAGTAGCTATAGCTTAAAATGGATGTTGTTAGAAACTTTTCTAGTATTCTTTGAAATAAAATTACTCTTATTGACTAGGTTCAATATTATTTTTTTTAACTTCGAAAATTCGCTTGGCTTAATACTTTTCGTACAATTTTCCAGTATGGACAATGAGGTAGAGAGTGGAGGTTTACGTGTTCGTCCTCCGAGCGGTTTTACCGATTCTCGTGAGTTTAGCGAAGCTGATTTAGAAGTACAACAGGTAATGGAAAATAACAACGAAATTCAAAAGAGTATCCAAGACGAATTGACCTTTTTGCTAGCAAGATGAGTGCAATGAAATGATGGCCCAGCATCGCAGCGATATTTTAACATTAAGCGTGCACAACGAATACCGAGTTTAGGCCTAAGATCATTCAAATTCATTTTACGGACATAGGATAAACGGTCAACAACAACAACAACAATCATCATCATCATCGACTGAGATATTAAATCCAATGGCATTCATAAAATCTCGTTTCATTTCGCAACCAGAAACCTGTAATTCGAATTGCAGCGGTTGAAAAATACCCAATGACCAATTTGATACAGTCAACTTCAAATTATTTGTTATATTTCACTTTCAATGCAAATTTCCTAATTCAACCAAAAAATCGCAAATAAATTTTTAATTCAGACTGAATGTTTATTGTACATAAAGTATATGTTTCCGTCAAAGTGGAAATGTGTTCCTTCGAGAAAAAAAAGATCTAATAATTGAAATAAAAATAGAATAAATGCACTTCATTAAGCATAGAATCAAAATGGATTATTTGAGTATATTGAAGTATAAATTGATTGATCGAATAAACACCGAATCACATTTAAAATTGTATTTTTACTATTCCAAGCTACAATCAAGGGTGTTTTTCATAACCTGAAAAAGAGAAATGATCGACTTTTGCTATTTTCGTTCGAATGAATAGGAATACAAATGGTAAGTATCTTGCTAACTGATGATATAAAAGTTTAATTCGGTGAATTAACGGCCTGAGAAGAAGAACCTTTCCTACAAAACCTGTGCGCAGAACACAAATACAGAAATTTTTTAGTCAAAAGGCGACTAGCATGCAAACTCCGTATAAGTAGGCCTGTAATGCTTTTGCGCTCGCTGTAAATATATTAGGTTTTTACGCTCGCAAATTTGCTGTTCGCCTTTTGACTAAAAAATTTCTGTATTTGTGTTCTGCGTACAGGTTTTGTGGGAAAGGTTTTCCTTCTCAGGCCGTCAATTGGTGTATTGTTGTGCGAATCATTGAGTGAATATGCGAAGCATCTCAGATAAATCTTGATGGATGAGAAGAGCTCCAAAACGAATAAATTTCATTACTTTTGTGATAAATTTGAGTGGATTTGATGCGTTTTGAAATTTAGCCATGTTGCTCTATGCACTTGTGTATTGATTCTATATTTTTGTCATTGGAAATTTAACACAGGGCAAACTTCATATGTGTGATTTGTTATAGGCACACAAAGAAAGAGAGAAAGAGAGAAAGAGAGAGAGAGAGGGTGCACAGTGTGAGTACCAACTTTCGATTTTCTAACTAAAGTGTAATAGTTCACCCGCTCAGCTATCTCCAGTTGGCTTCTGATCAAACTTCGACTATAGCATGATTAGTTGAGCTGATAAGATTTATTTTTTTTATAGAGTATGAAACTTGCGATGATTTGTGCTAGTTGACCAAATCACTCAGATTTCATTATCGCTTCTAGCTGATAGTATTTTAGATGTGTTAAATAACAATTCATAAGTATTGTGAACCGTCCGGAATAAAAGGGAATCCTTAGTGAGATACATGAGAAATAGACACTGCATAATGTTGCGTTTTAGTTTATTATGCCGTGATTACAACGACAAGATGTTTTCTATTAACGATTCTATACACTTTGCTGGTTTGTCTCAGCGGTTCATATATAAGCGCACTCAGGTTGAAAGCATATATTTCTATCAAAGCAAGTAAATTAATATGGTAGGTGGTATGTTTGATAGAAACATTTTTATCATAAAGAATAGCAACGAAAACAGCCCAAATGCCTCAGAAACAATTATCATTTATACGAAATCAACAACATACATACTACAATCAATCGGTATTCTTGTTTATTTCACAATTTTGAACGTTTACAATACTTTTTCGATCCATTCGTTACGAAAAGCAGTACATCGAATAGTAGAAGAGTTGTTAGTTGCATTTGTTGTCAGCGACAAAAATCAAGTTCCAATCATTTGATGTATTTCGAGCACAATTTGTAAACATAGCGTCGTCAATTGAATGAAAACAAAGATTATGTGCACATAAAGAACGACTGACCAAGAATAACAGAGACAGCGACAAAGAGTGTGTATTTGATGTTGTGTTGTACAAAGTACAATGTACATTAGGGTGTTTTTGCCATCAAATAATCAAGAAATGGTAGTTCTGGATTGAAAGAGTGAACAATTCTGAGTCGATTGCATGTATTTTTACTTTAAAATAATCAAAGATGCCACTTCCCGAGATCAAAACAGAAAATCATAGAATTTTGAGGTTATATTTTTATTCACTGAAATAAAGTAATATTTTTGACTCTTCCACTTTCAATCTCACTGCCATTGGTAAATTCACGATGCAGAATTTCATTTTCATGCATTTTTCGTGGAAAAAATCAAGGAAATCGGTGAAATATTACACATTTTCCATCGCATCTTTGACGGCATTTTCGATTGAAGAAATAACACTAATAGAACTATTTTTTTCACCGGAATTCAATCAATGCAGTTAGAACACACGAAAAATTATCTGAATTCATCAAAACATCCGATCGAACAAATCCAGAAAGACCAATTTAGAGCGAACGAAAAATGTAAACAGAAACGAGCTGTCATCATGAAATCTGGACTCATTTGACATTATAACGTGGCAATACACTTGCCCGAATGAATAACAAGTAATTCGCACACAGTGATTCGCGCAGTTGTGTTACGGTCTTGTCAAACATCAAAACAAGCCCGAATTTCATGATCTCGTTTCTGTTTACATTTTTCGTTCGCTCTAAATTGGTCTTTCTGTATTTGTTCGATCGGATGTTTTGATGAATTCAGATAATTTTTCGTGTGTTCTAACTGCATTGATTGAATTCCGGTGAAAAAATAGTTCTATTAGTGTTATTTCTTCAATCGAAAATGCCGTCAAAGATGCGATGGAAAATGTGTAATATTTCACCGATTTCCTTGATTTTTTCCACGAAAAATGCATGAAAATGAAATTCTGCATCGTGAATTTACCAATGGCAGTGAGATTGAAAGTGGAAGAGTCAAAAATATTACTTTATTTCAGTGAATAAAAATATAACCTCAAAATTCTATGATTTTCTGTTTTGATCTCGGGAAGTGGCATCTTTGATTATTTTAAAGTAAAAATACATGCAATCGACTCAGAATTGTTCACTCTTTCAATCCAGAACTACCATTTCTTGATTATTTGATGTCAAAAACACCCTAATGTACATTGTGCTCGTATCTCGTATGTATAAAATACAACATCTGAACGCAGAAATTGTTCAATTGGGTTTTACGTGGACGATGTCGATTTATCAGCACAACTGTTCGTAATTGAGGATTTTACAATCGAAAAAGGCAAAAAGTCACCATACAGCACATATGGTCACTTCATCTTCGATCTTGAAAAAACAAACATATATGTATATAGCTAGTTTATATGGCTCCCCCTCCCCAGCCGGACAAATTTTTGTTTCGAGCGTCAAACTTTCAGGATATTTAGCCCTTAATTAGCCCTAATTTGCCCCACCAAAATTAGAATTTGCCCTCGAACGGTTTGCGAGACATGGCCATCGGCGATTTTGGGGATTTTCAGTAAAATCCACGAAAAGGCATATAACAAAAATTTTACACAAGTTCATAAAAATGAAAACTAATGATGCAAAGTTTTAGCCCCTGATTTTCCCTTTCCATTTCTATCTTGGGGCAAATTTTTTTGTCGCAAAAAATGTCCCAAAATCGATTTGGAGTCAATAGTAGGCTATTTTCACTGATTATGTGGGGATTTTTTATTTTAGTATCAAAACTGAAAACAGAACGCACTACGATTTAGTCCTCAATTTGCCCTTTCCATTTCTATCGTGTGACAAATAAATTCACATACCCGTGATTTCAGTTACTTACCTCATTTGTTTATTTTGTCATACATTTTAGCGAATTTTTTATGAAAAAGTGAAGAATGTGGGAATGGTACATACTCATTCAAGCGGCAATAAAATCGGCGTTGTTGCAATTTTGTTTGCATTGGAACAATCACTGGTGTTTGAATTGTGCCACACAACGGCGTGTTTTCATTTCAATCGATATTTCATCGCGATTTCATTTACACTTAGATTCGTTGTTTGTATTTGTGCCTGTGTTACAAACTTGAAAAAGAGGAAAAGAGATAGAGCAACACTGAAAAACAAATGTACGAATTTTGATTTTATCGCCGCTTGAATTAGTATGTACCATTCCCACATTCTTGACTTATTCATAAATAATTCGCTAAAATGTATGACAAAATAAACAAATGAGGAAAGTAACTGAAATCACGGGTATGTGAATTTATTTGTCTCACGATAGAAATGGAAAAGGCCGATTGAGGGCTAAATTTCTGTAGAAAAATTTCCATAAAATAATACAGTTTCATAAAACAGCCTATTCGCATATGGCCCCATATCGCCAATTTATCCCAAATCGATTTTGGGACATTTTTTGTGAAAAAAAAAATTTGTCCCAAGATAGAAATGGAAAGGGAAAATCAGGGGCTAAAACTTTGCATCATTAGTTTTCATTTTTATGCACTTGCGTAAAATTTTTGCTATATGCCTTTTTGTGGATTTTACTGAAAATCCCCAAAATCGCCGATGGCCATGTCTCGCAAACCGTTCGAGGGCAAATTCTAATTTTGGTGGGGCAAATTAGGGCTAATTAAGGGCTAAATATCCTGAAAGTTTGACGCTCGAAACAAAAATTTGTCCGGCTGGGGAGGGGGATCCAGTTTATATACATATATAGTGAGCAAATACCAATAGCATCCAAGATAATTTCGCAATCAACACAACGACAATTTCTAATTTAAGTCAATTTAGGCCTGCCATCGCTGGTCATTCAATCCATTGGATTTCAGTGTTATCACATTATATACATAGTAAACGTTGTTGTTTCATGTGTATAGGCGGTGCTATATGTGGATAGAGAGTGCATGTTTTTTTGTTGTTTTGGAGTCGATTCAGTTTAAAACTTTAAAACCTCAAGTGCCTTCCATTAGTAAACTTTAAAATGCATAAAATTGGATTCATTGGCGGTGGAAAAATTGCACAAGCCATGGCGAAAGGATTCATCAAAGCCGGTATGTTCACTGTAACCAATAAGTCAACCAAAGATGAAGTATTACACAATCCGGACAATTGATTGCATCGTTGCAAACAGCCACCTCTCTTGTAATTTGATCAAATGGCAAAGCAATTCAATTTTCCGAACTTCGTCTAATAATAATGGTATTATACGGTTTAATTTTATCGTTGTCTTGGTATATTAAAAGGTTTGACGAAAGCAGATCGGGTAACGGCCAGTGTACATCCATCGGATCAACTCAGTCTAGATGCGTTCAAGGTTAGGAATAATTGATTCTAGAAGAAATATATTTTTCTTTGGTTTTTTTTTTTTCCATTGCTTGAAATTCATTTTCTCGATGTTAGGCATTAGGTGCAAAAACGATAACGGAAAATCCACCAGTTGTGTCAGAGTCGGATGTTGTGTTTGTATCAGTGAAACCAGGCGTAGTGCCGACAGTTTTACAAGAAATCAAGAGCATCGCTGCGAATAAATTGTTCATTTCTGTTGCAATGGGAATCACAATCGCACAAATGGAAAATGTAAGCTTGCAATTTATTTATATATACCAATATTTGTACATATTTACCATTATTGATGGACGATTCATTTTTATTTTACGAGAAAAGGTCCTGCCGCAAACATCAAGAGTAATTCGGGTGATGCCAAACACACCGGCAATCGTAAATCAAGCATGTTCAGTTTTTGTTCGTGGAAGTCATGCTACACAAAATGATGCTGACATTGCACATTCACTGTTGCAATCGATTGGAACAAGCGAAGAGATCAACGAAGATATGATGGATGCGGTCACAGCACTTAGCGGCAGTGGACCGGCTTATGTATTCGTTATGATTGAAGCACTTGCTGATGGCGGCGTTAAAATGGGTTTGTGTCTATCAATTTGATTTCACAGAATCACTTTTAGAGGTTTTTATTTCGTTAAAATTGTTGAGGGTAGAAAGTTTTTTTTTTTCTGCTAAAAGAAACGACTGCGGAAATATATTCCAACGATTTACGATGACGCAAGCTGCAATTCTTTTATGTGCAAACCAAAACCATTTGTTGTTTTGGTCACAAAGTTGTCGTCATTTTTTTTTGGAATACGGTTGGTGAATTTCATCACTTGACAGATTCACTTGGAAAAAGTCGCTTCGTCTTTAAAGACAAAACAAAAACAGATTCAAAGAATGGCCAAACTTCTAACTGAGCAACAAACAAAAATAAAGAAAGAGAGAAGAAAAAAAAAAACATGAAAGTTGAAAACACTTCTCAAACATTTCAGTTGAACTCAATTGATTTATGTACATAAAAGAAGTTTGCATATTATGGTCGTTTGAGCGCATTCTTACTAAATCATTTTAGACAGCTTGCTGAACGCTTTGAATTAATTTGCATTTTCCTTCGTGAGAAAGAATTGCATGTGTGGAAAAGTTTGCGGCACATAAAACGAAACGAAACAAGAAAACATATAAAATAGGAGAAGTTGACAAACTAATCCGAACTTTTCGTCATCGCTTTCATAATTGGCGAACTATTGACTTCCGTCGGAAGCACAAAAAAAAAAAAAACATCGAAAACACCACACACACAAAAATGCGTGCATAAAAAGTGAATCGATTCATGTGCAAACTTTTGCTTTTATACACATTTTCCAATTAAACTTTTTTTTAAGCACAATAGTAACAGTTAACATAAATGGTTTGGGAGCTTTGTGAGTTCATTTTTTTTCTAAATCGACATGATTGCAATATCATAGGATTACCACGTGATTTGGCCTATCGATTAGCATCACAAACGGTACTTGGCTCTGGGCAATTAGTACGGTAAGAATTTAACCATTTTTTTTTTTCTTTACTCCTTTCTTTTGCGTTTTATTAAATTAAACTTCGTCTAAAACAATGGAATACGTAAACACACTGTCAAACATAAATCCAGCACTTTTAATTTTTTTCTTCTTTTTTTTGACGTTTGCTCGCCTGTTAAACAACAATATAAAATATTAAATTTTTTAAGAGACTCGGGCATTCACCCAGGAAAACTAAAAGATGATGTTTCAAGTCCAGCCGGTTCAACTGCATCTGGCCTTTGGCATTTAGAATCCCACGGTGAGTAGCTGCATTTTTTTTCTCGAATTTCATGACTAAAAACCCATTTTACTTCTTTTTTTTATCAGCATTCCGGTCAACAGTGGCTGGAGCCGTTGAATCTGCCACTTTACGATGCAGAGAAATTAGCAAAAAATAAAAATGCATTCGTCTTTGTAGTGGAGTTGAACATTTCGACTTTATTTTTTATAGTTATATTTTTTTTTAAAAAAATCTGTACAATGATTTACGACATAGCTCCATAGATAAAATATTTGTTTTGTAGAGTTAATTAATTTGTGTCAAAAGAAGAGCTTTTCTAAATATTTATTGTTGTTTTATTATTGGTAGATGTTGGTAGCGTTTAAATTGTATATTTAAATTGAAAAGAGGAAAGGGAACAAGATGAATTGAAAAGATGTCATTCCCATGATTTTTTCTTCTACAATAAACACTCGAAAACTGTTTCGCAATTACAGCATCTATTCAAAATATCAATTACATTTTATATTAAATAATTTTTTGTTTTATTTTAGTTTTCTTATTAAAAAAAATAAATGTCTCTCCAAAAAAAAAATCACAGCGGGTATTTTGTAGATAACAAATTCATAAATATTTCGTCACTTTTTTTGTCTGCAAAAAGTCCGTTGAAACACACATTCTTTGTCTCTATCGCTGTTTATATATCTGGGGAGGGAGTCAGCTAATTCAATAACCATCACTTTAATTTCTGTTCAAAATAACGATCATTCTATTTCAAATGAGATGCCATTACTATGCCGATTTCAGTGACAATTAATACAAAAATGAACATGCAAACGGTGATATATAAAGCCGTCAGCAACAAAGTTCATAAAATTATTAGTTCAAAGAAAAAAAAAACCATCCATTCTTTTTGCCCACAAAATGTGTGATAAACAATATTTTCTAAGCCAAAGAATGTGTTGAAATCGGTGCTGCTGTTTCAACATGTGGGAAAATGGTTTCAAGTTTTGCTTTCCGAAATCGTGTTGTCCGCACCTTTCTGCGCTCCGCTGCGAAATAAATTCGCATCTCTTATTATTTATCTATTTCTGTTCTACATACGAATATAAATATTATATTTATGTTTTCCCAAATCATTTACATATTCTGATTTTCTTTTTTTTTTTTTGTTGTTCCAAATTCACAAAATATTTGTGACTCAAAAGGAAAAAGTGAGAGAAGATCTGTTCAATGAAAAGAGAGAGATCGAGGCAAATGTTGATTCAGTTCAGTTCAGTTCAGTTCAGTTCCGGGCATTACAATATAATCAAGCCAAAAAAGAGTTACTTTTGTCCTTTTTCTCGTTCTTTTTTTTCTCAAAAATGCTGAGATTCGCGAAATAAATATTTTTTTTATTCATCTTCTTCTTTCAATGTCTTAACATCTTTGATAAAACGTTATGTGTGGTATGCAATTTTAAGTCTAGAAAAAAATGTTGCCTTTTTTCTCTCTCTCTTCTTCCTCTTTGCGAAACAGACATTACTCAGTACACTTATTGTTATATATACAATATACACATTAAGAGAGGGGAATACATAAAAAAAAAAATAGACGAATTTTGTTCTACCCAAGTGCCCAAAATGCCCAGTCCATTGCTGTGGACTGTAGACGATACATCGAAATTGACTACCATATAAATGTAAGGGATGAATGGAAGGGAAAATAAAATCAATCAAAACGTCCCTGAAGCTAATTGGATCCAATCAGAAACCACGGTAGAAATACCGTTACTGCGATGGCGGCGATGCATGTTGCACAAACAACGGCAACGTTTGTTAATTTATCGGTTGTTGTGTTATTATTTGAGTCATAGTAGCATTTGTGCTCATCGGGATCTTTCACATATTCAAGCACCTCGACTAAAAATAGAAGAACCATTTTATTGGGAAGCTCAGACTTAAAGATCTCTTGAGAATTTTAGGATAAGTAATCAAAAAAAAAATGTCTAACCGTCACAACGGAATTTCACTTTAGATGAATCCCGTGCCCAAAACAAATGACCCGACGATTCACGTCGTTCCAAATTCCATATCGGCTCCGAAAGATTGTCCGAAACTGTTGAACAAAGAAAAGAAAAAGAAAAACTGATTAACATTTTAGCTTGTTTTTGCTAACGAAAATAAAACAATGCAAATCATATTCCCAAAATAATGAGGTAAAATATTCCGATGAGGATTGGCCCCATGCCCTGTCTTATTGCATGGACGATGAAGTGGTACACATAATATTTTTTCGTTTATAAATAGTGAAGCTGCAGTGAGAGAATTGAACTTTCTGTTGTTGTTTTTTTTTTCTCTCGATGAAACCTTTTCTATACAATGAAAGTTCAACGGTACTATGACTTTACTGACGATTCTTATTGCAAAAATTATGTGTTGGCAAAATATAGCTCTTTTCTCTCTCTCTCTCTCTCTCTCTCTCTCTCTCTCTCTCTCTCTCTCTCTCTCTCTCTCTCTCTCTCTCTCTCTCTCTCTCTCTCTCTCTCACTCCCGTAATCGGAATTTAATGAAGTCCTTAAACTTATTGCAATAGTAAGAGACACATTGATAAGGAAAAACTTTACGATGATCGTTATCAATGGTAGAAAAAAAAAGAAATCATATTAATAGAGCTATAAAATCGATTTTGCTACATTAAAATGTGTTGCTGCCAATGCGATGAAAATTGATGACGAAATCATATAGATTTTGTCCGCATCGCAAGATTCATACTTTTGATTTCTGAATGAGCGTCATATTTGATTGAAACTGTGTTGTGCATACCGCGTTTTCAGAAAAGAAATTTGTTTCAAACGTGTCGACACAAAATGCGCACCGCACTGTTCGTATGATGTCGAAAGGACGAAGCGATAAGACAAACGGATGTTCACTTTAGATGAGGTGGCTTGTGCACACTCATCAAAATAGTAAACACAATGCAGGAGAAAAAAAAACATCAACCTAACTACATTTTCTTGTGCACACCAAAATAGAAAGCATTGACTCACCTAAAACTGTCATTTTGATGGAATCGATTCTCTTTCAATTCATTCACAAATTCACGCGTTGCTGGGCAAAACTCTCGGTTGCTGTTTAATGTCTGTGCACCTATAAAACGAAGAAGAAAAAAAAAGGTGATGAATGAAAATACGCTGAAATGATGAGAAACCTATCTCCGTTCAATATCAATATCAATCTTCAGAGTATATGATTCTAATTTTTTTTCAAATTGCATCAATAAATAAAATGTAATAAAAATCATATTCACAATATTTAAGTGGTGTATTTTTTTCTGACTCTTTTTTTAAACGAACGGTTGAGAAAATACTGAATTGCCGTCATCCAATACAACGTAACTACTGAACATTTTTATTTGTTTGAAATTTCACAGCCTTGAATGAAATGGTCAGTTCGATAAAATGCAAATTTTGCGAATAGTTTTACAAAAACATTACCAAAAATAAAAACTTGACAATAAACGGCCAAATTGTTCAGTAAATTTGTGTTCAATGTATTGAATTTCTTCTTTCGTTTGTATTATTTGCTTTACGCTATTGCTATTTATTCAAATTATTTACTCTCTTTAAGTGGATCTAGACACACTCTGTAGTCGTTTTGTTTTATTAAACACTTCGTTTTTTGTTCCGACCCCAAGGAGTCGACCGAAAATGAAATGAACCGAAATGTACAAAAAGAGTTACGAATAACTTGAATGCGTCTTGCAAATTCAGCGCGCGCCCGATTCTAATATAATGATAAAAAGTATATATTGTTATTAAAATGTAATAGGATCGAATGAACGATAATGCATTGGTAATTGGAACGACGACGAACTCGCGACGTATATCAGGTTACCAAGTTTATTTTTGAATTTCCGCTCTGAAGTGCGTTTTATACGCGGAACATTTAATGCGTCAACGGCAAAAAAAAAAAAACATAATTTCCCAGTGTTGTTAACGTGTCGGGCAGTAACCTTTTTACAGTCTTTCAAGTCAACATGTTAATTGACTTTTGATTACGTATTCGATTTAAAATAGTGAAATCTATTGAAGCGCTTTCGATTGTCTTCGACGAGTTCACACTATACTCATTCTCATATAGCAGTCGCAGTTGAATCGACGCACTTACTTCATGCGAAAGAACTTTGAAGACTTCAACACACTTCTTAAACAAGAAACAATGATTCGGCAATGATATCATATCATAATGTACGCAGATTGTAACTTATAAGGTTTGAATCTCAATTATTCCCCATCTTCGTAAACAACCGATTGGTGCAAAGTGCCTGAAACTTCCTTCAAACGATGTGTATTGTTGTGGGAATCTCATTGAATTTGTGCCTTCACCTTTTTTTTTCTGCCGAATATGAAGAGAAGACAGAAAAGACCTCTGAGGCTTCTCATACGTGCGAATCGACATGCAATCACTCATGTTCGCCAAGTCAAATGATTCATTTCGTTTGTATTATACGGAATATGTGTCACTAACGAAAATAGAATGGTTCGAAATATAGAGACAGCGAAAAAGAGGCTTGACTCAAACAAAAAAGAAACAACAACAACAAAATGATTTTTGTTTTCATTCACACATTTGAACCACATAAATAATAATGTGGTAAAACATCACATTGGCAGTGACATAGTAATGTTTGGCTCGGCTCGGCCGACACACAATGAGATTTCTTTAATGCAAGACAATTTTCGGAAAAATTTGCCAATTTCTTTGGGTCTCGGCCATTGGAAAGCGATTCATTTGCACGTCCAAAACTAAAGTCTAAATAATGCCAATAAATCACAACAAACTGTCTGACTTTGTTTTGTTTGTTTCTTTTTTCTCTGTTGCCGACATTATCTTGATGCTGTGATCGAAGAGGCAGAGAGGGAATGATAAAGTCATTGGGAACGCCTTCGTTAGATCATCACTCTATTATCTATAGATCTAGATCAACACGGATTTAAGCGAGTTATGATTTAGCAAAAAAAATGGCTCGAAAAACACAAAAAAATGAGACGCAGAGCGAAAAAAAAAAAAAAAAAACAAAGGCAAGGTTATTTCAACGTCGACCGAGTGATATTTATTCACTATTAAATGATTGAGAATGCGTGTTTATGCAACTCATTGTTGGAGCAATGTAGAACAACACAAACTGGTGAAATGCGCAACAAATAAACAAATATTGCGAACACACATGGTCATGGAACACAGATGTCAAAGACGAAAGTAAAGTGTAAGACTTTGCAGTTATTTGCTCAATTCACTATATTTGTAGAATAATTTTAATTTTGTTGATTTGTGGCAGATTGTTTATGTTCCTGTGTGTCTAATATAAGAACATTGTAGTTTTTTTCAATTCAATAACTTCAATGTATGTAATGAAAAAAATTATCTCTCTGAATTTGACGTCATCCATTCAATAAGCATAACAATGCCCATGTACGAGAGCACATTTGCCGTAATTTAAAATTGGCTACGTTCTAAACATAGAGTAATTTTTTTTTTTTACTGTTTATCATGCATCAAATATATGAATCAGATAATATATTTAGATGAATTCAAGTTATTTTTGGATTTATCTTAAAATGAATTGATGATTTAATGGGTAACCGCCGTTTTTATTCCTGTTAGCCGGTTAATGTTCTTGTTGAGTGTGTGATAAAGGGGAAAAATGTGAAATAAAACAACAAAATGATTAAGCGGCTAGCGACAAATAAATTTGTTCCTTCACCATGGACGATTGTTTCAGCCTGCTTTCAAAATGTGACACAGACAATGTTTATTACTCAGTCTCGTAAATGTTTTATCGCGATGGAAATTGCCTGAATTTCATCTTTTTTTTTTTTTTTATTTGCCGCCCTCAATTTCTATCGCGTTCATTGAGTCATTTTTCCATTTTTTCCGGCGAAAACCCTGGTTGGTAATCATGATGCGATGTCATGTGACACTTATCGCTAATGAATTTTTCATTTAGTCGATAGAAGAAAAAAAAATGTAATTATTTTATCAAGCAAGAACGTTGACAACACATGTCGAAAACAAAACACGAATGAAACCGAAAAACGTCCAATCTAAGTAAATGTGACGTGGTAACGCGATAAAGATTCTGAAAATCTTTGTTATCTCCTTACATTGAAATGTGGAATAGTTTTCAGACCAAACAGAGTATCTATCAATGCAACTTTTGTGTGCAAAAGTTTATCAATGTAATTCGATGAAGTTTGATTTATTTAAAAGATTGTCACACACATTTACCTTTATATCACGATGTGTTTTGTTGTTTTTTTTTATTGCTTTTTGCCGTTTTGAGTAATCCTTATATGATTTGCGTTTTTTGTTTGCTTGTTTGCTTGTTTGCTTGTTTGTTGCTTTCAAGATTGCTGTAAGACGCATGTAAACTTCATCTGCAGTGCATTTTATTGAGCGCGAATTTCGTTCACTTCCTTTCACCTTTTGTGCTACAAGTACTCGTAAAAGGAATAATCACGGTATTTGGAACACACACGTGTACTGAACTGTTTATTCAAGTTGCAATTTATACATCAATTCCAAAGTTGAAAATGTTCACTTTGTTTCCCCGTCTTCGATTTCGTGGCAATTTTTTTTTTTAACGTTTTATTATACTTGTCTATTATTATTCAAGTGTTATTGTTTTGGAATTTAAAACAAAACAAAAATGCAATTATAAAAAAAAAAACGGAAAATATGCGATTTGAATGGTTTTCTGTAGTTGTTATTGTTGTGCAGTATGTTATCTGCGGTGATAAACTAACTGATTTCACGATAACGCTCCTTTTATTATTCCTTTTTTGTTGTTTGGTTTTATTGTTATTACTGGACTTCAACTGAAGAGAAAACTATTCAATTTACATCGATGCTTTGAGTATATGGGAATCAAAGTTCACTTGCTTATTGATTGCCATCTGGTTTAATTGAACTGATTTATACCAATTTTTATTATATAGCATCCAAACGCTGATTTTTCGATTGAACCACGGAAAAAAAAAATGGTTTTCTGGTTGACACGGGCGGACTTAATAATCGCAAATCAAGAACCAATTCGTTGTGCAAAATAAAAAGACTTGCTTGTTTCAGTTTTAGTGCTCAACTAGCGTAGTGTATATTTTTATTTTGTGTTTTCAATGAGCGTAGAATCAATGACTTGATGAACGAACGTATGTTTTGTTGTGGTATTCGATGTAACAACGTGTTTGAATGTTATACAAACGAAGCACGTAAGAAAGAAAGCAGAGACAGAGAGCAAAAAAGCACGCAATAAATACAAGACCTAAAGCACACACATCAACTGTGTCGTTTTCAATGTTTTTCTTTTGCGTAGCGAACGTATTACGTCGGTCGAATTGGGCTTGAGCATGTGTATGTTTTGCATGCGCACGTATGTTTGTATGTGACTGTTTGACGGATGTCAAATTCAAACAGCAGTAGAGCGTTCAAAACGGCTCAGCATTTCCATACACGAGCACAAAGAAAGAAAGAAAAAAAAAAAAAAAAAGAACAGACTAGCAAATTGATGGGAGTTTGATGAATCAGACAAAATGTGTGTGCACAATGGGACACTTTTGGGACTATTCGAACAATGAAAATTGAACTCATGCATGCAAAGCGCATGGTGCTCACACACGTATTGCTTATCGCTGCAAAATCTTGAACCGTTTCGTTGTGCTTCGTTCGTTCGTTCGAAAGCTCTTATGTGCGATTGCACACACGATTTTACGGGGCAATCGTATGATTGACTTTCAACCATGCGAACAACTTTGAAAGTTCATGTTGCACTAGGTGTCAAGGAACCGCATTAACAACCAGTTAGCTGTTTTTTTTACACTCGATTTCAATCATTCAGGCTGAATAATGGGAACAGTATCATTTTTTGTTCGGTGTCTTGGAGATAATATTGAACATTGACAAGTAGCAGGCAGTGCGATCACGATTCGTTTCACAATTTTCAAGTTATTCAACTTAATATCGGGAAATTGGCGATATCACATCAATTAGCATTACGTCTTGTAGTTATGAGGTGGGAATGGATTCATCTCGTAACAGCTTCGCAATTTATATAATTGGCGAGACATTCGATTTTTTTTAATTAAAGCCATGATACATTTAACCGTGGATTTCATTTAGCAACTGTAGCTTTACCATCATTGTTATTATTCTTCCGTCTTAATCATATTGATCAAAAGTACTTGGTTTCTTTAATATTTCGAGAGAAGAATTTGATTTGTCGTGAATGAAAAAAAAAAATAGATTTGAATATTGCTAGCAGCGCCATCCAACGATAAACGATCAAATTATCGAATAATTATTGTTGAAAAAAGCATTGAAACATCTGAAAAGAAATGTGGAAAACCTTGTTGAGTTTTTATCAATGCTGATTGTTATATCGATATGACGAAATTTGTTTTGAATAATGATCAATGTTGCTGATTCAGTCAGAATGATAAAGAGAGAAGAGCACGACTGGTGCATATTTCAATATGTTTCCTATCAGAAAATTCTCGTCAATTCGATGTAGAACATAAATGTTCACACTGACATTGCTCCAATCCACACGAAGGCAATACTAGTTGAACAATCATATAAATGAAAACAATCATATAAAGAAAAACATTTTCCTTAATTTGATATCGCATCGAAATAAGCTTATTAAGTTTTGATGAAATGTCAATTCATGGATGCAACATCTGCCAAATTGTGATGAGAATGCCAGATGTACTCAATGCCTTGTTTTTAGTACATCAATTTTAAACTACATACGCTTGCCTAGGGGGATTTCTCACACAAAAAGTTTGAGCAAATGTGCAAAAATTTCTATTATTTCTTCTTTTTTATTGAAATTGTATGAAAATTTACTGAAATGACGATTTTGCTTGAATAAAACTGTTCTGGAAGTGGGTTTTGGAGGATCCTCAGGATCGTTCAGAACTGCTCCCGATTCTGGAAGTTTTGGTGGATGCTCAGGATGAACAAGATCCGGTTTGACATTGCTCTGGCCCATCCTGATGATCCACTTCCAGAAACGGGAGCAGTTCTGAACGATCCTTGAGATCCACCAAAACCCACTTCCAGAACAATTTCATTGAAGCATAATTCAAAAGTTCAGTGTAAATATACATTTATTTACACGAATTGACAAAAATTGATCGAATCGGACCGAATTGAAGAAATTTTTCAAAATTTTTAAGAATTCATTCATTTTTTTTCGTGAGAAGTCCCCCCAGACGCTTGCAACGATACTGAATGATGAATTAATTAGTTTTTTTTGTTTTTTCAAAGAAACTATTCCTATGAAATTTTTTTTGAGTTCAACACTTTTTGCATTAACGAGTGAAAAATTGGCAAATAATGATTCATAGATTAGATTCCCTTTTTTGTTACATCTGTATATTTAGGCCACATTAACCGTACTTCCCACCATACAACAAAAGTTACTCACCTTTAGTCCCGTATTTTTTTTTTGGGAATTTATGATTTTAGTTGATTAAATTGGATAAACAGCAAGAATTCACACAAAACAGTTATATTCATCAAAACTTTTTCCACAAATTGTTGGCCAAATCATTTATTTAATAATGTTCACATCAAGGTTTGTAACGGAGTTTCTGGACAAAAAACGCATGAAATATTTCAATTTTAAATTTAAAACATAATTCTTCAATGGAACGTTACTCTCGGTGGAATCGGTTCGCTTCGACATATTACTTTCAAATTGAAATGGATTACTTTTCAACATTTAATCGAAATAAATTCGAAAAATAAACTCGCACAACAGAAAATGCAGTCGTCTAAATGCGAATTACAAAATACTTTGATTTAAATGTACGCTTGGGTTGAGCCGTGTGACAATTCATTGTGTATAATGCATATGTTTTTGTTCTAAAACTGAGTTCGTCAACACTTTTTAAGTACGTGCGTTAAGTACTGTGATGGTTGTGTGTTTTTACCCAATATAAAATATTGTAGACGATTAGTAAAAATGGCGACCGATTCTGTAGCATGAAAGATGCAGAGGGCGCAGTACAAGTGAGTAGACGTTCATCAAAGAAAGAAAAGCAAAAATTCACACTGAGAAAAGGCAGACAAAAAACCAGAAATTATTGTAATTTAATTGTTGCCAGACGGATAAATTATCGCACGAAATCGCTGAACAAGAGCCAGTTTTCCACCAAATAACACCTTGGAATTGAAATTTCGGTAAGATTATCTATGAAAATTGCATGGAAATGAAAGAATTTTCGAATTGAAAAAAGAAAATAATAAGGTTCATAAAAAACAGTACATATACATTGTTGAAACTTGCAGTGCGTCCATTCGGTTGCTCCATACTACACAACTACAAATGTACCCACAGCAAGCACTCTTGAACAGAGTCAGCGTATACATATTGGATATTGCATACGACCACATACAAAACGCAAATACGAAATCGACGGAGTGAACGACGAGAAGAGAGAAGAAAAAAAAAAGAAGAAAAAATATATCTCGGAATTGAGAAAAGACACACCGAAAATTGGTTTTGGTTTCAGTGCATTTTTTCATTGTTTCCATACATTTGGACGAAGCGAACAAGCAAAATTATTGTTCGAAAATCCGTAGTATTGTGACCAGAAACGCCAAAATTACGGTGAACTCTTAAAACAAAGGATCAGTGCAAAAGATAATCGATCGAACAAAAAAAAAATCGTGTTTTGAGCACCGTATACATCGGATCTTTTTGTTCTTTTTCCTTGTTTCAAGAAAACGACTTGGTAGCTCAAATCCAAGCCATTTACAAAACGAAACCACGACCGGTTGGTGAGTGTATGTGTGTGTGTGTGATCTAGAGGCAGAAAGACGACAAATCAATTCGAAACATGGAATTGCGTGTAGGAAATAAATACAGACTAGGCCGAAAAATTGGTTCCGGTTCATTCGGCGACATTTACCTGGGAACAACCATTAAAACCGGCGAAGAGGTAATTTTCGATTCTATAAAACCTATTTACATACGGACAATCAGTTGTTATGTACATAACGGAATATTCGAAGAGAGTGCAGCAAATACCGAGCAAACTCGCAATTCGCCCAATGGTTTTTTTTTTTTACGTCGTAGTTAAACACTTGCAATCTATTTCGGGTTCAAATTTCGGAGAAGCAGCGAGCATATTTTTTTATGTTTACAACCTAATATTTGAGTATCACGTTTTCTCTCGTGCCAATTTCGAGAAATCAATTTAAAGATTTTCCTTTGTTTGTGTTCTGCACGATAGCAAGCAAGTTCTGACGTACCATCGAGTCTCTCACGTGTTCGCACACGAGATTCTTTCATTCATTCGATTTGGTCATTTTTCCCATTTCTCATTTCCTGTGCTCGGTTTATCGTCACAACCACAATATTTCTACAACACAATAATAATGTAGTAACCATTTGCATTGGACTAACATTTTGAATGTCAATACCCAGTCCACAGTAGACAACATAAATAAAGATGCAAACAACAATAGAAAGCCTGTTAAATTTAGGCTGACACTCTCTTAGGAAGCACTCTGTTGTGCAATATATATACACAAAACTTCTTAGACTTGATCTGCCTTGCATTTCTATTATGAATAAATTTGAATGATTACATATTCAAATAACGTGTCGTATCGTACCGTACTATTTCCACTGTTTCTGCATAAATACAAAGTGAGCAGCCATGATAGCAGTAATTGATTATTTGTTGTTAAGAAATTCGAATTGAATAAGTTTCCATTCTATATGTTGCCCGTTCATTTGGTCGCGTTGTTTTTCTTTTTGGCTCCGCTGTATGCATGTATGGTGTGTGTGTGTGTGTGTGCGTACATATGTGTGCAAGCGAATTGCTCAGATTCGGTGTGGATGCCACTTTGCCACTTTGCCACACTGTATCGATTCGATGTGCATTCCGTTTTGGATTCAGATGATTATGTCTGTCGAAATTCCGCAAGAAATTCAGATTTACAAAGCAATTGACCAACCGCGAACGTGGCCAAAACCAACTGTTTCTTCTCTATTAAATGTGCAATATTTGTGTTTAATCGATTTTCTTGCAGGTTGCCATAAAATTAGAATGCATTCGAACGAAGCATCCCCAACTCCATATAGAAAGCAAATTTTACAAAATGATGCAGGGTGGTATTGGAATACCACGTATAATTTGGTGCGGTGCCGAAGGTGATTACAATGTAATGGTGATAGAATTGCTTGGGCCGTCGCTCGAAGATTTATTCAATTTTTGCTCGAGATTGTTTACGCTGAAAACAGTGCTGCTGCTAGCCGATCAAATGATATCCCGCATCGATTTCATTCATTCACGCGATTTCATTCATCGTGACATCAAACCAGACAATTTTCTGATGGGACTCGGAAAGAAAGGCAACCTAGTGTATATGATCGATTTTGGATTGGCGAAAAAGTATCGTGATTCACGGACCCTACTTCACATACCGTATCGGGAAAACAAAAATTTGACCGGCACAGCGCGATACGCATCGATAAATACACATTTGGGCATAGAACAGTCACGTCGTGATGACTTAGAATCATTGGGTTACGTACTCATGTACTTTAATTTAGGCGCACTTCCATGGCAAGGTTTGAAGGCCGTTAACAAAAGACAGAAATACGAACGAATTTCCGAAAAGAAACTGTCCACGCCAATCGATACACTGTGCAAAAATTTTCCCAGCGAATTTCCAGCGTATTTAACCTATTGCCGCCAATTACACTTTGAACAACGTCCCGATTACAATTACCTGCGAAAATTGTTCCGATCGCTATTCCATCAGAAGGGCTTCACATATGACTGTGTATTTGATTGGAATATGCTAAAATTCGGTGGCTCACGGAATGCGGTAGGAACAAATGCAATTGCCAGTGGGGCAGCCAATAATGCGGTGAGCGGTAGTGCTGGTGTCGGTGCGATGGGAAGTGCTGCAATGGCCAGCGGTACTGCGCAACAACCAGAGGATAACGATGGCCCAACGAATAAACGTAATCAAATATCAAATCATCCAAACGAAGAACCAGTGGCCACCAACAGCCCACGACCACATGACAAACCGGAACGACGTTCATCGGTGCGACTTCGAGGCCAAAACGTGGTGACTGATACACGAAATGCAAAATAGGGGACATCGAAACCTATGTAAAACACATTTCGACAGAAGGAACACTTGCGAAAATCAAGCAAAAGGGAAAACAAGTAACATTTAGTATGGAGAAAAGTTAGCTTAAGGATTCACACACAATAGAATGAGTTAGGAACAGAGGAGAGAGCATGAAGTAAAATATTATTAAAGAAAATTTCAAATAAAAAAAAAACAATTGAAGATGGAAAGAGTGAAACAGAAACACAAACTGAGATGAATAAGAACACAGCAGAACATTTATTGAATTGTACTAAATTTTACAACAACAACAACAACAACAAATGATGAAATATGTTTATTTGATTGAGGGGGAAAAGTGTTATTATATTTAGTAACAATTTGTCTCTAAAATTAGAAATGATAATGAACCATTAGAGAGGGTATTGTTTTCCTTTTAATTTAAAACAACAACAAAAAAAATAATAATACAAAAATACACTCTTTTTTATTTTGTTCTTTTTATATGTATATGTAAAATACATGTCTCTCCGCGTTTTATTAATTCGAACCAATTTTTTCTTTGAAGAAAAGAATGAACGTGAATAATACTGAAATTAGTTTAATAGACGCGGAAATTAGCAGTTTTAAAATGAATCACAATTACTCGTCGTTATATCTATTGTCTACATTATTCGTCGTCATTATTCATACATATAAAAAAAAAAAAATAAAACTGCTAAATTTACAGTTACAACTTACATTTATAAATGGAAAAAAAATTTCAAAGGAATCAAATAAAACTGACAAGAAAAAAAACCCACACAAAATTGATTTGTGAGTGAATAAATGTGAAGAGTTTAACAAAGAAACACAAAACTATCGAAGATAAAGCCAAAATACCATTGAAACAAATGATTCGTTTGCAAAAAAAAAAAAAAAATTAAGAAAATTTAGAGTAATGAAAAAAAAAACAAAACCAATTTTTGAATCGAGTCCAGAGGAGAGCATGTCCGATAGCACCGATAGCCACAAAATTACGCGCGAGGTAAATAATTCGTTGAATATTTGGTAAATGTCCCTTTTCGATCAGTTAAAACTTAATGCAAACAACAGCAACAACAACAACAATAATAATTATTTAAATGAACATGGCGAAAAATGAAACAAATAAATAATGATGTGAAGGTAATAATTTCTAGTAAGCATTTCGTTTATATGAAGAATAAAAAAAGATGAATACATTTTAACAAGTAAAACAGAAAGCGCATTTACATTATAATGATATAACGTTAGATTAAAAAAAAAAAAAAAACAAACACACAAACAAGATGAAAGTAAAATAATTTTTTCCGTTGTGAATTTAAAAACAAACAAAAAACAGATAACATAGAGCAAAACGATGCAAGCAAATTGTAAAAAAAAAACATGTAAAACGTACATCGTCTGACACAAATATAATTGATCTGCATTTTGATTTTGGTTTCAAATAGCTGAATTTCAATATGATGGTTATTACGGTGGATAAAATCTCATCCCAAACTGATAAATAGAAAACACAAACACAAAAAAATGGAACAAAACTATTGACGGGCATTGAAGATTCGGCTCTATCGGACGGAATGCTTCTGAATACAAATGAATATATATTTTTTTTCTAAATAAGCGCATGAACAAATGAACAAAGGAGAATCCATTGAAAGAATTCACTTTCTGCCGATTGAATTCAAGCACGCATTTACATGAACGAAATTGAATTCCATCATACTATCGAAGATTGCCGAAAGCATAATGCTTTTAATTCAACAACACAACAAAAATAACAACAAAAACGAAATGAGACTTTAAGTGAAACAAAATAGTAAACTATTAAAAATTATACTCCGATGAAATTAGAGTATCAAATCAGAAAAATTGATGAGGAGAAAAAAAAAAACTTTGTAAATTTTATTATGTACGAGTAATGTGAATATTGTTCTTTATCGATATTTTTCTTATTATATTTTTTTTTTTTTTTTGCTTATGATTTAATAAATTTTTTTTAGTTACAAACTCATTCTCCTTTTTAATATCGAAAAAAGAAGAAAAAAATCTATATAATAAAAACGCCAGATTTTAGGTGAATGTATTTCAGCATTTACTTGTAACAATTAAACATTTTTCAATTTTGCTGCAGAAACCCGTTCCCACACCCTAGGCTGAAACAAAAACAACAACAAAACTATTTAAACAAATTACAAATTAAATTTAACACACCAACAACAACAATAACAACAACAACAAGAAATGGAGACACACTTTTCCTGTGATGATCCATTTAATCGAAATAAAACGTGCTAATATTCACTCATGACAATTTTTTTTTCGATGGATTTGTCATTTGTAAAAGATTTAGAAATTCAAAACAAAATGAAAAGAAAATAGCAAATAAACAAGCACGTAATCAATCGTGTGGAATTGTACAGTCAAAGATTCATGCAAATCTCCCAAATTAGACACTTAAGATCGAAATAAATAAAACATTGGAAATAAATGGATTGAAAAACGATGAAATTTTAAGTGTGCGATTTTATTGAACTCTATTGTCCGCATTATCTGCTTACTGTACGTTTTTTTTTTTATTGTATTTTCAGCAAAATATATAGATATTTCTTTAAAATGATGTTGGCTCAAATTTCACAATCACGGACGATGTTTGTATCATATTCCCGGGAAGTTTGAGTGGAAATTCGCCACCTACTAACACATACACTATTGGTCAACGTTAGGTTATTTGTTGAACGAAGCGGAAATCACGAACACCTGTTTTTATGTTGTCTTTTCCTTTGTTGCTGTTAGTGTGACATTTTATGTGAAGTACAGTCAATCAGTTCGAGTCTCAATTCCAAGAACATATATGAACGAATATCTTCATATTTTTGTATAAATACCGCGCGACTTTCTACATATAGTTAGTGGTTTGTATATAGATTTGAAAAGCTGTACAAAAATTAACTTGCAATTGATGGAAAAACTATTTGATAGGTTTTATCCATAGCTAAGAATTTAAGGCGGAGGCAATGTATTAAGTACTCAAATATTAACTGCTTGTTAGCACAGATGATAAGGGTAATTCCCGACTAGAGCATGTACAATGAAGCTATATTTGTCTATTAGTATAATATATTGAACAAGCATCGCATTTGCCAAATATGACCTCATATGCGAATTTTGTTTCTTCTCCAAACTCGAATTATCTCTTTGAGGGGGATTTCAGACTTCAGAACAGATTGGACAAATTCAGATGAAGGCAAACTCTTCGTCCATTTATTGACTCAATCGATGGCATTTATGTCACGCCTAAGATGCATATTATTTCGAAGGAGAAAAATTAAATTTGCCCGATAAATTCGCTTTTTTGCAAATTCTCCGTTAAAAAAAAAAAAGAAAGTTTAAAGTGGTTTATGGTAAGATGATGATCGATTCTTCTCTACCTGATAAGCGTTCGTCAACGAACATTTTTGCAAATGTTGAAGAAGTCATTGATTATTCTGGAATTTTGACTTTGTTCATTGCTACTTTCGCATAATTTGCTCTCAAAAAACACGTTTTAATCATTTTCTTTTTTTTTCTTTATTCGTTAATTTCTTCATTATGTTAAATACATTCACATTGAGAAAGAGAATAGAAAAGATAGATACGATTAAAAAAAAATGGCAGGTAGATAATTTAGCTGAACATACAGAAAAATGCGTTCAATTTGCTACAAATTTATGCGAAAACATCATAATTGTTCAGAGCGATTCGATTAAACACACACGAACATCGCGCCAAACGAAAATTTGCTAGATCGTCTCAAGAGTGTTACAAGATGGGAAAAAAGTGTTGTTGAAGTCAGTGATTTTTTGGCGCGAAAACTCGCTTTTGACACAATCAATACTCGGCTTGGATAGAGGTTTGTGTCAACTTTTTGTGGTCAACGTAAATAATTTGAATAAAAAAAAAAACAGGACAAACAAAAAGATGGAATTGGATATAGCTCAAAAGCGGCCTTTACCGGAATGGATGAATTCGATGGTAAGAATTGACTGGGTTCATTTCATTTTTATGATAATTTCACTGTTTTCGTTTCGTGTTTTTTTTTTCTATTTCACAACTTATGGATGCTTTGATATTTCGTTAATCAGGAATGCACCGTTCGTATTGAAAGAATGGAAATGAATGTGAACGATTTTGTTGAAGAAAAGGAAAATGCAAACACATTGAACAAGACTAATGAAAAAGACAATCAACAAGCTAGTTGTGCGACATTAAAACGGTACAGGACACGATCGAGTATTGTATCACAAACGGATTCACTGGATCTCAATTCAGAAGTAAACCGAAAAAATCCACGATTAGCAACCGGACCAAAGCCAAAACCGGCATTCATCGAATACAAAGGAAAAGTTGAATACTATACTGAGTTTTATGACATTGCATACGCTGCAGACACTTTGCTGTAAGTTGATAAGTTTCAATATTTTCTTTCTATTTAAACGAATATTGTATTTTGCTGCAGGACATGGGTGAATGCTCAGCAAACAAACGAAATGATTCCCATTGCTTTCGATATGGAATGGCCATTCACCTTCCAAACGGGACCCGGTAAAACGGCAGTCATTCAATTTTGCGCCGCTGTTGACCTGTGCTACGTTCTGCACATCGCCAATCTTAAAAAATTGCCAGCGGCACTGGTTCAATTATTACTGCATGACAAAGTCTGTTTACACGGAGTCAATATCAAAAAGTAAGCATTTTAGTTAGACTATTGTACGTAATAGAATGAAACACAACAAACCGATTAAATTCAAAAGAAGCAGAAAAAAAAAAACTGAAAAATAGAATGGAAGAGATTTCCTATTTGCGAAATTCATGGAAAATAATTCGAAAAAAATATTTGCTTCATAATAATCAAAAGACTTGATTTATGTGTGTTTTCGTTGTTGTTTTTTTCAATTCTTCCTCTTCTTCGATGACCTGATCGTTCGTTTGATGACATATTCCTCGTTTGTATAAATATCGAATGTTTTTTTTTCTTCTTCTTCTTCTTATTGACACTCAAGTGATTGCCGAAAATTAGAGAGAGACTTTCCCGAGGTGACCTCCCAAAAGATGGTCGATCAATGCATTGATTTGGGCGTATACTGCAATAAAATTATGAACACTGGCGGCCGTTGGAGTATGGAACGACTGGTTTGGTATCTTGTATGTATTTATCCCAGTTTTTTTGCACTACATTTTTAATTTACCATATTCTCTAACTAGTCGTGATTTACGTATTTATCTGTCATTTGATTGTTTCACACATTTTTTCAGTGTCGGCTGAAAATCAACAAAGACAAAAAAGTGCGAAATAGTAAGTGGCACATAATGCCTTTATCGCCTGAACAACAAATCTATGCGGCAATCGATGTATATGTAAGTGTTTGAATATGATGTGTCACATCTGCTGTCTTTATCCCCCTATCTCTTTGTATGTATGGCAAATGTCAAACTAAGCGTTGAGGTTACGTTCAGTTTCAAATGTTTGAATTAAATTGAAAGTTGTTTTTTCTATCTTTCTTTACACAAAAGATATCGCAAGTGATGTACTACAAGTTGAAGGATAAAGAAGTGGAAAAAGAGACTGAAGCGCAAAAATTCATTGAAGAATACGGTGAACAAGCTTACATTGAACGACAAAAACTGCTTTAATCAGTCAATCAAACAAACAAACAAAACGAAATTAAGGATGTCACTGCCATTAGTACATGTTTTACGAACGGGACTTATAAAATACGCACATGGATTGAATCTACAAAAATTTATCACATCAAAATTTAGTGAACAGAATGAGAATAAATTCAGAAATATTTTAATATTAACGGAACATCAGCCGGTGTACACGATTGGCATTCGCACCAAAAACTATAGCATCGATGATGAATCGCATCTACGAAGCTTAGGCGCTGAATTTTATCAAACCAATCGCGGTGGTTTGATCACATTTCATGGGCCCGGCCAATTAGTTGCCTATCCAATAATCAATTTGAAGGACTTTCAACCGAGCATCAGATGGTACGTGTGCCATTTGGAGAAAACAATCATTGACCTGTGCAAGCAATTCAATCTTAATGCAACCACTACATCCGACACCGGTGTCTGGATCGACGATCGCAAAATATGCGCTATGGGAGTGCATGGTAAACGTTATATAACATCACATGGACTGGCACTGAACTGTAACATTGATTTGAAATGGTTTGATCACATTGTACCGTGTGGTTTGACCGGCAAAAGTGTTACATCATTGACCACAGAATTAAATAGAAATGTGTCGATTAGCGAGACAACGCCACTATTTCTAAATAGCTTTAAACAAACTTTTAACTGTCAACTAATTGAATTGCCTGATGATGAAACCAAATTTTATACGGATCATATGAATCTAGCTGCTTAATTGTTTTTTTTTTTTTATTGTATACATATAGTAAAATATTCTTAATGAACAACGTGTTTTTTTTTTTTACTTTGAGACTGAAATAAAAATGAGTACACGAGTACGTTTAACGATGTTGTTTTTTTTTTTTTGTTTCCCTTGTATGCTCGCGCGTTTGTTTCACTGATTAAAGTGGGTTTAAAGTTTGTTTCATTTGACGCAGAGACAACTGATACATTAAAACTGTTAGACGGTCACCCATGACTGAATGATAGATTAACGAATCTCCAAGCGAGCAAAAAAAAATAGAACACACGCAAACTCTTATCACAATCGCAGTGATGCAGGACTTTGAAATAGCTTTTCGTAAGTGATAGATACTGATGGAAGGATCGATTTTTCTTTTCTGATGCAATTACTCGGTGTTTCTTCTTCTTCTTTGTCTCGGAATGAGTCAACCGAGAAATTATTAGTTGCCGAGAAAACTGATACGATCGAATCAATTCTGCGAATATTTTTTTTCTCCTTGAAAAACCAAACGTTCTTAGTAATGCGTTCAATAGCAATAGTAACTTAACATTGCACTCGAAAATACGATAGAAATGCACATACATATATGTGTTTCTGCAATAACGGCATATAGTTTCAATTTGCGGTGTAAATATGACATCTTTATATTTGTATTAAATTATGTTAAAAAAAAAAATTGAATTCATAGGAGACTACCAATCAAATCGGATCAATAAGACAATTGAAAGAGTATTTTATTGTTCATTTATTTTGAATTCATTTTTTGTGTGTTTATAATGGTGAGCTGCTAGACGGTCAGCAATGACTGGGTGATAGATTATGGAATCTTCTTGAGCAAAAAATAGAACACACGCAAACTCTTATCATTTTTCAGTAATACATTCCCCTTTTGTGCTGAGATTTTGCAATTCACGGCGCTCGAAGATGATCAATCAATAAAAAAAAACACAATCACAATCTATTTTCGGAGAGATTACTTATTCATTTATTATTGTCCAATTGCCAGAAAGTTTGTTACAATGTTTTTTTTTTATGGTTAAAATATAAAACCGTTAGTTTTTATTTTCATGACAAATATCCTTAAATTCAATTTTCTTTAAAATAATATCAGAATATATATATATATATATTTGGAATGGAAAGCAAATTTGTTTGTTTGAGTGAAAAATCTTTATCAGAGTGAGTCAATGCATGAGTAACAAATAAAATTATAAACAGACAAAAAAGAATCTGCGTAATTTGTTTTTTGCAGCAAATCAAATGTGTTGTATAAGTAAAAAAAAAAATTTTGACACATTTAATAGATAGCAATGAATCGCCATCGCATACATTGTCCAGATCATTCTGGATTTTTGTCTGATTTTGATTTGGTATTTATATGTTTCCTTTGTGCGACGTGTGTTGTGAAGAGATTCTCAGATTATTTAACATTTTCCGAATACTAATTTTAAGTACAAAACAGTACAAAAACGGTGACACATTTGTTCTCTCTACGTTCTACAATGCTCTAAAATTTCACAAATGATATTCAACTCTTGCCATTTAATAGGGATAACATTGGAATGTATGATTCATTGTCTACTTCAATTGCGTCAGTTTTCTCGTTATTCGATACGCTCAACACGGAAGCACCATTTGTATCGTTTCGTATTTTGAGATTTTCAATGTCCGGAATGAGTGAACTGTTCACTTGACTATCAATGGAATGGCTATATTGTTTTGTCAAGATTTTTGATTCGGTTGCACTGATGTACGTGGATAAGTTAATGTTAGCAGGTATTTGAGGTGAATTATCATCGGCACTCCATTCGCTGGCACTGTCCGTGGCCGTCATTACTGATGAATCATCAATGATCAGTAAATTGCTTGGTTGTTGGATTAATGGCAGCTCAGGTGAAAATACTGTGTATGGTGTTTGATGTGATTGCCGATCGTTTGGATTATTGTTTCGGCTGCTGGACACGGTTCGAGCGGAAAATTCGATAAGGTCCGAATGGGAATCGGACTCTGACATATATTCTTCGGAGCTATTTGGAAATAGTTCATTGATTCGTTTACCATGATCGATGCTAGCACTGATGCTGTAGTCTCTATTGTTGTCGTTTATAATTGAATCCAAATGTCCGACCAAATGTGATGAGTCTGGGTAGGCAGCATTGTTTAAAAGCTCTTCGACGGCTTTTTCGTCAAACATTTCTGGTGGCAATGATATGTCAATTTTAGCTGCTGGTCCAGTTACGGGTCTCTCTGGCGGTGATGAATTCAAAATATCCATTGCAACAAAATCGGCTGCACGAAACAGTTGCACTTTCACTAACAAATCCAATAAATCACTAACTGTTGCACGTTTTCGACCCGATGTTCCCCATTCATCCAGCAGAATTGTCGTTGGCGAACGACGCATTTGTTTACTCGTTTCGTCTATTTGCCTATAGAAGAAAGGTGAAATTATAATTTTGACTTTTAGAAGAAATCGCTCAAAACTCACAGTCAGTTTTAAAAAAAATGGAAATAAAATTCAATCAATCAACACTTACTGGATATTTTCAGCGCTGTATTTTCGTGTTATTGATATTGAATCGGACTCATTTTTGATGTCAGCTAAATTCCGTGGAATTTTCTCCATTAAAGACTTCCATGATTCATTGTTGTCTAAAATTTGCGATAGCTGCAATGTTTGTGAAATTGTCAAGTGTCTCAGCTCCATGTTCGGTGATACTGACATAATTCAACCAATTTCGTCTGTTTTATATATTTCTTATCAGTGAGTTAAACCAAATCACGATTTCCCTTCGTATTTAACTTCACTTTTTGCCCTTTTTTACACTGTTCAACATCTAGCAACAGGTCGTAATGCTACACAATAAACAGCTCTACATTATTCATAGGCATTCTATACTAATAGCATTCACAATGAAGCAATTGTCATTGTTGTGCTTAAGTGCCTGTGCATACTTAAGCTTAAATAAAACTTTAATTCTACAGATTCAAATTGGGAGATATACGAAAAATCATTAATTTAACTCAACCAAATAGTTTCATATCGCTGCCAATTTTCTACTATATTTCAATTATTGCATAATTTAAATCAGAACTTTTTTTTTATAGTGTGTGTAATAATCAATCTTTATTTTAAATTCACAATGTTCGGAAACAGTTCAAATGTTATGTCAAACATTTCAAACTGAATTCCTAGTCTATATGAAGTAATATAATAAAAACAAATGTTCTAAATTACAATTCAATCAAATATATTCAATGGGAAATATCAGAAAAACACACAAAAAAATTGCTTCTAACAGTTTGATTGTGAAACAACAGAAAATTCAAACCGTTTGAAAATTAATAGCCAGTTATCAATAGCACATTATGAACAGAGAACCACTTGAATTTTCGTATCTGTACATGTCATTTCTTAAGTACACCTGACATGCAGACTGCATTGAATCTAGAAATAACAGATGGAGCAACACCAGGATACCGTACACTGTATACATTGATATTACGCGTGCTTAGCTCTTAACACGCATTGACTGTGACTATCACATGTATGGATTTTATAAAAACTTCTTTTTTTTTTCATCGCTCAGCGCAAAGTTGACAAGTGTATTCAAAAAATCTGGTTGCCGATGCAGTCAGTAGTATATAGACCTTAAACATGGCGATAAGTGTGTGTGTTTCAAGATGTCAAATATTATTTAAAATAAATACAAATGCACGGTCTTGTGGACTAACAAAATTGAATAGTGGACAATTATATTTGGTTAGTTGATGGATAATTTAAATAAAACACAAATGGAACAACGATGATTTTCAGAAATTTAGACTCAATTTCCAATGGGTTATAAATTATAATGCAGTGCATGTGTTTGTAAGGTTCTAACAACATACATAAAGGTTTAGCGCGGAATCGTATTCCTATGCAAGTTAAATAGAATGAAAGAAAGAAGAAAAAAAACTTTGGAAGTTTTCAGTTTTCATATGAAAGAAAATCATGGAAAAGATTTTATTGAGAATGATATGAATGCAAATGGAAAAATAAATGATAAAATGAAAGCGCATCCTTCAGTGGTGTGAAAGCATTCGGATTTGTTGTGTGTAACTTTTTGCAAGTATTCCTCTTCGAACAATCAAAACATTACAATGAAATCAACTGTTTGGTTGAGTGGATTTGAGATGAAAGCTCCAAAAATGGGTTTGAAAATCTCTGATCTCTTAATTATCAATACGGTAGAAAAATCGTCCACTCGTTTTTAATCTCGAGCCAAAATTTCAATTCAAATGTGTTCTGAAATTAGTATAGATTAAAGCTTGGAGAGTCATGTATGATTGTGGTATCAATTTGTAAAAAAAAGGTGATTTTATTCGGACATTCAGCTTACTTTTACAGCACTGATTCATCACAGTTGCTGCTAGTTCAAAGAAAAAATAAAAGTAGCGGCGACTCAATTACTCATCCCCTAGTTCCGTCTATCCACATGAGTAACTGAGATGCATGAGACATATTTATTTCTCTTGTTTAGAATAAACCCCACTTCTTTGCGACAATATTTAAACGAATAATGAAACATTGTTGCATAGAAATCGAATAAATGAGCAATCAAATCGGTTTTCATTTCAGCTCATTTCACACAAATATTGAAGAGGGAAAAAATGTTCACCTTTGGTTGCTAGAGTATTCATGCAAATAATTTTTATTCTTGTTTGCGCTAAAAATAACATTTTACCAGAGAGAAAACCACGAAAAAATCATATACATCGATGAGCCGAGAATTCCTGTATCAACAAGAATTGTAAAAATCGGTTCTTTGGTGCGATTAATTTTTTTTTTTTTTCATTTCTCTTCTGTTTCGTATTGCCATTTTATTTCGGGTCGAACAAATATTTCGGCACAAATAATTTGCTCCACTTTGGCCGTACTTTCATTGTGTGTATATTTATAGCAGCTGACCGACCAACATTTTTGCCTCTCGTTCGTCATCGGATAAGCTTTTTCAATATTTCACTACTCTTTTCTTTTGCATGTCATCTTTTTTGGTGTCTATATCTTTTCCTGTTGTTTATTCCCTATTATTGTGCAGAGATTCAGTCGAAACCGGTACACTTCAGTCAGAATGTACAGAGTAATAATCGTTGAAATTCAATTGACCATCGCATTTGCACCATAGTGCAATTGCATCGAATTGCTGATATATATATGTATATATACACGGCTGAAGTAAGCGAATCGAAGCGCTGAGAGGAAGCGGCATTGTACACTTATTTGTATTTTTGGACCTAGCTTTCGGCTATTCAATCAATCGATGCTGTTTCTATATGCAAGTGTCAATATTTTTAGCCTACCCTTTTGAAGCCTGACAATTTACATCTCGAATATGCAATGCAGTCACTTGCCTGGTGAAAGATTAATCGGTGCATTTGGAATAAACAAATCCCCTATCTTCGGGCACTGAAACGGCCTTTGTTTTCGTGTGTATAATCGATTGATTTTGTCGAAACCACACGCTGTATTCGAAATGATTCAACAAAGAAGCTGCCATTTAAAATTCATTCAATCCATGTTCAGTTCTTCTGAAAGTTTCATTCCCTGCATATATTACTAAGCACAAAGGAGATGAACTGAAGAGTTTATACAATGAATGGTAAATTGTCGAAGTAAGAAGCGACCAACAGAATAAGAGACGTTCGAACACTTGGACAATTTTTCGGAACAATTATTTAAACAACATAAACGGTTGTGGCCTACATAAATTTGGCTTCTGTTGACACTGTCGCTGTGACTATTTCCAATTTACCTCGCCCAGTAAAAAATCATACTGAAACAACCTATCATACACCGCTATTATAGCGGCGCTATATGCTATAGCTTTTTTTCACGCTATTTCCTTCCGTGTCACATAGCATTGAAATAAAGCACACACACACACACACACACATATATAAACGGGCCGAATTTTGAAAAATAAAGAGAGAGATTTTAGGATTCGGAAAATGTGGAAAAACACATTGAAATTTATCATCATTAAAGAGCAAATAAAATCAATGGCATGAAAGCTTCGACACATATTTTATGAAGGGTAAAATATGCTTGTGAGGCATTTTACGCATTTTTCCGAAACGGAAAGTGTCCGATAAAACATTGTGTTCGAAGAAAAAAATCGGCGACTGGAAATGTGTTCGGCATCACTCGACGATCAACTTGAATGCACATAAAAACAATGTTCGCTCATTAGAAATACTGTTCGAATGGTTCTTTTCTATTATCTTTAAATCTTCCATGCAATTTTGGAACAATTCATGGGACATTATTCGTTTGTGTGTGAAAAAAGATTTTTTTTTTATTCTTTTAAGCAGAAGCCAGTATATTTCCGGCATTTTCCATTCTCATATTATGGTAACCGATTTTTCATCTTTTTTTTAACTCTAGAATTTTCGTTTAAAACAAATGATATTTCAAAGATAAAATAAAAGAACATGTCAAATGGGAAAGAATGCTGGGAAAAGGAACAATGTCAAACAACATTTGGCAGAAGTCCAATTGTGATTTTCTGTTGCGTTCGTTTAGTTTGACAGCAATGGGCATTCGTTGTTGTTAGCAATGTGCGCAATGTTCTGGTTATGTTTACTGCAATCAAGGAAATAGATTCGGCTAGTGTCAATAGCAGCAACTGAGAAAACGGCGGCATAAACAATGTGTGAATCGTATTGTCAAACAACCGAAAGATTTGTGTTGTATGCAGTGCAGCGAAAAGAAAACAAACAAATCAAGAGAAAAGAAAACGAAAACCATGCGACACATCACACAGATCCTTAATATGGTCAGGCCTGACTGTGAAACAAATGCATACTCTTTTTGGCTTTTCAAGTTATTGAATTTGTAGAAAAGGTACACATTTAGCATTCATGCTCGAATGTATTTATTACTAGTCACAAGCTGACACCAATCTCCCAGCATACAGTTTGTTACGAGCCCTTCCACTTTGGCGCTTCAGAATTGCAAGTCGTAATGAAGCATGTCGGTGTATGTGTATAATATAATGTGTATGCGTAAGCGACATACAGGCAAATCAGTGAACTAATGAATTATCACACAAAATAAATATCCTATTTTCCGCTCAAACAGTGTGTCGGAACCGCAATGTATTTTGACAGCCCTCCACCCAGAGTTCCATATCCATAATAGGAGAATAAATTCCATATATGCATATGAATGGGGCAACCACCATTACCAACAACAACAAAAGACATCAAAATCACACTGAAAATACTGCAATTCGAAGGCATGGTTCATGAACAACAGAAATTTATGAGTTTGCAGTAAAGTTGAAAATATAAAACAAAAAATATATCACACACAATGACGCATATGTTGCGATCGGATAATGGAAAAAAAATGGCAATAACGTGGCAAAATCAGAATCAAACTAATTTGTTTTCGGTCCGTTCGGATGCGGACAACTTTACGAAACTTTAGTAATACATTGTTGACGACAATTTTATCTGGCTTTTAATGTTTACGTCAGATGCAAACTCTTTATTTTTCATATAACAACGAATCAATGTACACACACCACGCGTTCGTAACACTGTTTTGAATGAAACCAACCAAAAAATAACAACCCCGCCTCTTTCTCTACCCCAACACATTGTTAACAGTTCATTGAATTCATCAATTCACTGTTTATGATTCAGAAATGGCCATTGTTTACGAAATTCTATATGAAATGAAGTTTGTGTGTTCATCGCTTTTAATCGCACAAAAATTGACTTTCTTCCTCATGTCAAGACATCGTTAAATCGGATACACAATGGTAGAAGCTTTAGTACATCGAAACGAATTGAGGGCAGCTCAAGTGACGAAGAGGGAGATGAAAAGCGCTCGAGTACCAGTGATTCGTCTTCACACAGCAGTGACGAAAAGTCGAAAGAAGAAAAAGGCAAGTATTCCTCTTAAGATTTTGTTTTTGAATACAATTTTACATAGCAATTTTAATGTTATGTTAATAAGTAGCATGAGATCCTCATTTCAATGGGTAAATTTTTCGAAACTGAAAAACTCGAGTAGAATAAGAACAAGAACTATATGTACGCGATTCACTTTTGCCAGAGTGGTATGAAAAAAGGGCTGTTTTAATGACAAATGTTTGGTGCGAATATAATATTTTATGGCAATGAAAATGTACGCCTTTTTTCACGGCTCACGCGATGACCGACTCCTTATGACTAAGAAATGGCAGTGGCGTCAACTGCACATGCATGAACTAGCACGATTTTCTCTCACATACAGTTTCATTTGCGATTTCAATGTGAATTTTCATTAATTCAAATAAAGTGCAGAACAGAAAATTAAAAAATTCTCAAATTCCATAACAAATGGGACATAAACTCAGCTTGCAATAATTCGATTCTTATCAAATGTCGCAGAAAATATGGCATATACTTTATGAATGAAAGAGCTAATAGCTTTGTTGGTTTCCTTCCCCGAAATCTCAATGCATTTGATTTTAAATTAATTACTATTGTATACATATCATATAATCCAATATTCACATCATATGATTATGTTTATCCGCGAACTCGGTATCGACTCGGAATAAAGCTGAATGGCCCAAGAATCGGGAAAAAAACACAAATGAATTCGGTCCATAGGCTTTATTGTATATTTTAAAGTTGAATTAGCAATATAACATTATATTGATTATTATTTTTTTTTAATTGTTGCATCCAATTTTTATACAATGAATATAAATCAGTAGACTATAAAGAAATTAATTCATAAAATAAATCATAAGTGTATGCTTTCTTTTTGCTCTGCGCTTGTTTTTTACTTCTCAAAATGAATAAATCCTTCCTATTTTATTTTATCAACAACAATCTTAGCAATCAAGTACAAAGAGCCGTTCAACGAGAACATGCACTTTTCTAATTCAGCCGCAACCACAACGACGCTGAAAATATTCGAATAATTGTTTATAAAATACAGACGTGAAGGCGTGAAATGAAAAATATAGAACAAACGATAAATGATTGGTGATTAAATTTTAAGTATGTTTCGTTCGTTCCATGTACTATTGTTTGTTGTTCTTTTGTTTTTTTTTTTTTTTTTCAACGCCGATTAAATTGGTTACTTTACATACCAATGCGTGAAATTGAAAAATAAAGAAAAATCAATACGGCAAATTCCCATAATTACTGTAGCTGCTCGCTGTGTTAGTTTTGTGTTTTTAGGCACTGATGAACACTCTTTGGCCGTCAGAAGAAACAATAGCAACAAATAAACTTTAGGCGGTAAATGCTTAACAAGTTAAATATTAGACGTTGCATTTAGAAATTCCGAGCAATACATATTTGTGTCCCTTTTTTTTATTTGGTCTATTTTTTTGGTTCGATTACTTCGAATTCTTCGAACTCAATGTCATCGTATTTTGGCTTGCGTTTCAATGCCATGTCATTTGCGAAATAGTTTTTCTCAAGCGAATCCCATTTCACCAAATTGTTTTTCTTGCTTTTCTCCTCTTCCGATCTGGCAACTGCCTTGCACAAATCTTCTAAGATTGCTTTGTGATTTTCCTTCAAAAGCTGTCGTTCATCCAGTTCAGCTTTGGTGAGCATCGATGTTGGTCGAACAGTCGCTGTAGTTTTTCCTGAACGAATTTCACCGCCGTCGCCGCCGTTTTTCCCATTAAATGATTCTTTTCGTGATGCCGATTTAACTTTGTCTTTCTCTTTATTCGCTTTGATATTCATGTGAAGCGCAAGATCAACATCTTTATTACGTGGTAGTAAAATTTCCTTCGATGGTTTAGCAGAGATATTGCTACTGCTATGCGCTTTCATACCTATCGCGTTTATGTGATTTTTCACACTGACTTGTGATAAAATTTCCATCGGGCCCAAACGGTCCATTGATTTTGACAATCCAGTCAAATCTTCCTTCCGATAAGCCGCATGTGATTTTGGCTTTGATGCATCGGCCGCCGCCTTCTCAATACATTTCGATTCAATGATACGTGGTACACGTTTGTCTTGAATTGCATTCGTTTCAATTCGTTGAATGATATTTCGAACCGTGTCTTCGGTATTCGAAATACTGCGATTTCTTGAGCAGAACTTGTGTAATGGCCCATCATTAAAACGCGTTCCGGCCAATTCCAAACGACTGTTGCAGCTGTTTGACTTTATTAAACGTAATTTCATACCTGAAAAACACACAGACATGCGAAAATGTTTCAAAACAAATTGTTGAAATATTCAGTGTCAAAAGAACACAAATTTTACCCAAATGATTTTTATCCGCATCACAGAAACTCGTGTACAATCTGTTCGCGTGTAGAGCATTGTTCGGGTGACAAACTTCGCAAATGTTATTATCACTGTGAATTTCCCGCATTATAGCTTTTGTCATTGGGCTTACTTCGGGTGATTGATTGTTCAGCACACGGCCGCCGTAATACGTTACCGATGAACCGCACTCACGAATCTTTTCCAGTATATCCTTCGATAAAAGAAAATAGATCGTAAAAAAAAAAATACAAAGGAAATCAATGCGAATCGAATTTCGATAAACATTTAACAAAAGTTTACACCGAATATTATACACCCAAGTGTCAAATCATGGAGAGGTCAAATGATTGTGTTTTGTTTTACCTGGCTTACGTAGTACGATTCGCACAGTTCATTGGCGTTCTCGTTGGACATCATTTTTGTGTCATCGTTATCGTTGCAGTCACAAGGTGAGCTCAAATCACCGCTAGATATTCCACTTGACAGGCTGGATGAATCCCATTTTTTAATACGATTACAAACATTTCCCGTTGCACTGTAAATAACGCCGCTGCTATTCAAACTGTGTTTGCCATTGCTTTTGGTAGGCCCGTTGTTGAATGTTTCCAAGGTCAAATACTTTCGATCGATACTTTTACAATTTTCATTCAATCCAATCATACTTCTCGACTTTTGCGCTTTCATCGGGCACAGCAGCAACGTTTCCTCGAACAGTTTTTTTGCTTTACGAACGGTGTCCGGTGTGGGCAGCTCTTCATCTATCAATTCTTTATTCACTCGAATCGGATGATAAAAAAAATGTTTTCTCAGTCCACCTTTGCCACCATCACTTGATTTTCCAGCACCAGCTGTAACTTTGCATGTCAAAAGTTGCGATTCATGTGACTTACTCGATATTGGTTCGATTTTCGTTCGCACTGGCTCAATGATGACCACATTATTCTGGGTTAATAGTTCCTATAAAAAAAAACAACAACAACAACAAAAACCACAACAAAAGAATGAGAAAAAAATCAATAGAATATTTAAGCATTAAAAACAGTCACGAAATAGGCATTCATAATCGTAATCATATGTGGATATGCCTTAAACGGCAAGTATTTTATGCTGTACCTGGAAACGATAGTCGTTCAAATATTGTAGCAATCCGTCCAACGGCGGCTCTTTGCGTGTTTGATTTAATAAGTTTTTCTGGAATGTGTCGGTTTTCATAACTTTGTATCGCACATGGTCGAAATCCTCTGCATCAACGCCTTGCACCTTAACGATAGCAGCTTGCTTTTGGTCGTCTAGCTCAACGATTTCCACCGATGGTGTGTAACTGTTTAGCTCGTCACGATCTGTATATAACAATGAATGTAATCCGGATGCGGCTGAAGCAGCTCTTCGTAATGTATTATTCGACACGCTTATGGTTGGTGGTTTTAAGACCATTTCCTCAACATTCGTACCAGATTTTGTGGATTTGCTCATATCAACGATGCGATTCAGTGTTGAGTTCGTGCTATTTACGCCAATGCACGTGTTTGCTTTTGGTTTTGCCTTTGCTTTTGCTTTTGCTATTGTTTTTGTATGCTTGTTGGTAGGATTTTCCGTTGTTTTTTCAACAACACCGTCCACTTTATCATCATCATCCTCGGCCGTATCTATTAATTTTGACCAATAGCTTCGTACCGAATCCACCTTGCGTAGCATTTCATGTTTCGCTTGACCGGTCACCGTTGTATTGACATTGATCATTTCATTTTCTTTGTTCTCTTTGCTATTCTTCAACGCTGATTTCGGTAGATTGCGTTTCGAATCAATCACGTGCATTATTTGGGGCCGCGACATGTTGAAATTCGGTTGAACAATGTGTGTTTTGATGTTTTCGATAATTGCCTGTTGGACTCGGGGGTTTCGGTGATGTTTTGGCTTATCGATATTTCGGGTCAATTTTTCGTTGAGATTGTGCTTGGTTTTGCTTTCAAGTCGTCGCTTCAGTGTGTTCGACAGATTGACTTTCAAATTGGCATTCAAGCGATCACGACTATCACCGTAGCGTTCACCACTCTTGCCGTAGTGTTGGCGTTTTGAGTAATGTGATTTTTGATATGATTTGTGTCCGTTTCGGTTTACTTTAACAGCTGGCACATCGACTGTTTCCTCAATGGTTCGATCTCTTGAGATTTGAATGTCGGGCGAGCTACTGTATTCAATTGGCTTTGAATGTGCCGGCAATGAAATGTTTCTCGGTTTTTCGCGTATTTCGTCGATTTCACAATTCTTCGAACTCAAATTTTCCACTTCATTCAATTCCGCTGAGAATAGCGAGACACTTTCCTCCTCGTCTATTTTCACTAGGTGACTCAAATCATCGGCATCGGTGATATTGGCCGTTGAATTGGTTTTTGTCGCGGCAGCCACTACGTCACCAATTGGATTCGATACGTGGTGGTTTCGTATGTTTTTATGGTTAGCGGTGTTGATGTTGGTGTTATTGTTGGTGTTGTTGTTTTGTATAGTGAATTCAATAAAAATGGGCTCCTTCGATTTGGCCTCCTTTTCAATTGGTATTGGATTTGGTGGTGAGGGTTCGTATGATTCGCGCTGGCGAAGTTTTTTGTGTGCACGACCAAAGTTTGTAATTGAATCGTAAATTTTCGTTTGCTCTTCCAACGGATAGCAAGACAATCGAAGTTTTGCATCAATACGTTCGGATGCTTGAAGACTTCTGCTAATATTAGCCAACGGCAACGAACAATACTGATTTTCAATAGCTGCTTCACGAGCAACTGTCGGCTTTTCAACTTTTTTATTGACTTCGTTGTGCGAAGCGCTTCCCGATGAAATGAATGTGAGTCGCTCTAACGTACCTCGATTCGATATATCCGAGAACGTGGTGAGTTTAGTTTTCGTTTCGCCTCCTCCTTCGTTGCTTTTGGCTAGTGGAATTTTGTTAATTTGACTGTACAAATTGTCACCGTCGTCTTTTGCAATCGGTTCGGTCGTGGTTGCTATTGCTGCCGCTACGGTTGGTTTTATATCTTTCTTTGTATTCATATACTCACTCAGCGTACTATAATTATTATCGGAAAGGTATTCATTAATTTTTTCCTCTTCTTCGACAATTGTTGCGGCCTCGTTGCTACCTTCCGATGACAAATAAATTGAATCATACGATATTACACTTTTATGGTCTTCTCGGAATTTCGGTTTTCGATCTGATTCAATCTCATCAATGCTAACAATATCCGAGATGCGACGATTCTCTGCTTGCTCGTTTTCGCAAATAATCAATGGTCCATTCGATCGTTTCGCTTTGAATGTGTTCGTATCGACGCCACCATTCACATGAATGACCGATACATCTTCAGCGCTAACAAATTTATTGTTTGAATAAATTTCGTCGGTTTTGATTGTGCAGTAGTCGGGCAATGGTGATTGCTCTTGTGTATCCGAACGCAGTGACAAATTATCGTCAATATAACCGTTTTGAACTGATATGTCTGGCGTTCCAATTACTCGTCCCGTATACGGATCCTTGCCATTTCCCTCATATGCCGAATAAATTCCACTACCATCCAATTGATGTAATGAATTTTTGAAATAATCCGAATCAAGACTATCCAAATCGCTTTTATCGTTCACCCACAATGCTGGCAATAGCTTTTGGTCACCCTTTTGAATGATTTGCGATCCTTGAAGCTTCTTTAAATTGCCACAGTAATCGTCTGATTCGCGTGTTTCCGACGTTTGTGTATCAACGCCGCTGCCGCTATCGTCTTCACCACGATACTTCTTCCGACTGATGATGTTGTTGGTGTTGTTATTGTTATTGTTGTTGTTACTGTTGTTGGTGCTGCTGTTGCTGCTGAAATCACAACACAAAAAACTAAAATTATAAGTGAGTTTGTTTTGCTGAAAGGAACTCATGACTCATGGGAAGAGCGAACTTTTGAATAAATCATTCCAATGGTCGTCATCGTTATGGTTATGCATATTTTTCTTACGATGAATCGTAAAATAAACCATTTATATAACATTCTTTGAATGGATTGTGTTCGCAATGGTGCATTTTCAACAATCTGACCCTCCTGAATGTATGTGTTTGGAATATATTTTTCATAATTTACAATCGATTTAAACATAACCGCAATCATTCTTCCGCAAAAATCAACTTACAATCTAACAACGTACATTCAAGAGCAATGTCGCAAATAGTAAATACAATGCAAACTTATACCGATTTTGGAAAAAGCTGCGGTTCAACAGCTTAGCACGTGGTATCAATTGTGAGCGTCTTGATCGGATGCCGCCACCAATTTGTAAATCGTTGAATGTCTCTTCGCGTATAACAGCCAAACTTCTGGTACGACGCAAGCTACACGATTCCGATTTGTTAATTGTGTCCAAAGTTTGCTCAATACGGTCATATATTGATTCAACTTTTTCAGCTATAAAAATTCAATCAAAAAGAAGCAAATCATTATTGATTTCTTGGTCATTGTTGTTGTTTTTGCAACGAGACGGCGTAAAGTGTGTTAAATTATTTGAAAATGTGAAAGAGAGGCGAAGAAAACAAAACGAATCAGCCGCAACATATTTGTGTTCTCGTCCAACGGCTCAGCCATGTAAAACGGTTGAAAATATCGTTGATAATGCTGACTTGGTAGAAATTCCCAACATACCATAATCACCGAAGTGAATAATGGCAGCGAGAGAGGAGGGAAAAAACAGAACGGGCAAAAAAAAACATATTTTCTGAGTAGCGTTACATCGAGTCGTTTTGAACGCTCTCATGTTACACAGATTGATGTATCGTTGCACATAAAATACACTTAAAATATGCATGGCCATGATTTGAATATGAGCGTTCTTATTGCCCTTTAATCGGGAAACATGCTGTTGACTAACGATAGATAGATCAAATGTAACCGAGAAAATATGAAGTGGAAGAAAGAAAGAAAGAGAGGAAAATGACACGGGGGCATTCAAATTTACTTACCACTATTTACGTTTGTATTTCCATACAAATTTTCCAAATCGTTTTTATCTTTTCTGGCTTCTAAGCGTGAGTATAAATCGTACAGGCTGGATGTGTACCCTTTAGTTTGTTTAGTAAACGAGTGTTTGCTTTGCGAGGTTAAATCGATGTTGGATAATGAACGATGACGCCAACCGGAACCACGTCCAGGTCCACCAAATTGACAATTTGAATCGGGCACACGAACACGATCGACGTGGTTTTGTGCTGAATCAGTATTTCTATTGCGCAAAAATTAGACACAATCTGATTATTAATTAAAACATGTTAAAATAGATCGAATGACTCTAGCTTAATATTTTTAAAATCATACTAGCAATGTACAGACAAATACTTGTGGTTTCTTTCGTTCTATTTTATTAACTGTCGCAAAAATTTCATCTTAAGCAACACACATTTGGTATTCCGTAAGCGGATAGAGCAAATTTTGCCATTGAAAATCTCATCACACCCGAATGGAATGTGAAATACTGTAAAAAGCAATCATTTGACAATGGAGATAAGATAATTTTCTCCTAAAATAAACAGTTTATCTCGTGTAGGTGAATTTAACGATAAGACCATTTACAGAAACAATTACTACATTTGCTAATCGTTTGCAAAGATGCATCCGGTTACTTTCTCGATGCGAAAAATGTACGTGAATTCGTGCTGCCCGTATTTGAAACAAGCAAATTTTGACTGCACAAACGCATAATGTCGTTGCCTCGACGAATGCTATGTTTGCTTTTAATAGTTGTTGCGTGCAAAAAGATTTGTCGCTGCTGCTGGGATTGTAGTCGGCGGTGTGTTTTTCTGCCAAATAACTGCGGTACAAACACGAAATGTGAGCATACAGTGTATGTGTGCTTATCTCATTTTGAAATCGGTTAGTTCCATGTGTGTAATTAGTCGATATAACATTTTGTGATTTTCAACTATTTTACCCAATGAAACTCAATCACATGTTCCCGATGCAAATTGATATTATGCTTCCAACAAACGAGACCTCTTTCGTGTGTCTGTGTGTGCATAATTTATTAGGGGAACATTTATTAAAGGGAAGCAATTTATTGCAAAATTAATGATAACATATCCAATAACAGCGATTTGAATGAACAAATGCGATGCTTTTTGAGCACGCACCTGCTGCGGTTTACGCTAATCGGCTGCGAAACGTTAGTGAGTTATTTTATCTAATTTTGGAAATCAATTTAGATCAGCTGGCCAATTCAATTGTTCGTTGTGTGCATATGAAAATCGAAAAAAAAAAACTAACTTATTATAGAAAAAATTGCATTGGAAAAAGTGTTCATTCAATCGAAAACAAAAAAATCTGTATTCAATGCATTGTTTGCTTGGGCAACAACTATACTTTCAACAAAGTTATTCTGGTTTCGTTTCGCTTCCTATATAAATTTTTTTAAATATAACTGCATTTCAAAGTGTTCAATTGTATGAAAAAGTACCACTATGTGAATCAGTCAGCATAAAAATGGCTTTAAAAATAATTCTCTAGCGATTGTGGTGTGGTGCAAACTGATTAATTAGAAAGAAATTGAAGAAAGAGAGAGAGAGAGGGAGAGAGAGAAAAATGCACGCACACCAAACATTCCATTTTAATTATACCAATTGTCAATTGTAACTCTTCCGCAGCCGCAACAATATACGTTGACATCGTTACCGCTGCTGTAAATTGCATGAAATCGCATTTATCCGATGAAAAAATTCACTTTCATTCGGGGCATGGTATGGACCGATTTTGCCATCAACTTTCATATAAACAATGCCATGCATCCGGTTCGGTTCACAGACAAATATCAACGCAGTCATAATATAAATCGGAATTTTATTATTTACAACACTTTAAAATTGTACAAATTGAAGGCACTTAGAATTTATCGATGTGTGTGATAAACGTAACATTCATCTGCAACTGCATACCAAGGGCCAACTAATCGACAGCACACAATAGATAGCTTTGACACTGTTCTTTTTTTTTTAAAAGGGAAATAAGACCGCAGCAGACTCGGTTTAGCTCGAGATTATTTCCGAATGTAAAAGATATAAAGAAATGATGCCAGTCGAACGGTAGTCGATATCTCCCATATGAAATGGTGATAAATTGTATGAAATGGCAATTTTGCATAATAAATGAATAGTAATTTACATTTCGGGTTAAACATTGAATAACCCGAACAGCAATATGAACAGCAGGTGCACAAGTGAATCATTTCATCGGAACTACCGACGACAGTGAGAGACTACCAATCACAATGGTACTGATAGAGACTCCTGCACATTGACACTTTTCTTTCAACTTTTCCAATTGACTGATGCGACAATCATGAATTCCACACAGAAACATGGTTTCGATATTCGATTAAGCCAACTGCATTATATGGCATGTCGATCTTATGCAACCCAATCGAAATCTCTACCAAAAACATTTTCCTCAATGTTCAGCATTCTATCCATTCACGCAATGACACAAATTCTTTCTCTCGGTTTTATTTTTGTTACTCTTGTCATTTGTGAAAAAAAAAAAGCACTCCACATAATAAAATACTAGCTTTCACGGTGCTCATCTTTTGCATGCATCTTTTAACACGTTGTACCATCCGTTTGTTGAACGGATTAAAATTCATTGTGGCGCAGTTCCGCTTCCACATTCATTTCACTCTGCCAATGCAATGAATTGTATTCATTTGTATGGCACACTTTCGGTTGTTAGCCAGCTGTTGGCCAGAATTTGCCCCGTTAAAACAAGCAATAAGAACCATTTTTTTTTCTCTGTGAGCTGTCATTCTGTCTGATTAAAATGTTTAATTGGACTCATCTCTCTATACGATCCAATGAATTTGTGTGCAAAATACATATTATACATATAAATAATTTGTTCTATACTCGTCAGAACAGTTTTATGAGCGGACTATCGAAGGTCATCATAATCATTAGCGATAACAACAACAGATTCTTCTTAATTTAAATTATTTCTCTCCCTAAGCTTATAAGACGCACACTATTCTGAATTGAATGTACAAAATTACCGCTCTACAAGCGAACCGTAATGATTTTACTTCAGTTCTAGTGTAAAAGATGATTTGCGATAAGCAAAGCCATTCTAAAACCGAGAAAAAAAACTTGAAAACCAACAGCCCCATTGTATCTTATAAGCAAATGCTAAATTGAATTCTGCATGAAATTGCATGCATGAATGACGCCACTATTGTTTTACGATTGAAATATAGTTTGTGTCGGGCTGAGCGCACCGAGCACACAGGAAAGTCATAAATCGAATGAAAATCCTTGTAAAATTATTTAGCATCATTATTATTCTAGCGATCGTCGAAGAAATGGTTCTAACGTCATTAAATCACTTGAATGCTAAAGGTGTTGACAATTAGAAAGATGCATCATTTGCTGACACAAAATCCATTGGATTCAGCAAGTGGCCTGATCGATTCCGATTTGCCAAAATGTTTTGTACTTTTTTCTTCAATATTTATATAGTATTAAGTAACACCAGAAAGTGAACAAAATTAAATATTGAGATAAGCTCCATTTTAATGTCGACAAAATTGTTTCGGTTCACTTGTTTTTAACATTCAGTCAAGAAAATAAGAGAAACAAACAAACAGCAAATTGAAAAATTTCAGTCAAAACTATCACTTAACCGAAATAAAAATAAATCCGGTCCTATAGAATACACGAAACAAAACTGATCAACAGGTATTCACTGAAATGTTATTCAGCAAGCAAACATTCCCGTAATTTCCTGGTTACACGCGATATATTTTATCTTGATTTGGGCCACACAAAAAAAGAGTTCAAAAAATGATATTGTAATCGTGGAATAAGACGAACGAATGTAACACACTCGAACGCCTTCAAGGGAAACGAAGTTGTTGAAAGGAATCGAAATAATCTTTGAATTTATATTACATAAGAACAAGTCAAAATGTGGCAATGTAAATATTTGATTATATTCACTAATTTGATGATCTTTTCGCATATGATCTTGAATTGTGTTAATTATTCAATTTAGTCGGAAATTTTTCTAATGTGTACGCTATCGAATATAACTTCGTTACAAAATTAACACACGCAACGAAATTTCGATAGGACAAATAAATTACGTCAATTTGCACATTTTTTTTTTTTCTCTCGTTATTTAACATTTTTGTTCACCTTTTCGAACGCACGAAATGTTCTTAATCAGTTTGAGTCTTGAGCTTCTTGTTGCGATCGAGAGAGTAAAACCAAATGAATAATACTGTAAGCGCTCCACTTGACTACGATCACCTGTGGCTATTTTTGACAACTATTTCAATTCCAGTTGAGTTCCAAGCAAAGAGCCTCGTGTTTTTTTCTCAACAATGTGTGCTTCCACACTAAATGCTGGTTCAATATGGGATTTGCATCAAACGTCGCATAATTAACCGAATTACAACAACAATGTTATTATAAAAAAAAAAATGTATATATACATCTATCTCCAAATAGATATAAACACATAAAAAGACAAAATAAAACAATCATGAGCAGCGGGAGAAAAAAAAAGAGAAACAACTGAACAATGAAAACCAAAAGCACACCGACAAAAAAAAAATCATTCACACTACAGTGCACACTTGTTCAGTTCATGTACGTTTTTTTTTTTTTTTTTTTTTGTTTCCAAATGAATATGACAATATAATAGAAAGAAACAATTCGTCGCTCAAGATACAAAAATTACGGAAAATGATAAATAAGAAATAAAGAAATCAACAATTCATTATAGCCATTGCGTGCGTCTCTCCGTTTGAGCATTTGTGTTGCTTTTTAATTTTAGTACTGAACAGAATGAGTGAGCGTGCGAGTTGGCAAATGAACGAGTGCGCGCTTTCATTGCTTGTGCCGCGAAAAGAAGCAAACACACATCTTGACAGGCATTTGCTTTACCTGGCGCCCCTTTCTATAAACGACAATAATGCGCACTGACACAAAACACGCAAAGATCAACGACAACACTTATTAATAAATAAATAAAATGATTTTGTTTTTCATTTGGACAAATTTGCTTTTAATGTATGAAACGAAATATGTTCAATAGCAATTTGTTGGCAATTTTTTTTTCGGGGTGATGATGTAAACTGTGAAATCTTCATTGTGTGTATTGAAGGCGACAATGCGTTAGACAAGAAATTATTCATTTTGGCACACGACCGACACATCTGATCGTAGTTAATCAGCAATCTAACATCTCGATGAAATTCACGGGAAAATGAATGTACATTTTGTCAGATATAGCAAATGAAAATCGTATTGGCAATTTGGTTTTTGGCCTTTTGAATTTTACCGTTGTTTTGTTTTGTGTGTTTGTGATTACAACAAACAAAAATTTGATGAGCACAACGTTAACATGGTGGCCATGCCAAATTTTCTACGGTATTGTGTTTTCGCTAACGCTAGACACAACATGACCACTCGTAAACAGGATACATTGTCGCTGAAATCCGAATTCGGATGAGAGACAAAAAACATTATGTGATTAACATAACCACGTTCTGTCCATCAAATGTTGCTGTTGTTGCAACGATGAAACCGGTAATGTGATTGTTTCAAATAGTTCATTGCGCTAAGTGACAAGCAATCATAAATCACATGCACTTCGTCGAATGCTAGCAATTTTAATGAGAGATCGAAAAGAACACGAAAAATAACACAACTACAAAACAGCATCGAGAACTAATTTTGCAAACAGAAAAGCGAACAATAATTGGTTCATTTATAAATGAGATTTATGTGGTGAGGCAAGCGAATGAATTTAAATTGGTCAATGTATGTGTGAAAAAATGTCAGCATAAAGGAATAATTACCAAATAATTTGCATTCAGACACTCTCAACCCATTTGGCAATAGTAAATAATTATAATAAATGAAATTCAACGCGCGGATCAAACGGATAGATATTTAAAAAAGAAAGAACAATTTCAAAAACGAGAGAGAATAAAAAACATAACGGGACATCAATTCACAGTGAATTTGTTTTTTTAAAGCGTTAAAGACGTCCCGAATGTGTGATTCATGCGCTGCAGAAAGCAATTATCTTGCAATTTAGACAACAACAATAACAGCGTTAAAATTTACGTGCAAACATTTCATTAGCATTCATTCAATGTCAACGGTATGGTATTGATAAGCAATGGATGATCACATTTGTGGCATAGAATCAAATCTCTATTGGCGAGATTTTTTGTTTTTATCACATACACAATTTTATTTCGCTTAATGTCACAATAAATCAGCTCAAATATTGGCTCGTAATTTGTCAAGCGAAATGATTTAAATTTGATTGCGAAAAGATAGCAAAACAACAAAATTTTGCGTGAAACAAGCATATTCAACAGAGAATATCGATTGAGAGCCAACACATACACAATTTGTGGCAAATTCGGTTGGCTATGATCAGATTGATCGATATAATAAATATTTAAGTTGACAAGTGAAAAAAAAAAAACGACAGGAAAATGAAAAACGAAAAAAAAAAAGTAAAAGCATGTTTGATAATGGGGCAGTTCGTCGAAAATAATAATTTATTGGATCAATAAGGCAGAAATGTGCGGTGCCTGGGGCGTGTTAAGTTGCAAAATGAATTGCATTAGAGTGTTAAATTGCAGGCGTATTGAGTTGAACATGAACAAAAAGACACAAATACGAATTATATCAACTGCGTCTTAGCGGCACGTTTGACAAAAAAAACAAACAAACAAAAAAACGAATTAGTAGCGAGCGAAATAATGCACTAAACATGGATAAAATGATGATACCAAAAATCAATTTTCCCATCAAATTTCGTTTTGTTGCGATGGCACTGCATTTTTATTTCCACTGCTTTAAACTTATTGACGCAGCGATTTGTGATGGTCCAATGATCGGTGCCAGGCTTTGAATGAGTTGTTATATATAATTTTGCAGCGATTTGAAAAGAGCTCTTTGACAACAGCTACACTTTCAAGTTGACGCTGATTCTGTAGCAACAAACAATGTGGAATAATTGAACGCAAAACCGAGGGAGAAAAAAATAACAACATTCAACACACCATCAAGGAAAGTTCAAGTGTTGAAGAGATGCCGGAATGAACGAATTGTTGGAAAATTGTTGACGAATGATGGCTTTGGCGTTCATTTCGAATTTTAACACTTGCAAACCAATTCTATTGTCCAAAAAAGTCAAGAAACTAGATGCGTTTATGTGTGTCCCTGTCCATTTATGTATCAAGATGTGTATGATTTTCTTTCGCATTCAATTAGGCTATGTAATACGGTTTTTTATTTAACAACTTACTTATACTTGCTACGTGTCTGTGATCCTTGCATATATCCCATTCGAGTGCCTCCATTACAAAAACCATTACTCTGTCCCGAACCTATGATGGCAATTGAAAACCGCACTCAAAAACTAAAGAAAATTGATTTTCCCGATATCGGTGTTGTGAAACCGATCTGTAGGTTTTTGCTTAACAGTGTTCGTCGGCACTTGTACAATTTTGCTTTTCAGCTTCGTCGTTTCTTCCTCCTTCTTTTCTTCAATACAAATTGAAATATATCCTTTTACACTGAACACTTGTTTTTGTTTTTTTTTTTTCTTTTTGTTTCTATCTCAAAGGGAATTTGCTCAAGATAAAACTTTTGATGGCTCAATCAAATTAACCAAATAAATTGAAACGTAACGATGTGATAAAATTGTTTAAAAAGAAAACAAAGGAAAAGAAAATTTAACGCAATTTTATCGATTAAATTGTTTTTTTTTTTTTTTTTGGTGACTTTGTAACAATTTCCAAAATGAATGGATTTCAATTGTTGTTAAACTGATTATATCAAATCGATACCCGGTCCGATCGCAATGAAATGTTAACAATAACTGAAGTGAATTCCACCGGTTTTAGTGGAAGAAGAAAAAAATGAAAACCTACCCAATGGAAGACGAAGAAGAATGAGCATATACAGAGCTAATAAATTTAATACTTCGATAGTTTTCGCTATAGTGTTTGATATACATTTAAAGAAAATCTCTTTGGATGTTTCTGCTGTTGCTAGTGCTTACTTCTCCAGTGGCCAAAGCCGAAGCAGAAATATTGCTCGTCATAGTGAATGCACGCGTTTATTGTATGGGTATGAACACAGCCCACATTTTCGTGGTTACAAAATGCGTTATATTGTCTGCTTTATTAATTGGCTTAGTTTTATTTTTATTAACGAAAAGAGAAAAAGAAACAAAAACGGCGCTAATATTTTAGTCGATTGAATTTTTTTTTTTTTTCACTTAGAAACTTAAGCCAATGTGTTGCATGTATGCGGTTTTATGTTGCGGGTGCATTGAGAACACTCTCTATTCCAATTAGTTGGAATTTGGGCGGCCTGTATTGAGCAGACAACTGCTGACGAGATGAAGTTTTTTTTTTTGTTGGAAGATTTAAAAGATAATCTCTTCCGAAAGATGTACACACGATGATTGATTGCGTGTAATCGATATTACGCGTAGATTAAGCATGACAGCAAACACACTCCATAAATCTATTTCAAGTGTATGCGACTCGATATGTTAGGTTGTCACGACAGTGTGCTCTCTTCGTATTGGCAATCCATTTTCTAATTGGAAAAGTTTGGATTACCATTCCGTCGATTTGTTTACATTTGAAGTATGACTGTTAGTTTATTGACAATATCGATTAGAGTATCGTAATCAATTACATCGAAATTTGTTTCGGGACAATTCTCAAATCCAATCATAGACTTTGACAAATGTTTCACGACATTTCAATATTTAAATTGAATGAACTGACATAAAACCAGCACCCTCCCCCCCCCCCCACAAAAAAAATGAAAGAAATAAAAACCCTAACTGTATAACCTTTTTTCACCCGTTTACGTTGACTGTTAAGCCACATAAATAAATTCCAATTGATAACGTCCCACCACACCACTCACCACTTTAAAGAGATTCCAAAGCGACCCGAAACATTCGTTGCCATCAAGCGGTAGACCAAAATGTTCAGTGAGCGGTTTTTATGAGATCATTTATCAATATGTTGTTGTCAGCTTGTTTTTTTTTTTTTTTCAACCCAGTAGTTGCATATCTTCGAGTACAGTTAATAAAAACTCCAGTAATGTACCTACATAGAAAAAAAAAAATTTCGACGCAAGTGAGAAATGCTATTCGGATTTTTATGTGATATTTGCGTGCTTTTCATGCCTAATTCTAAAAAAACCGTAACCTAAACAGAAACGAAACAAAAATTACCCGCTTTAGCAGAAATGAAACACACACACACGCTCACTCACAGTGGAAAACAGTTAAGAAAAAACTCGAACAGAAAAAAAAAAATAACAAATGTATGAATAAATGAATAAGTGAGGGGCGCATAACATAATTTTAATGCTCTATAGGATTTATGGAACAGTATACAGTGTGCTCAAGATGATCAATTATCATTGCTGCGCACTAAAACGATGTTTCGAAATGCATGTGCAGTTCTCGAAACAGAAATATTAATAATGTTATTAAATGAGTTTACTTTCGCATCTGCTTCTTTATTTTTGCGATTTTGAAGATTTTATTTGTGCCAATATTTATTTTCATTCAATTGTTCATGAGCGCAAAAACCTATTCCAATCGACATGATTGTGAAATGATCGGTATTTAGGGAGAATATCCGATACTAGATTGTAAAAATGGAAAATTGTGTGCTGTTGGTTTACGATACGTTTGGTATGTGATGCTTTTTCGAATTGATAATAATGGTCAAATGGACATGGATGCAATGGATGTATATATCCTTTATGTGTGCACAAGAATTCCTTTGGCGTTCTTTACAACATTGTCCAGTGTAAACTTGCCTGAAGTGAGTTAATGTGCGTGTGTGTGTTTATGTGTACTAGAACGTGCTTCGGTATATCCAAATGGAATTCCTATAATCGCTGTAATAGCTAATTTAACACCGAGAATCATTCCACAGGCGATATACCTTAACGTTTAGTGTTTGATACCGTTTTTACATGCTCAATGGACTAAACACTCTCAGCTCTTCCATGGACTTCTCTTCTCATCTAATTACTATCAGACTGTTCTGTTCAATTTGCATTCTGGTTGTGGTATTATGATTTTGCGGTGCAATGTTGAACAGTGCACTGCTGCAATACAGCTGCGTGCTGTCAAGTGCTCTCTGGTAAAATGCACCAAGAAAATGCAGCTACTTACATACAATGTACACGCTTAGCGTACATCAGTTTGACGCCTCAAGTACTACAAAGCAACGAACGGCGAAAGCAATGAGAGCGAACACATAGACCAACAGTAGCGTAGCCAAATTGGTTGCAGACTGAACAGATTTTCGCACTGAATGTTGTGCTAACTATGTGCACTACTTCAGTTAATGTTCAACTGAGAGAAAATGTATGTGTGTGCAACGGAATGGGATCAGCAAGTGCTTTGTCCAACACAAAGTGTGGCGAAAAATGGACGAAAAAATAAAACAACAACAACGGCAACAGCAACAGCAAGAAAAATGTTTGGAAAGAAAAACATAAATTCAGCACACACAACAATGGAAGCAACGATAAAAGCCGCATCACTTATACATTACGCTCTCTCGGTAATAGTTTTGCGCACCGAATATCATATTCGCATTCAATTGATTCTATATGTGTTATAGAAAATATTAAATTGGTTGTGTACCCAATGGAAAATAAAACGATGCAATGAACAATTCGTGTATATGAATATGGATGTGCGTGCGATTTGCCTGCCTTTTCTTCCCTTCTTTTTCTTCTTCGCGGCTAAACCAACAGTAGAGAGCAGTTTTAGCATCTAAGCTAAATGTATCAATCCGAAAACCACGAAAGCGGGCAAGATATTTTATTTGATTAAAACACTTGCCGTTACTGACTGAGCAGACGAACTAATAAGTAATTGAAAAAGAAATAAAAACACTAACAGAAAAAACTCTTGTTGTTGTTTTTTCTTTGCACCGAATACTTCATTTCTCAATATATAATTCCAATTTCAATTGATTAGTAACATTTTCAAAATTCCCTTGGTATTACATGCAATCGAGCATTTTCCGATTTTTCATACCAAATATGACCATGTCTGTGTCGAAGCAAGAAATTTAATTGACAGGGTTCACTCTCTTTGCATTTGAAACGTCGCAATCAAGGGCAACGGCAACGGCAACGACAGAAAAAGAGAATTCAGAGGGAGTTGGGCAAAATCGGAAATGCGGAACATTTTCGAAGAAGGATGAATAATTTCTTCGAATTTATTGCTATTTTCATCCATAAAATATTTCACGTGTCAGAAAGACCAATTGATGGCATTCTACGTGTTTATTTCCGTATCGGTTTCAGAAAATGTTCGAAAAAATTGAAAGTCATATGGGATTTTCATTGGAAGCATACACATTTGTCAAATGGAAATGATTGAAAGTTTCCGACACAACACCTGAAACTCACTCAATTTTCATTCATTATCCATTAGTCAAAGAGTCAAATGCACAGATAAAACTGGGTTAATGGCCGCTCATCAATACAATCACTCGTCACACTCTAAAATTATGCAATTTAAAAGGTTTTGAAAAATAATTTGGATTATTTGATTTGGTCTATTTTCAGAAGTAACGGTTAAGTACATTAGAGGATTACCGCATGTGACAGTGCCATTGCCAAGTCGAAATGAAAAATGTCAATTTGCACTACGACCGGTATCCCACAATGTTGGTGACTTTCTGCAAATGCTGCTGGCCGAAGACAAAGGTATCGATCGTGCTGCTGTTATGAATGAAGATGGCATTCGTATTGCTGCTGCTTGTTCAATCGAGAGCCTGTTGAATGATGGTTTTTGGTGAGTCATTTCATGAATTTGACATTGATACTCTACACTTTACTATGTAGTGCCTGTACATCGGTGTATTGTGGCGAATTTATAAATGATATGTGACAGGAATCGGTTGCAAGGAAGTGTTGGTTGAATGCAAGAGAGAAAAAACATACAAAACCAGGCGATTAAATGTTCCAGATGCGACATTGAACTATGCGAAAATGGTTATAAAAGTTGTGTGTCCATAAAAGTTTAGAATATCATTGAGTATGCCGAGTGTCGCTTCGACGATTTTTGTACTCCTTTACCTGGTGCCATTTTCGCATAGTTTGCTGTCAAAGGTGACAAAATTTGTTCGGCGTGAAAATGTAGATTTTTTCTTCATTTCGCATCAGATTCAGGGAATGAAAAATACTCCGTACATTCGAGTGAGCATTTTTTGCTATTCATCCTCATCTATCAATGGCACGCTATCGTTCTGTAAAAATATATATTATATGCATAAAGTTGGGATATTTTAAATTTTCGCTTTGAATTTTCAATTGGGCAGCTTTTGAAATACGATTAAAATTATCATCTGAATTGGTTTTGTGACGTTCTTCTGGAATTTATTTCCAATTGCATCGAAGCAACACAATGAGATTTATTGATATTCGAACTTCTCAGTGAACCGCGAATAATTGAACTGGCTGTTTTTACCCTCTATCAAATCAATAAAATTGTAGTTTTTTTTTGTGTAGATGTGTGCGATGTTCAACACTTCTTTGGTTGCCTTGTTCCATATTTCGTTCAATATCGTATTCACATGATGCGAACATGTTTTCCGCAGCGATGGATTATTTTCAGCTGGAATATTACTCCATTTGCAAGCTGGTAGTATTATTTACCAAAACGATAGCAAGCAACATCAGTTGGTGTTGATAATTTTAGAATCGAGTAATTACAAATCCGGCATTTTGTACACCAGAGTGTGTGTGTGAGAGAGAGAGAGAGAGAGAGAAAGAGCATGTGGCTTCAAAATCATATTGTACCATCGCTAACGCGAATTCAATAGCTTGAATATATAACAATCAGAAATTTTAATTAAAAACAAAGTGGATTTTTCGAAGAAGAGCGCGCTTACATTTAAGTCGGTACATCACACACAATTTATGAAGTGGAATCACAAGTTTATGTATTTGTATGTGCGTTCATGTTTCAGGTTACACGTAAATGATAAACGTTATCATGTTCAACCTCCACCGCGATCTCAGACGTCATTGGAAGAGATGGGGCAGTTAAATGATGTGCGATTGCTTGTGGCACAGGTAAATAACATTGAAAGTTCTTTTTTTTTTAAGAAAAAAAAAACCCACTGCAATACATTCATTAAAACTTGAACATACTGCAATGTTCATTCATTATTAAAAGTCGCACTTGAAATATTTTTGGAGCGAAAGAACAGTAGAACGAGAGAAAAACTGAGAACGATGTATTTTCATTTTGAAATAAAGTGGAGCATGTTTTTATCCTATCTGTTTATGAGCCATAAGTTCGATAAAATATTAATCGATTTCAATCGTCTTTCATACATTTTTTTTTGCAAAAACAGCTTTACGAAACGCTTCATGTAGGTGAACATCAAATAAAAAAAGAACGTGATATGTATACTCGCTTAGAGGAGATTAATACAGAATTGCTACCCCTAGAACAGGTATAAAGTTTTATACTACCAGTGCTGGTGCTGGCGCTGTGGCTGTTGGAATTTTTCCATTTTGGCAACAAAATTCATATTTCGCATTTCATATTTCGCATTCCAAAAATGAATTCATATTTCGCATTTTTTTCTTCCATGTGTGTGTATCGTTTGTTCTTTGTCCCATTTTTCTTTGCATTCTCGATGCAGTTAAAAGAAGAAATTACGGTGACTGCTGATAAAAAAACATCCTACCTAACATGGGTTGGTTTGGGTTTGATGTCTGTGCAATTTGGTGTTCTGGCCCGGTTGACATGGTGGGAATACTCATGGGATATCATGGAGCCAGTCACTTATTTCGTTACTTATGGAACTGCAATGGCTGCCTACGCTTATTATTGTTTAACCAAACAGGTAAAATGGAAAATTTGCCATAAACAAAACAAATGCTGCGTTTTTTTTTAAACTTCAAATAACATAAGTTAACATAAGATTGAAAATAAACAGAAAAAAAATTGAAGAGAAGAAGAAAGAAAGAAAGAAAGAAAAAATACCGATAAACATTACTTTAAAAGTAATGAGCCGCACGCATATATTACTATCACGAAATTAATCGATTTATATTTTTCTCTCTAAAACTAAATATGAATGAACAAGCTTTCTACTGGCTGATTTGATTTCGTTTGATTAATTTTTTCTTTTCTTAATTGATACTCTCTTCTCTCAACAGAATTGAATTCACATTTTTTTTTAAATTTGTTTTCTTTTCTTTTTTTTCATTTCTATCTTTTCTCTTTGCTATTCATGAATTTTTTTTTTATATATATATGAAAAAAAAAATGATAATATAAAAACAATACTATATAATACAATTCCATCCAAATTGCACCTTCTACGCTCTAATACTACCATCATCATTACATCTTCTCAACTACTACTGCTCTGTGTAAATAGCATTTACAACTTCGCACTTCTTAAGCACACACTTCTTTAACAAACAAACAGAAAAACACGCATATAGATTGCAGCCTGACGAATGATCGGAATGAATTTGAATTTTGCATTTTGATTTATATTAATATGCATATCATGTGTGGGCAAGGCAAATCACTAAAACGAAAGACACAGAAACAAAATTTTCATAGGCCTATTAAAATTTAGTGAATGAGAAAATCTGAACATGCGTGCATCAACCACTAGCAAATCAGAGAACACTATCTTAATGGTAAAGTATTTTGCATACCAAAAAACAAGAAACAAAAAAACAAAAGAAAACATGAAAATGTTCCGAAATAGCTATACTTGATACACATCGACAGCAGACATGTACACAAGGCCACCAAAAAACCAACCCACTCAATCATCAACACACACACACACACACACACACACACACACACACATATATATATATATATATATATATATATACAGATATGTACAAAGGCATAGACACAGACACAGATTTACACGCAGAAGAAAAACTGCAAAAACCACACACCACACAATGCTATGACCTCGATAGTGAACACATTTTCCTGATCCATCGTACTTTTTCATCTCTCGACCATTGGCATTCTTTCATCTTAATTGATGTGTGTATGTGTTGTCTGTGTATTGCTTTTCCTCTGCCCTTCTCTTCTATAGTTCTTCTTTTCATATTTTTTTTTTAATGCCATTTAAAATAATGTTTATTGCTCACTTCATCGTATCTAATTTTTTCTCTCGCTATGTTATAATCTGTTATTGAAAATTTAGTGCATTTCGAAGCGTCAGATGAATCAGTTACTGCATTAATTATAATGCATAGCAGGTGTAAATTTCACGTGAATTTGCTCAGGGGGGAATTTCATCATAAATAGAGAAATTAAACCTACTGAACAAACTATCGACAAACAATAACATGAACGAAAAAAAAAGGAACGGTTAACATAGAAATAACAATGCGCAAAGTGAAACAAAATGTCTGCAATTTGTACTACATTCCGTGCGGCACATTTCAATGCATCAATAATTGAAGATATTTTGTTTTACATTTTACATTGCAAGTCATAACATGAGATGTGATTCTATACCCCGTAGAGTGCAACAAAAACAGCTGTAAAAACGATGCAGATTGCCGCAGCATTTTCAAAATTTTCCTTTTTTTTTACCATATATTTTCCAAAAGCGGAACAAAGAAAGTATTCATGAGAGTATTTCGATGCATGAAATGTGCTTTTTTGGAGATTCATCCAATCGTATTGCACACAAAATCGCGCATCATCCTTTTATGCAGCCAATTTCATCTTCTTGATTTTGAAAAGTTCAATGAAAGCAAATGTTGGACAACATTCGTTTTTTATTCATAAATTTTCGATTTTTTTTTCTCTGTGGTTAACCGTTAAAATTCAACTGAAATATTCATAAGATGCATAAATAACAATGACGTTTCACCACGAAAAATATTAATTTAATTTCGATTGCTTTAATGATGGTTTAATGGCAACAACAACAAAAAAAAGAGTCAAGACCAGAGAAAATGTGCCGACAATAATTGGATAATCCGTTGACATAATTTTTGAAATTGAATTTCATGAAAACTACACGAACTTGAATAATCCATCTCAAAGTTTTTCCACTTCAGGCATGTTTAAATAACTTGTTCCATCCAACTAATTTGCACAACTTAAGTGCCATCAGTGTGTTCACATTGCAGCACTTTTATTCTCAGTCAATCTATGTACACTTTGGATCGTATACTGACCATTACAGTAAATTATCAGCCCCATGTGCCGAATCTAATCAATTTTCATCCATTTGACGATGCTTCATATGTGCGTTAGCTTGTAGTTAGGTTGTGTTCATTGCATCATTTTGCATTGAATGGATGCAGTAAATAATAATGGATGAATTATGGGATTACAACATAATTTCCACTAAATCTATTTCGTTGTGATTTTGATTGTGGGCTTAAGGTAGTAATCCCAGTAAAAGAAAATTAAACACGAAAACGTTAAATCATTACATTTGTATTGAGAGCTATGAATATTGATTTTGATCAATTTTAAAACACCATTCTAAAATCATACACACAATCAATGGTATCAGTAAGGTTTTGTTCTGTTTAAATTAGAAAACTGAAGAAAAAACCGGGTGAAATCATTCAAGATATCGTATTCATGCTCACAATAGAATGTTTTCTCTTGGGAGTTTTCATTCTAAATTACCATTTATCGTAGTACATTGCATTCAAAACATAGGTTAGCATTAAAAACGAATCGTTTACACAGTTTATAAGCACATAAAGTTTAATTTGAACTATTCTTGATTACTTGGACTTTCTTAATGAATGCTATGTAGTTTTGCTTCTGCTTCATTTGTATTCTAGTTTTGTTTTCCATTCTGACACATCATCGTAACATTTAAATTCCATGATTGCATCAATTCAAATAACAATTGATCTTATAACGTATTTATTGCATAATATAATGTTGTTATTCTCTTCTCTTTTTCCCTCCAACCCTCTATTTTCAAATTTGGGATTGACAGGAATATAATTTGCCCGAAGTAAAAGATAGACAATTTTTAATTGCTGTACATAAAAAAGCGAAAAAGAAAGGGTTCGATGTGAATCGATACAATGCATTGAAGGATGAAGCTCATAAAATCGAAAAAGATTTGCAGCGAATTCGTGATCCACTTTATTTGCGACATTCACCATCATCCAGTTATCGACTGAATCCGTCGTCAACAACAAAGGATCAACTATTTCAAATGGCATTAGCAACAAATCCAACAGACAACACTGCGAAGAAGCCATTATCCGAAAGACTGGCCAGTATCCTTGAGTCAACGGCGAAAAAACTTAAAAAATAGACACACACACACACACACACACACCAACTCCATACCATACTCGGTTAATACACACAACACCACCATTACCAATCAGAAGATGAAACAAATTTTCGTTCTTCAAAACTAAAAAAAAAAAAGAGAAAAAAATCTAAGCCATTTCATCCGATTTTCATCTTTAGTGGGAAAGGACACATTGACGTTAGTATGGACAATGCTCTCGAAACCATTTTTTATTATTGTCAAATTGATTTATTCAGATCCTATGCAGCAACCAAAAAATAGAAAACAAATAAGTCATTGTTGTAAATGGACATTTAGGCTGGTTATACAAACACACACACACACACACACTAGGTTTTCCAATTGTTTAAAATGTGTGAGGAAATTCATTTAACGTTCATAATTTGATAAATTGGTGTAATATGAAATTAGAATGTTTATTTTGTAATAGAAATAAATCTGAATCCGGCGGAAATTATTCGATGGGAAAAACAGAAAACGAGCATATTTCGAATATACACACATAAATTTTCCACCATTTAATCAGATGACAACTCAAAAACACCAGTGGTCATAACTTGTTGAACTACATTGAAAACTACTGAGAATCATGACAAAAACAAAAAAAAACCAATATGAATACTTAGATGAAAAGCAAAAATATTTAAAATGTGACAGAAAGAAAAACAAAACAATTGAAAAAAAACAATGCTTACCTAAAATATGCTGTTAAATTTTAGTACTTTAGTACTCGTAAATATATCTATCGGATTGTTTATTGCGAATAAACACTAAACGCCAATGATGCTGGAACCATACAATTCTCTTCTGAAATGGCAAATCGCATTTTTGTGCTTATTTTATTTTTTTATTGTTTTGATTTTGCCCATTGCGATTAGTTAGGAACATTTTGTTCGAACGAAGGGGAGAACAAAAGAAAAATGTAGAAATTGTGTGTTTTTTGTTAGTTCTTTTTTTTTCATCAGCCTCAACCAATGAGCTACGTATTCTGATCATAATTCCGTTTCAATAAAGTGATTCATTGTTTTATTTTTTTAAAATGTTTTAAATTTTTCTTCCATTGGAATTTCATTGTTTTTATTTTGTTTATTTGAAGATACCGTAGAATTTTAAGCATATTCCTGGGTTGTGAGTACTATAGTACTAATGGGTTTAAAAAAAACTGAATAACATTAAAAACGATTTATTTCGTAGTAAATGTGTTAAAGATGCCATAAAACCGCAAATACCTGATGTAATCCAGGTGTTAGTTTGATGGCGTATTCAACGCTAGCATAAAAGTGAATAGCCATAATCATAGAAACGTTTTTGTTTTTTCAAACGGTGAATTTTTTACTAAATTTCTTCCTTGAGTTTGAGCTTTCAAATACACTTCGCTTTACTTGACTCTCAGAGTTCTTTTTTTTTTTTTTTTCTTTAATGAATATATTTTTAAAACCACGAATTTCATACTTCATCAATATATGGATTTAAACAAAAAAAAAAATTATTACCTAGAATGACTTATAGACGCATATTATATATTTTATACCACCTTTTCTGAATCTTTGCACGCACTTCAATTTGAATGAAATTATAAGAATTAAACAACAACAAAAATCAATGCACGATATACTTTTAGGACTATCTTTCTCTAGCTAATTGATTTTTAGTAATAATTAAAGCAGAACAAAGACAAAATTGAAGGTTTTTAAAAATCGAATAACAAAATTTATTAAGATGCTATGAACAAAAAATTACTATAGTTATTAGTAGAAAGCAGTTTTCAAGATTTGGGAAAAGCGAAGCAGCTTTTAAACAAACAAAATAACAACTCTTCTTCCATTGAACTTTTTACGAACATTTTGATAAAATCTCTTTTAATGTCATGATAATGGATGCATACCAAAGCATTCGAATCGAAACATCATACTCGCGCTATCTTTCTCTGGTGACGCGAGAACTGTATTTCGATCCCCCGAGAGAAAGAGAGTGTTGGATGTGACAGGAGTTGAATTATTCATTTTTTTTTTTTTTATTGTAGTTGAATTAAATTGTTGCCTTGCTGCATACCAACTTAGATTTAACAATACCTAATATACAATTAGTCTTTGAAATAACAATGCAAAACCAAACTCATCCGTAACACTTGAACAAACATTCTATCCTACAAAAAATAACACTTTTCAATTGAATTGAACCAATCAGCGGTTAAGATTTTTCAAATATTTTTACACAGCCCAACTAATAGTAATGTTTAAACAAAGTACCAAGAAAAAAAAAAGTAAACAGAGAAAAGGAGAAAATAAACAAACAAACAAACAAGCAGTCTAGTTCATGTGAAATGACAAGGAAACAGAACGGTGAAAATGGCTGTAGTTTCCTCGATTTTCATTGCTCGGAAACTGTCTTACAGTTTATAAAGAAATACGTATATAGCTTTACTATGATAACTGGGCTGAACATATTTTCCTCTTTTGAATGTAAGATTATGCACGACAGCTCACAGATAACTAACACTCGATAAAATGGATCCTAGAATTTAGTAGAGAGGGAAAAAACGACGGTGTTTCGAAAATTATGTTGACTGGTTAATTTGTTGACAAAACACCGAAATTAAATGACTGTTTGATTTTTCAAATCATGTTCAAAGATAATTTTTATCATTCAGCCATTCAGCAGTAAGTTAGAGTATATCCGCCGATAACATAAAATGTAAACCACCATAGAAAAATTTGCAATCGAACTGAAGTTAAACAGCTTTTAATCGTTATTTTTATTGTGTTCGTGTGGTAGCAAGGCAAACTTTTGAAATTGATAGGAGCGGTTTTCATACCGAATATCAGTTAAAATAGCAACCAAAACAACAACATCCAAATGAATGCGTTAGAATAAAATGGGCGTATGATACACTTTCGTACCAAAGCGCAACTCAAATCATTCGCAGAACAAAGTGAAACAAAATCATGTTGTTATTTGATTACGGAACACTAGAATATTGTGTGCAAACTATTTGTGTTTCGTTTTGTTCTGATAACATGTGCGGTGTGTCGTTTTGTTTTACTAACCAAATTGTATTTCGCTTCGAAATGCGACGCATTTTTTTTTCGATTTACGGCTGTATTGCGACCGTCTACATGGGAAGTTGGTATGAAAACCTCGGAGCGCCGCTGATATTGCATTGGCTTCTATGGCCAAATGTACACATGGAAATATCTCGAAAACGGCTGGGTTAATCGGCAAAACGGACCATGATGTCACTCCCGAAAGGAGTGCAAACACCCGGCTGGTTTGACGGCGTAGAATACAAATCCGGTGGAATTCCGGCTGATCCATGGATTCTTAGGATTCGACCTGATTCTAGCACTTCAATTTCTTTCATAACAAAACATTGGTAGAATGTGTTTACAGATGCACATAAAAAAGGAAGCACTGGAATCTGGCCAAATCCTGAGAATCCATGGATCAGCCGAAATTTCACCGGATTTGTATTCTAGGCCATCAAACCAGTCGGGTGTATACACTCCCTTTAGGGAGTGACATCACGGTCCATTTTGCCGATTTACCCAGACGTTTTCGAGATATTTCCATGTGCAAAAATTTAATAATATTATATTCAATTGCATTGGCCTATATGGAAAAAAACTCGAGCGTCGAAAACTTATGCTGTTTCGCTCACACTTATGTGCAATTCTCAAGTGTATTATAATCGGTTGTTCGACGAACAACACAGTTGCTTGCTGGTCCGATGCTGAAAATTAACGCGCAATAGACATTGCACACACAAACGAGATTGTGCATGTTCTGGCAACGTTGCTTTTTAAGCGATTATGAATGAACGTAATGAAAAATTTACACTCATTCATAATCGGTTGCAAATCGCCAATGCAATTGAATATAATATTATTAAATTTTTGCACATGGAAATATCTCGAAAACGGCTGGGTAAATCGGCAAAATGGACCGTGATGTCACTCCCTAAAGGGAGTGTATACACCCGACTGGTTTGATGGCCTAGAATACAAATCCGGTGAAATTTCGGCTGATCCATGGATTCTCAGGATTTGGCCAGATTCCAGTGCTTCCTTTTTTATGTGCATCTGTAAACACATTCTACCTATGTTTTGTTATGAAAGAAATTGAAGTGCTAGAATCAGGTCGAATCCTAAGAATCCATGGATCAGTCGAAATTCCACCGGATTTGTATTCTACGCCGTCAAACCAGCCGGGTGTTTGCACTCCCTTCGGGAGTGACACCACGGTCCGTTTTGCCGATTAACCCAGCCGTTTTCGAGATATTTCCATGTGTACATTTGGCCATAAAAGCCAATGCAATATCAGCGGCACTTTGTTATGAAGTTAAGAAAAAAAAGTTCTATATAAATTTTGCTTTTTTATTTGCGCGATTTGATAAGAGATATGAGATAACTGTCTTGAGTTTAGTTATAGAGGACCCCGAGTACTACAACTTTGCCGAAGACACCATGTTTTTATCTCTTATCAGTTGTGCGGAAACCGTGAACACCGCGTAGGCTAGACGATACGCCAACATACTCTACTTTAACGACAACAGAATCATCAGAAAGCATACTCGCCTTTTCAAAAATATAAATCGAAGAAAAAACATACTCCACTCTCAATCTCACCCATAGATAAAATTCTCTCTACTTTTAAGCGTTTTAAATATTACTCTTGCCTTCAACAAATCTGTTTTATAGCTAACATAATCAGTTGTCATTTGGAATTTTTTGATACGTGAACTCTACATATATAACACTATTCTTTACTTCATTTGATGATATTTCGTTGAAAATGTATTGGAGAATAATTTATCTACAATTTACATACACACCGAACAACAAACACAAAGAAAACGAAATGATTATATCTGAACTGTTGAAATATTTTTTTCATAATTAGCTTACTTGCGGGCAACTTGTTTATCAATTCTCTGGCGACTGAACAATCATTTCATTGTGTATGAAATCATTTTAGTTAGCTTCTGATATCTACTTTGAATATTAATTCTACGTAACGACTACATAGTAGTCGATAAACATATTCGAATGAAAATTGCTGTGTGAAATTTTAGATGAGAAAAGAAACGAATTTTAAAATGCATTTGTTCCTATTGAGATAGCTTCAAATATCAACTTGAGTTGCAACAACAGAAATTTTATTTGCATCAATTGAGACTGTGAGAATGAAAATGGCAATACAGGAATAAACATTCTGAAACGCATCAAGAAAAAAAATTCGCAAAAATGAAACATGAGTTCTGAATATGCAAAAGTGAAACATGAATTTACATGGGCAGCATAGGAGGTTCATGGTTCACTTTTACGTATTCAGAACTCATGATTCACTTTTGTGAATTTTTTTTTCATGGTGCGCTTCAGAATGTTTATTCCTGTATTGCCATTTTCATTCTCACAGCCTCAATTCGGAATATCGAATCGTTGAGACGCGACTTTTGACATTCATAGATTTATTGAAGACCTGTGACAGCACAACTATATCGTGAGAATTTTTTCAGTCTAGAGGCCTTATTTCATTGGAATTTATCCCCGCCGGCCCGATTGTGTGGCCAAAAAGTGTATTCCGATAAATGTTCGTAGCCGAGGATTTCTTTATAAATGTAACGTCAAGAATTGAAAAGAATTTATTTAAATGTTGTTACTCTTTTTTTTTAACATATTTATTTATTCTTTGTTTCTTTTCTCCTTCAAATGGCCCGTACTTTAAGTCATTTTTTTCCTCCACTATTGAACTAAAATCCTAACATGTTAACAAATTTCAAGCAAAAACTAAAATAAAAGAAAAATATGTTAAACAATTTCTAAGATTGCATCATTTAATTCTGACTTTGTATGCGAGGATGTCATTTCAATTTGCTTTGAATTTATGCGTGTGTCATGCGACTTGATTATGCAAGCCAATCTATCTATTTGGTGCTGGTTGATGCATGTGACGATTTATTGAAATACTCCTTTTCAATTCGGAAACAGAGGTCCACGAGTGACTCGAAATTATTTTTGATCAACTGTTGCAGGTTGTTATTCGGCAACGGTGTGGTCAGGATTGTGTAAATATGCCCGAAGACTAAAGCATCTAATTCGGTTGGACTGGATAATAAGAGAACAAAGGAAATCAATGTTTGCGCTCAAATCACAAATTTTCCATCTCACAACTTACGTATCCCCATAGAAATATTGATTGTTTCCTAGTTTTTCCTTTAAGAACGCACAGCATTTGCGTACTTTTTTCACAACTTGTTCATTTGTGTACGATGCCCAGTTGAATACTTTTAACTTTTTTACGACTGCACTTCGCTTACGCCAATTTTGAATGTGATTCAGTGGCCAAGGATATACGGATCCATATCGTTTGTATGTCACTTCTTCCAGTGTTTGCTTATCCATCCAACAAATGTACAGCTGAAAATCGTTTAAAATATTTTGAGTTTTTTTTTTTTAAAGAACACGCGAAAGGTTAGGGTCGGCTCTCAATTTTACTTCTGCATTTGTAAAAATTTTCTCAGTCAAACTGAGGTACGCTCTTAGGTCGTTCTTTTCGTCAGCATCCATTGATGCAGTCAACGATAACCCTTTTCGCTCTACGAGATTAATAATCGGCTCCAGCTCTGATACAACAAATGCTCCGCACTGTAACACTGGTAACTTTGTCATATGGCCGCCTGGACTCATGTACTCGGCATTTGAACACGGTTCGATTTCGTATGGCAAATTACACATCTGTGGAATGGATTGATGGGTTGCTTGATTTATCAATTCTTTCAAAAGGTCTTTTCAACGGATTCTAATTACATTCAAATATGCTTTCACTGCCAAACAGCTGGCATTCTCTGCCAATAGAATCTGCTCCGCTTCGTATGGCTGGTATAATTTGGTCTCGTTGCACCATGGCTCTTCAGCTGCGCAAAAAATGAAACAATTATTACCATTCATATGTATTGTTTATATTGAAACTTCATTATTTAAACTACCCATGATTTCCTGCTCTAGCAGTTGACTTGTCACTGGTGAACTCATTTTTAGCCAAGAAGTTCTTTTAAAGAAATATAATTTTAGTGAGTTAAACTCCAAGTTCTTCGTGTGTTTTTGCTTGTTGTTGACAAACTGTCACTGAGTGACATGTTCACCGAGAGAGTGCGCTGACTGTTTCATTTGGTACTAAATGAACTTTATTGATGAAGTTTAGCTTAAAATCGTCCAAATAACTATTTTCTTTTCATTTTTTTAATATTCAAATTTCCGTTTAGATTCATAAAATAGACCATAATTTTTTTTTCATAAAGTTAATTGACTAAAAAAGAGGGGATTTTCGTCAATAAATCTCAAAGTTAGCCAAACACTTGAAAATCATCGTTGGCAATACGAAAACGATTGCCATCGTTGAGCTCGTTGTAAATGTCAGCGTACAGATAATTTTTGCCTGACATTTGGCTTCGTACCGGAAACTTCAACATTGACTCCTTCTTTGTGTATTTCCCTTTCGCAGAAAACACTTCATAATGTCGAAGAGAGGTAAATATTTTTGAAAATAATCGTCAAAAATCACAAAATTTTTCAATTATTTTTGATCATCGTACAAATATATGTGCCGATGGATCGATTTCGAGTGAATTTCAGTAGAAATTTTGCAAATTTATTGGGAAATTTTTAACTTTGTCGAAAATCGGCTTGGCCATCGGTATAATTTACATTGTCAAAGTAGCTGATGTTTTGTTTGATGGCTAAGTCACACGATGTGTTGTGTGAATCGCTTCAAACGACATGACTTTTGATCAATGAATAAAATTAGGTTTGATTTTATTTTACAAAATCAACTAATGGAAAATGTGTCACGTTCTTTTCGCAAATTATTTTTTTTTAAGGTCGTGGTGGTACCGCCGGAGGAAAATTCCGTATTTCACTTGGTTTGCCAGTTGGTGCTGTTATCAACTGCGCTGACAACACAGGTAATTTAAAATTGCACATATCCAATCATATGCAATGCCCTGGGGTGTTGTTTTCTCTTCCCAAAACTCTATAGAACGGCATAGATATTCATGAACACGTTTTTTTCTGTATTTCAGGTGGTAAAAACTTGTACGTCATTGCTGTCCATGGCATCCGTGGTCGTTTGAATCGTTTGCCAGCTGCTGGAGCTGGTGACATGTTCGTTGCCACAGTCAAGAAGGGTAAACCAGAATTGCGTAAAAAGGTAAGACTTTTTATTGATTTAAATTGGCATTTTTTTTTCTCTCTCTGAAACATTCAATTGAAAACATGGTGAAGTGATTCGAAAAGTATGTGTATGTATGTGCGTGTACTAATCCATTGGATTTGATTAATTCTTTTTGTAGGTTATGCCAGCCGTGGTCATTCGCCAGCGGAAACCGTTCAGAAGACGTGATGGTGTGTTTATATACTTCGAGGACAATGCGGGCGTGATAGTAAACAACAAAGGTGAAATGAAAGGTTCCGCTATCACTGGCCCAGTCGCAAAGGAATGCGCCGATTTATGGCCTCGTATTGCTTCGAACTCAAGCTCCATCGCTTAAAAGTGATGACAACAACCACACGTTTAAGCTTCTGAATATTGAGAAAATAAATATGGGAAATTTCGATTTTTCATAAAGTTAAACGAATCGCATTTTTTACTTTCCATCTTTGCTTCAAGTACATTCCTTTACAGCATTGAGTGATATGTTTACACCGACATCAATAAAGGTTTGTATTCTGATACGAAAACTTGCCGAAACTGCTGATTTGTAAAACAAACTAACTATCCCAAAATCTGCAGCAAACCAAAGAAATCATTGTATTCGCGCGAATTTTTCAATGAAACATATGACAGTTGATGTCAAATGTGCTCATTTAGTTTATTCATTATACGCATCATACGCGAAGATTCGCAATAAGAAATAATAAATTCGTAAAGATTTGGAAGAGGTTGTCCAGAGTCTTAGAATTCTCAATTGAAAGAATGGGACATTCATTCAACATCACATCAAAGTCATAAAATTCATCCATGTGCTTTTGTTTTTGTTTGTTAGTTCTGCCATGTGTTTTATATCAAATTCTTCTTTTTTTTCTCTCGTTTCAATTACAAATACTCTCTCAACATAAAGACTTTACTTTTGAATTTTAAACGGTTTCACATTGAATTGATTTATATACATTTTGCATAGTAAAATTGTGTTATTCTCTTTATTTTCGGTATTTAAATGATCTTGGACGATTGTAATGTTGTTAATTGTTTAGCAGGTTCCAAGCATCATCTTCAATGCTTTTGGTCTTATTAGTCGGTTTCGGTTTGGAAGCTTTAACATCAAGTGCGGCAAAGTTTTCCCCCTTTTCGCTCTTGTGTTGTTTTCTTGTGGAATTATTTACTGTTGGTGATGCGATTTGTGGCTCGGACGAACCACCTTGATAAGATTGTGTTTGTGTCTCAAAGTTATTATCGAATCCGTTCCAATTTCCATCGTTGTTCGAACCAGAATGGCTGAATAAATACACATCAATTAGTTTGAATTGGGCAAAAGTGAATAATAATTAAGTTTAGCAATAGATAGAGCATTGCGTACTAGCTATCCGTTTGATACGATTGTGAACGTGGAATGTTCGTGTTTTGGTAATTATCGCCAAAACTATTCTCGTAGCCATCTTGCGGTGATGATAAATTGGCACCATTCAGGGTACTCCAACCTTTTTTGCCCAATTCACCAATCTATAATTCGAAACACAAAGAATTAATTTAGTATCGAGTAGCTGAGTCATTGCATGCAATCAACTGACGAATATAAAGTTTCTGATGAAACAAACGAAAGTCAACACACGGAAGAAAATATTGAAGAAAAAAAAAAATCAAACAAAAATCAAACCTTTGAAGCAAAGCTAGTGACACCTGTACTAACATCTTCATATAAAGTCCCATCTTTGACCTTCCCATTGATAAATCACAGAAAATAAATTAACAGAAAAAAAAAATAAAGTAAAAAAACGCATCAAACGTTAAAATAAAGAATAGAAAAGGATCCGAATTGACTTGATGTTATTTTGTAATGTGTTCGTACCTTTTGGCCAGCAATGTTTCCGTAGCGCGACACATTTTCTCGGGCAGTGTTTGCAATTTTTGAGGCGCCAATCGAAAACATATTCCATCCCTAAGAAAATTGGTTTCAGAATTGTTTTTTTTTTTTCAATAGGTTAGGTGAAATAGCATTACGTTTTCTTGAGTAAATAAACAAATTTTAAGGATACTAACGCTGGTTAGGGATGTCAATGTTGTATCCAACAATTCTTGAGATTGGCTTTTTGGCATTGGATCTTTTGTATAGCCGAATCCCGCATATTTTCCACCTTGGCTAGGAGGTAAATGACTACAATTTAAAAAGAAACAAATACCAATTAATAAATGCGATTGAAAAGAAACCGAAACCACGGTAACGTACTCAGGCCTGGATGCATTTTCTTCTTGCATGCGATTAAAGAAATGCTCCTTTTGGTCGCGGAATTCACGTGTATTGAAATTCTGATAGCCACCAGCAGCATCACCTAAATCTTGATAGCTTTTGCTGGTCTCTACTGTATTTGAGCTACGTGAGCTGGAATGTTTTTGCGTGTCTAATGCGAATGAAGCGTTGTAATTCGATGCTTTTGACGCTTCTTCACTCCATGGTTTCCCTTGAGCTAGCGTTGATATTTTGTCACGATATAGTGCAGCCGCTTTGGTGTTATACTTTTGCTGAATGGACATTGTATCGTCATAATCGGGCTGGCTATCGAAGAACTCGCGTGCTTTCTGATTTCCACCAACCTTTTAGAAAGTTGAAGAAAAAAAAAACATTTACATCGTTGGTTTAAATTAAAAAAAAAAAAAAAAAGAATTTTCCTTTTGTTTTGGCACAAACCTTCATCTTCTCCAATTCAATATCTTTCCATTTGTCCATCGACACCGAACGTACGAATGATAAGTGTACGCCAAGCCCGCGATGTTTTCCCGAGCATTCCAGACAGATCCATATTCCGTATGTTACAGACACCCATTGTGGATTATGTGTGCCACATTCAAAACATTTCTGTATCAAACACAAAATCACCAATAAATCAATGTTTTTCAAAACAATTCTGGCTCAACTACACTTGTGGACTTACAGTATTTTCGTTGGTGGGCCGAATTTCTTGTAAAATGCGTCTGGTTCGTGGACTGGCCATTTTTATACACTAATTGCTTTCTCTATCCCTTTGTCTGTTTTGATAATACGATTTGATACACACACAAAAAAAAACTTCTTTTTCTATGAAATGGGCCCGGGAACTTTGTTTCGGTGTGCTATTTTAATTGAATATGATGTAAAAACAATTTTAATTTTAAAAAAATGCGAAAAACAACCAAAAAAAAACTTGGTTCCTTTCTCTAAAAGAGCAGCGAAACAAAAGTTCCCATCCACTTGGTAAGATTATTCATAAAAATGGCAAGTGTCAAAAATTGAAGACGTGTGTTATCGTGTAAGTTTGAATTGTTTTTCTCGACAGACAAATTCAGTGCAAGCTATTTCGGGTGCGTTCTTCATCTTTCACGCGGACATGGTAATGGTAATTTATTACTCTCAGCTGTCAGAAAATGCTGCAGAATAATTATTATTCACACATATTTTGCGCAGCTTCAATTTCTTCAAATGAATTCATTCGTATTTATAAAAAATTACTCGGTGAATTCACAAAATTCCAATGCAAATATAGTTGAAATATCCATTGAACATACCCATAAACAGAACCTCTGATTTACAAGTGTTTCCAAACAAACACATGAACTAGACATAAGTGACATTATCACATATCCGTATGTAGTACGGAAAAAAATAAATTCCAAGGAAAGGCTAATAAGAATTTATTGTGGATTTTTTTTTTAAACTCGTTTTCATTGTTTTGTTAAAATAATACATAATATTTGCGCACACGTCACGTAAATGGAGATGTGTTCAGGCGAAACAATTTCAATTGAGTTGAATCCGTGATATTGAATAGAAGAATCAAGAGAGATAGAATCTTGAAAAGAAAAAAAAATAATAATTGGAAATTTAAACGCATTTATATATTCGTTCGGAAATCGCACAATAATTTTTTTATGGCAAAATGTCAGGTCAAAGTGAAGGTAAGCCAAATGGCTTGGAGTTTTTGGCCGGCAATCAAAATGACAAGCAGTCATCGAATTTAAATTCCATCGAAACGGATTTGGAGATTGAGGAACGTTTGGGCAGTATTTTCAAACGATTAGATCGCTATGGAAATGGGCGAATCAACATTCAGGATTTAACTTGTGCTCTAAAAGGGGTTGGCATGTCAGCCCAGTATGCCGAAGTAAGTGTCATTTTTTTTTTACAGCTGATGCGAATATAGTTTAAATTATGATAAATATTAAAAAACCAAAATAAAATAACAAAAATTGTCATTTGACTTGCTTTCGAACAGAAATTCCTGAAGGAGTCAGACAGCAACAAAAGTGGTGATGTTGGTTTAAATGAGTTCATCAATTATGTTCGAGAGCACGAAAAAAATTTGCAATTACAATTTTCGCATTTAGATAGAAACCATGATGGTAAATGCGATTTGTAAAAAATTTAAGCGTCGGGCCAATTCTAATATTCGGTTTATTTTCTAATTTCCGCTTCTTTGGTGATGTCAACTCGTAATTAGGATCGGTGGATTTGGAGGAATTGATATTGGCATTTAAAGAGCTTGGCATTGACATCGACAAGGCGGAAGCAACGAAATTGCTAGAACGGTAAGAAAAATACATTTTCATTCAGATTTCAGTCATTCGATTTGTCCTTTTTTCTTTCGCTTATTTTTACTTCAAATATATACCCATGTTGATTAGTCTATGATAGTGACGAAGAGTGGTTATCTGCCAATAGGTCAGTTTGCTGGGTTGAAGTGTGTGCAAATCAAATAAAAGAGAAACGTGACAAAACATTATAAGCGTCCATTTTGGTTCGCCACCGAAGGAAACGGAGGTTGTGATGATCATGTTCTGTTCATGTATTGTGTATGTTAGTTATCGTTTCGTGTGTTCGTCAATCACAAACCTGTTAAATGTATTTTTTGTTCATTATTTTCCCGTGATCATTATGGGTTCTCCACTTTTGCCAAACGAATACGAGTCTCAAGCGCGCTTCCACTTGTGATAATTTGCATCTTTTTAACTTGACATTGTTAACCATCGATTTATATAATCGACTTAGCGTTCGCATGCCTATTTATAGGTAGCTGGCATAAATAGACGGGCGATGTGCATGCTGTGCTGCTGATCGAAGTTCACAAGCTAGCTATGTACCGATTTTAAAATTTGTGCTGGGTCATTTTTTCTACGTATTTTCGTTTGACATCATCTTCTCGTTAAATCTCCCGTAAAATTACGGAGGAAATTCTTTAAATTCTGCATTGGTTCATAATTTTTACGCGAATGATGTGCGAATATATGCAAAAATATATTTTGTATATCGGCTATCATATCGGTTATATCATTTTTGACCGTATATCAACGCCCATTTCAAATGTCGAAAGTCGAATGGTTGTAGACATAACCGAGCTTAATACAAACATTCGAATTTTAATCCAAAATTATATCGCCCATCTTTGGACTGATAAAACAAACTGCATATGGCATCTCCCATTCCAACAAAAGCCCCCGAAATCGTGATGAAAAAATTCTGAGTATTTTATATTCTTTATTTAATGAGAAGCGCGTGATGTTTACAATATTAAACGTTGATGATGAGTTTGCTTTAAATTGTTTTGAAAACGACCACCGTTTACAACTTTCATGCGGTTTTTTTTTTCTTTTTTTTGTTGTTCTGTTCTGTTTTGTTCGCTCATTCCAAGTGAAGCAAATGATTTTGTATGCATGTTTTGCTCTTATAGCTAGATATATACATCGTATTGAAAAAAAAAATTTGCAATTTTTTAGCATGGATCAGGACAAGAGTCTAAACATATCGTACGATGAATGGAGGGACTTCCTGTTGCTGGCACCGTCAACTGACTTGCATGATATACTCCGCTTCTGGAGACATTCAACGGTAAGCTAAACATTGAGAAAAAAAAACAAATCAGAATTGCATCAATTGATAGCATTTAGCTTGCTTTGTACCCATTAGCAAATTATCAATTTATATTGACCTATTTTGATTAAGAAGGAGAATAAAATCATTCTCACATTCTATTTCGATTCGCACTCATTTTCTTTTCGCACCTATCTCTCTCTCTCTCTCTCTCTATCTCTCTCTCATTGGCAAAAACGAAAATTATCATGTTTTTGCTATATAAATACACTAAACTCTATAATATTATTGAGAATCACAAGTGATCACCCGGCATTTCTACCGTATGTGCAAATGATATCATCATTGTGAATATACATTTACATGGATTCGTCATTGCTGTTAACCATTAAAGGGTTTCATGCTGTCACTTCTGCTTATACTATTGCTTCGGATAAAATTTCACAGATTAGAACGAAAGTATCTTTTGTTTGATTGAGTACTGTACGAGTTATTTTCGGTGTCTCCGTTTTCATTCGATCCACTGTCTCTTATCTGAAATGAACAGTGTGCGTCGGCAATTTGTGAGAGATATGATTTATAGACCCGTGTAAAAATGTTAAATTTAAGGTTCTTTCCGTGGTGTTGGTGAATTACACACGTCACGTGAAACTTAATGAATGGCATTTATTGGAATGTCGCACTTAATGATAAAAAAATGTATGAAATGAGTATTATTTGCTGAATACTCTTTTCTCGATCATTTTTATGAAAAATTACTTGAAAATCAGAGCTTCTGAAGCAGGGTCCGAGAGGTCAAATTACCCCCCTCTGAATTAATTTTGTGGAATTACCCCTATGCGGAACATTTTACTCATACTCTGATTTAAAATTCAAAAGTGAGGACCTTTTTTTTTAAGTCCTCACGTTTTCTGCGAAGCGGGTTCACACTAGATAGAATCGATTTTGAAAAGTGATGAACTTGTATTGCTCTTCACTTTTGGAATTACCTATACTCGATTCCAAAATTAAAATTTTCAATTTGAAATTACCCCCCTCTGGACGACCAACCTTCAGAAGCTCTGCCTGAAATGCTCCCTGTAATTTGTATTTCTTCATTGTTTCATGCGGTATGCACTGTATCTCGGTCTAAGATGCGCGTCAAACTTTAGAAATTCGACCTCGAATCCGCTGAAGCAATACAATTGGCAAATATTTAAAAAGTGACATGTGCAAAGAAAAATGCAAAAACAAAAGCAATTATCGCCCGAATTGTACTCTGATCTCTATATGTCTTTGGCGTCTCAACGAAATAAAGAAATAAAAAAGAGATGTAATTAAAAAAGAAAAATGAAATGTGCACAGCTTTACCAAATTCATTGCATTTTAATGTTCTTTCATAAGCAAATCTATTGTGCTATGAGGTGCATTTCTATTTCAAAGCACTTATTCAGCCTGCTTGTACGAATGAAAACGTCCGTTGCACTGAATCCAATACATAGGTACATCAAGCAACATTTCATTTCGATTCAAAGCACCAAAAATAATTGCGATCGGTTTCAAAGAGCTCATAAAGAGATTAAACTTCCACGTTTATATTCATAAGTTGCATGCCATGAACAAAATGGGGAAATAAAACTTCGACGGTAAAAAGTGAAGAAAATAAACTCCCGTAGACGACAAATAAAACATAAATAAATGGCTAAAGATCAACTAAACATGTTGATCTAGGTGCTTCTAGAAATGATCTGAAATATATAAACTATACGATCGACCGTCCTTTTCCGATGCGCCTATTGACGTCGACCAATATCGGCGTCGGTGTTTTTTTCTTCTTCACAAATACAGTGTTTCTATGTTTTCAACGGCTGATTTCAAAAGGAGGCTTGTCTGTTATACTTTCGGTCACTGTCTGCACAAACGCGCACACATATACCTTAATACACCAACACATACGCACATCGAAAGACGGTTGCTAAATGCAAAAACATCAATTTAATCAGGGTTAGGATCGAATGCGCGCACGGCAACAAGCTCAACGTGTTGAATTTCCGAACAACGTGTTTTGCTGTTGTGGTGTGCGCACTGAGACAGTCACGCGCTTGAACATAGTTCACATCACACACATGTCCGTGTATACGGGCCGGAGTTCATTATCTTGTCGCGGCTTATATGTGTGATCCGGTCATATGTTTGTATTGGTTCGCGCGTGGTAATGATCTTTAAGTTCAGTGCACACTTGAAACGGCCAAGCGTTTAGTTTGTGCCCAAGTGCCAATAATTACAGACGCACTCATTTCGAGAGCGAGTTAACGCAAGCTTAAGCCCATTCGAACTGTAATTTTGTTTGGTAGTGGCAATTTTTTTTTGCAGGAGTACCAAGAGAAAGTTTATTTAAATTGAAAAAAAAAAAAACACAAATAAATAAAAGTGAATTAGAGTGAACTTTTATATGCCACAGAAAATTTGAAAAGCATTAGAAATATTGATTGAGGGTGAAAAGAAGAAGAAGAAGAAGAAAAAAGAGATAATTGTTGTGTGATTGTATATTGAAGAGCAACAAAAAGTGAATATTTCTTCTCTCTGCCGATTGCATTTTATTTTTTGTCGAATTTCGCAATTTAAACAAAAGCAACGATCACAAAATGGCTTACGAACAGTATAACGTACCATTGGCCGGTGATATTTTGGATGATTTGGCTATGGCTTTCCGGGAAATACTCTCAAAGGTTGGTTTATTGAAGAAACACGTTTTTCCTTCTCTATCGTTTGACATTTTTTTCGCATTAGTAACAATAGTTTTATTGGGCAAGCATTGATTTTCAAGTGATTGTTAAATGCATAAGATTTGTGTCACAAGAAATTGCTACCTTGATCATATCTTGAACTCATTTTTTTTTGAAAGTGAGAAGAAGCAATATCACGTTTATTCGAAACAAAAATTTCTGCATTATGGTCTCGCATTTCAATCGAATTGAATCGCAAGGTGAGCGTTCAAATATAACCGATATATTTTAACCGATGAATAGACAATGAACTCGTCTTTATCATTGCAATGAAGGAAAAGAAAAACATTGCCTAAAAAAGCATGTTTCTAAGTAGACATCTCAGTATTCAAAAGCGATAATGCATATCTTCTATTCAAATTTAAATATCACCGCTAAAAAACCAGTTTTTGTTTGAACGAGAGACGCAGAAGGGAAGCATTCGTAAATTGAAAAGTGAATGGTGACGACAATTCAAAATTACTACGTATAGTATGAATCATTGTCATTCTTGTAAGAGTCTGAGCGCGATATTGGCGGGTCTTTCCCATTCAAAAAAATTACATAAGGCTGGTTTTTTTTTTTACTTTTTCTACTACTCACAAAATACCAAAATCAAGTATGCATATCATACCGTTCATGGTTCAGTTTACAGCGTCAAGAGTAATTCGAAACCCACTTCGCGCGGGATGTTATCGTTGCCATTTTATCAGTATGTTTTGGTGTAGTTTTCGTGGAATTGGTTGACGCAAAGCGTAACATGAGTCATATATGTATGTAACAGATCCATTCAATGCAACGTATTACGAAATACAGCCGCACAGAAGGATATAGATGTGCAAGATGAATTGGTTTCCTAATTCCGCGATAGTATTCAATTCCGCAAATTAATGAAAAAATTACTTCCGCGCCTTTACAGCTGTTTACAATACATCGAATTATTTTTCTTGGCAAGCAACATAAACCAAACGAAATGCGTCGTTTCATATTTGAAACGGCGATGCGCGGATTTTTCAAATGTATGCAATAACACGTGTGAACTAATTTAGTGAATACTTGTAATTGTTGCCATCGCCAAATGTAACAGCCGTGAAACGGTTTTTATGGCCTCGTCGAAAACCATTTCGTCGCTGGTCTTTTTTTCATTCGGATTTCTGTTTGTTTGTTAAGAATTGAATTCTTCTACTTGCTTCAATTGATTTTATTTTCTTTCTTCACTCATAATCTCTTCAACATGTCGTTGGTAAGCGGATTTTGTGTGTGCGTGTTTGTTTGTTTGTTTTTTTTCTCTTTTTTTTTTCACTCACCTATTATACGTCTGTTCGACAATTTAAAGACAATTAGCTTCGATTGATCCGAATTCCAATGTGATAATTGGCTTGGTTGCGTCTCACAAACGATCGATTGCAATTTAATACGAATGATGTTCTGTATGATAAATTGAAAGATTAACATTTGGTGGTTAAAACCTGTCTGATCCAGTGCATATTAAAAGTGCAAATGAGTTTTATGATAGCAATTTGGTATTAAGTATCGCCCAGTTTGCCCTAATTATTGACTCAAGATAAGTGGGAGTTTTATTTGACAGTGAAATGTTCAAAAAGATTGGCATCAAATCAGTCGCAATGGGATATTCTTTTTGATATTATTCGACTCTCGAAATCGAATTAATGCGAACGGTTCGGAAAATTACGATACATATGATCTCAAAAATCGGTTTGTATGTGAGTGAGTGTGAAATTGACCGACTTTTTTTTCGGTTAAAATGAGTGCAAGTTCTACAATTGCCACGCGCTGCTTCTAAAAGGCGACAATAAATTGAATAAACTGAACATTGCAAATAGAATTGAATAAATATCTCTTACAATCATACACACAGGAAAGATAGCATGTGGTATGTAGTCAACATAAGCATTCATATTGTGATTAGTTGGGATGACTCGTTATGAAGTTTCAAAGGGGCACTGATTATGATGTTGGCAATGACAGCGAAAAAACTCGAAGCGTCAGTGTCTGGTTTATTATTTACACGAATGGGACTGTTCGTCTACGGTCGACGTCATTGCTTTTGGGTCATATAACAATAAATGTCGTGTTGCTAACAGAGAAAAAATTGAACAAACAAAAGAAAAAAAGCGCATCTACAAGCGCACTTGTTGATCAATCTGTTTGAATAATAAAATAGAATGGAAATAAAGCAAAACAAATGAATATTTTATGATGGCCAATTAACAGGTTCAGGAATGAACCAAATCTTTGACAGAAATTTGTTTTATCGAGCATTTACCTCCTAATTGTCTTCCCGTTCATTGTACTCTCTCGTACTCGAAATTAAACAGAAATAAAAATATATATCACGACTATTGAAAGTGGCAAACAAAAGAATTAACCCCCTGAAATACAAGTATTGTTCCACTCTCATTGATGATCGTTATCGCTGAGTCGTCATTTCTTTAAAAATATGTTATCTTTACATAGTTCCTCTTCTGATTCACTCATTCGCTTGTTTTACCCCATCGAATGAAACTGGTGGAATGTTCGTTGGTTTTTTTTCTCTCTTTTCCAAAGTTCAGTACTCGAATTTTTTTTGAACCACGGACTTGTTTACATTTTGGAGTTCATTTAATTGACATCAACAAATTTGAAAAAAAAAAAAAATAGAAGAAGGAAACGTCGGGTGTGTGTACCAACGACCCCACAATTCAAACCGATTAACACACAGCCAATCAAATTACGACGAACAAACTACATTTAACTGCCATGCGCCGCTTTCTAACGTCGTCAATGGTTGACGTCAACAAAAAAAAACATATGGAATTGTACCGGTGTGCACATTCTATAACGTTCGAGTCAAAGAGTATTTACCCAGAGTCTGCTTCTTGTTTTGGACCTAATGCTAATGTAAACACCGTACTATCAACTGACGTGTTAATTTCCACCTTTTTTTTTATTGTTGTTATTATTCCACCCATCTCCGTTGATTTTCAAAACAAGCAATAGAAGAAAATCGTACAAAATTTTTATTTACTTTTGTATTCAAACAGAAAAAAGGGTCAAAGTCTTGATAGATCAATCCTTGTAATGTCAACTGCCTGCTCCAAACATACAAGAAAGTATATAAATTCTCCATTGATATGATGCAATGTGTTTTTTTGGTGAAGTCATTAACTTCGATCGAAAGCTATCACTCATTTTGGTTTGCAATTGTTTTGGACTTTTCGATTTGCCATCTATTATTTTGAGTATTGTGTTGACACGCGCTACTTTCAGATCATATGATGACGGCCTCTTATCGCAGGAAATTCACCGAACAAAAGAAGTGTCTCATTCACATTATCACACAAGGTGAATGAGAAAAACCAAAAATCCAATTTTTTTTCCGGAATATCTAGTCGAGACTGAAATGTAATTTATGACAATACCCAATTGAACAATCTAGTTTCGTGTATTCAAATTCCAACGAAGCAAAACACACGCCAATCCAGAGAGGCATGACATCTAATGTCGTACATCATCAGTACAGCTGTTGATTTTTATAATATGTACTTTGTATACTGCCGTTCTGATGATTGCCTCCGCTATCACTCTGGAACACTTTTTTTTTCTATGTTAATCGATTTTTCAAGTGAAGTACTTGTTTCCTATCGGTTCTTTTTTTTTCTGCGCCGTGGAAATGAACAAAGTTCAATAAATTGTCGCTGATGCGAGCAATTTCAAATCATTCAAATCAAACAAATGAATCTCGCTTTAGTTATTGTACATGTATATTTGCCGAATGATTTCATCATTCGTTTTTGTTTGCCGATTCCGAAGCGCGACAATTGCGAATCATCATACCGGGAATTTCATGCGAAGTCAGTTACAACTGGTAACAGATTGTGCCATGATTTTTTTTTTGCGCCCCAGACAGAGCTGTCGTCGCTACTGCTGCCGCCGTCGCTTTCCGTGAATCGTAGAACACACTGATAACGATAACCTGACCTAATATCAGTCGCACACTTGATGCTAATGCACAAAACTTATATATCAAACTATTCCGTAAAAATTGCTGATGCATTATCGATAATTTAATCAAAGCCTTTGAGTTCGAAACGATTTGTTTTTCTTTCATTTTATTGATCTTCTTGCAATCCTATTGCACTATTATAAAACATAAAACAACAGAGTATTAGCTATAATGATATCAATAACCACTGAGAGAGAAATGGAAAAAATCAGTTGACCCCAAGGGGGAAAGTAGTAATCTAGTACTGCATACAATGCCGATTCAATGCAAATAAATTCAAATCAATGCTATACAATATAAGTATCTCCATTGTGTAGTTGTGTTATGCGCGACGTACTAGATTCGAATGAAATAGAATATTGTGCAACATTGGATCGCAGTGAATAGCATTGAATTGGTATTGAATGCAGTACTAGATTACTGCTTTCCCCCTTGGTTGACCACTTGCTGAACGCGTGCTTTTTTCTATCATATGCCATAATTAGCGACACATTGGGCAATGGAACGAAAAATGATGACTAGAAATACTAATAGAATGCTTATGACAAAGATAAACAACAATAAATATGGAATTTTTGACGGATGCTGCTTGAATCTGAATTTTAATTTGGGAATAATTTCAAGAAATTTTGATTTCCCAGAAATTGATTTCTTGGTACTCCCTCAAACCATTGACATGTTCACTTGAATTCTATGAATAGCCCCACTTTACAATCTTACTCAGTCACTCACACCCATCAGACTTGAAATGATTCATTTATTATTTTATCCAACGAAATGCAATGTATTTTTCACTTACATGATGTTTGAAGTTAGAGTTGAAAACAAAGTAAAAAGAAGAAAAATTATACTGATGTTTAAATTACCATAACTAACATAATAAAATATCTCTTTTTGTTGCAGTGCATCGATATCGGTGAGGATATGAATGTGCCAGATGATTTCACAGCAAATGAGATGGCCAGTGGCAAAGTGTGGCGACACTTGGCAGCGGGTGGTATTGCTGGCGCTGTATCACGAACTTGCACAGCCCCATTAGATCGGATCAAAATCTTTCTGCAGGTGCAGGCATCGAAAGCAAGCATTTCAGACAGTTTCCGTTACATGTTGAAAGAGGGTGGCGTGTCGAGCTTTTGGCGTGGCAATGGAATCAATGTGTTGAAAATTGCACCGGAAAGTGCCTTGAAATTTGCTGCATATGAACAGATTAAACGATTGATTCGTCAAAACCAAGACCGACCCATGAGCATTTACGAACGATTTGCCGCTGGTGCTGTAGCCGGAGGCATCAGTCAATCAGCAATCTATCCTTTAGAAGTGTTGAAAACTCGATTGGCACTCCGAAAAACCGGTCAGTATTCCAGTATTTTGGATGCAGCATCAAAAATCTACACAAATGAAGGTGTTCGCAGTTTTTATCGTGGTTACCTACCAAATTTGATTGGAATTCTGCCGTATGCAGGCATCGATCTGGCTGTTTATGAAACGCTTAAAAATAAATATTTAAGTCAATACGAAAATGAGCAACCAAGCTTCTGGGTGTTGTTGGCGTGCGGCAGCGTATCAAGCACACTCGGTCAAGTGTGCTCCTATCCATTAGCATTAGTCAGAACACGGTTACAAGCACAAGGTTAGCATATTCAATTGTATTTCAATCGATTTTCTTAAACTTGTCTTAAATGTCAAATGTTGCATTTTGAACAGTGCCAAAAATTATTTTTTTCTAATTGGAAAATCTTTTTTCCTTCAATTTTTTCAATTGCAGTAATCAAAAGCGAAACAGTGATACAAAAAGATAGCACAATGACAATGGGTGGGGTGTTCAAGCACATCGTCCGAACGGAAGGATTTGCCGGGTTGTATAGAGGCATCACGCCAAATTTCATCAAAGTGTTGCCAGCCGTATCGATTTCATACGTCGTTTACGAGAACGCAAGCCGTGTATTGGGCGTCAACATGACATGATGACTTAGTCAATTGAATATTACGTTGGAAACTCTTATTCTAACAAAAATGTAGTTTTTTTAAGAACAAAAACTGCAAATTTCACGTTGCTAAAAACTTCCGTCATTTCATTCATTCGCCTATTTCAATTATTCAACATTTTAAAAAGAAACTTATACAATTTAAAAGGGAAAAAAGACATACTTTGATTTTTTTTTTTGTGACATGTTAAAATGATACACACAAACTTCCATCAAAGATGTAAAATCATTGAATGGAATGAAATGATCGTGAATGGAATAGAAAATCAACAGCCTGAATCATAGATTCTGATAAAACAACGATTTATTATGTTGCGTGTGACGCATGTCTGGACTACATCGTTCACAACAAAAACAGTCAGATCATAACAATTGAATGAGAATGAAAATTTTACGCAAGGATACGCTAGATTTGCAACGACAACAACAAAAATTGTGGCGTTATTTATTGATTATTCCATGGGTGTTCATTTTGACTTTGCTTTGAAAAAGATTTTTTAACGAAATTATCACAGTTTGGATGAAAGACATACAAATATACTACATGAATCACACCTCCTCCACAGCGTAATCAGTGACTCATGATTAACGTATACCGTTGAAAGTGCAGAAAATTCAGCAGAAGATCATTTTTATTCGGCATTCTTTACATTTTGAATTATTTAAATTTTAATTATTTGGTTATTTATTGTATTGTATTTAAAAACATCGAATGTTCATCGTGTTTTCGTGTTCAAGACATTGCTGACATCTCAATGTGATCTAATCTGTAATGCCATCTGCCTATTATGAGTCAAACTATAATACGAAAGCATCCATCCGAGTCCGATGAGGTGTGCAATGAATCAATTTTATATTGTATAGAACGATTTATGGAAAAGATTGCTGGCCAACCTTTTAATTGATTATATTGTTTACCTGTAGCATTATTAGTTGATTCGAATTAAATCAATGGTTTCGTTTCAAAACGACTATTTATTTTATTTATTATTTTCCATGTATAAAATTTCCTTATTATCCAGAAGAAAACAAAACGTCTATTTGGTTTAAAAATATTTCATCATTTTTAAGTTCGAAATTGTAATTGCAAAGAAAAATACTAAAACCAATTTTAATTTAAAAAAATAAATTCTGGATTTTAAAAACAATATTTTAATTTGTAAGATTTTTTTTCAATTTTATTTGACTTCTTTCTAATGGTTTTTAGTTGACGAGCAGCAAACAGCAATAAAAATATGCGTATTCAAACGTGTGTTACAAATTCAATGAGAAATGATTTCTTCTATTATTTAAAGTCTGTTATCACAAATGAGTTTCCAATATGTTACACGAAACGTTCTTTTTATCAATTTTACTCTTGAAAAATCAGATGTCGCTTAGAATTTTATTAAATCAGCTAAAGTTTCAAGTTCATTATATCAACATGTCTCACGTCCTAACGATTGAAGTATCAGAACTGCACAGCTTGAGAATAAAGAGGGCAACCGTACACACATATGAATCACAACGCACTTGTACAAACAAGTTTTGTGTACCTTTTTTTTTTGGAAAATCTAGATTAATATTGAGCATTCAGATTTTTTAGCATTGTCTGTGATTGACTTGGTTGTACAATAAGTTCTCGAAAGCACGTGCATATACAAGCTGTCGAATGTCTTTATGTCTCCACATGTGTAATTTCCAATATATTTAAAGTATCAAAGCGTGCACATGAATTATGTGCATTCGGTGAACACCACAATAAATTCGCTCAGACGGGAGGCTAGTTTATGAAAAACAATACAAAGTTTTACTAACAGTGCAAAATTATTCGTGAAAATTTAAGGATTTCAATCATTAAAAAATCCGTGATAGTAGACAGTTGCTAGATCAATAGAAATTCGTGACAAAGCCGTAGACTGATAGGAAAACATTAGGAAATCGGCCGAAAAAATTAAACGAGAATTTTGCCAACCTTCATTTTGAAAAACATGTGAACCAAAAATAGATTTTTTTTTGTAAATTTATCTGAGATTATCCCCAAAATAAACGATATTGTAAACGATGATGTAAACTAAAAGTTTATGGAAATTCAAAATTCTTCTACATTACATAATTATTGCTTGTGTGAATTTAACTTTTTTCAAATTCTATTGAAATATTTATTAAAATTATAAATTGAATATAAATCAATAAATTTTCAACTTTTAAATCCTCCGATATGCGCGCTTATTTACTTATTTTGAAAGAAAAAGACCAAATTCTCGTCGTTTTTGAAGAATTTATTTCGTTCTTTTAATTTTAAATGTCAATTGCTGTCACTCCACGCCATTTTTTTCCTTCGTGTACACTGTACAGCATATTCGACAAAGTATTCTAAAATTTAATTAAACAAAGTGGTTGTATTTTTGTTACAATGACAAAGGTCAATCGCAGTAAGTGAGTCGTAGGCTTCGTTCGGTGTCACGCCGTAGCGTATCGTACATTTTGTTGATATCTTCCAATTTCGAGTTGATATTCGACGTGGATAGTTCGATCCATTGAAGCGATGTCATGTGAGCATTCAATATGCGTCCGATTTGAACGATTGGATCGTCGGAGTTTTGCAATTTGCTTACTTCATTCAGATGTTCAATCACTTCTTTCAGGTCCTCAGACATTTGACGCAATTGTGTGTCCAAATTTTCGGCCAATGAATATGTTTGCGCCTTTTCCAAATCGCTATGTGGTATTTTGTCGACGTCTTTCTTCAATGGTGCAATGAATTCTTCCAATTCGGTGTGTTGCGTTTCGATAAATTTCAACTCATCCTCTAGGCATTTCTGTTCACTTTTAACCTTTTCAACAGCATTGCTCAGTTCGACAATCTTTTTGCTGTTCTTGTTGAGCAGATTATCCCATGAATTCACTTGTGTCGCCTGATTGATGAATACTTTTTCTTGTTCCTCCAATTCCGATGTGTATTTGTTGATCATTTCTTCAATTTGAGAGAATGTCATTTGATTTCCGCCAACCGCTGTCGACTGTGTTGTTCTGGAATTGAGAATTCAAACACTTGTATTAGACGCGCCATTTAACAAGCGTAAACTTCATCTTCAACTTACGTTGTGCTTGAACTGAAACCAATGGCTGGACCGGCAAGATTTGTGGTTGCTGTACTGGCCACTATAAATTGAGAGCAAATCCAAATCAATAAGCAAATTCGTTCACAACAAAATAAAACATTAGTTAAAATTCAATTTGAAGTCATACCAGCTGGAATAGTTGGAAGTGATGCAGTTGAAGCATTTGACGATTGAATTGAAGCGCCGAATGTGGGTAGAGCTGGCTTTGCCGCTGCTGGTGTTCCAAATGATAATGTGTTCGATGCTCCGAATGCTGGAGCAGATGTGGCAGCCGATGTTGCTGCTGGTGCGCCAAATGAAAGAGTTGCAGTGGTTGTTGCAGGAGTTCCGAACGACAAAGATGCACTTGGAGTCGATGTAGCAGCACCTATGAATTGAATTATTGATAAGTAAGCGATGCGCTTGAATTTGAATGCAAACAAAGACATTACCGAACGTTGGAAATGCTCCGTAAACGGCAGTTGGTGCTGCAGCCGAGGCAATTGGTGTGGCTGATGCAGCTGCGCCAAACGTCAAAGTGCTGCTCGTTGCCGGTGCTAACAATGCGATTGAAACGTAGAACATTCGAATCATTTTCACTTGGAAATTGTCGGAAAAACCAGTGAATTTTGTTTTCAGAAAATGTACATACCAGCGCTTGATGCCGTGGCACCGAATGTTGGTGTGCCACCAAAAGATAACCCACCACCACCACCACCACCAAATGAGAAACCACCGCCCGTCGGATTCATGTTTTTTATATTGCTTTCTCTATTAAATATTGATAATGTTTCTAAAAACAAATGAGCTTCACGTACTTTTTCGAGGTTATGTGTCAAATCGAGAGTTGCACTTTAAGACAGACAATATGTAGTTTACGCGCTTTGTTTATCTGTATGTCCAACTGTCAGTTGAATGGCATTTCGAAAAGTGGCAAATCTACACACCGACGATTCGAAATTGTTGTTGGGATGGGGAGGAAACAGAAAACGCACAATTAAAATTACATGATAAGTGAAAATAGTTAATTTTTTGTCTCTTTTTTTATTATGAAAACAAGAGAAGACAATTTTTTCGACTGTGACATTGAAAAATTACTTTGTTTCTTTAAAATTTAACCAAAAATCCAATTTTTTATTCCATCACTGCATTATCTACTAGAAGATGAATTTTAAAATCGTTTGCCATCCGTTAAGTTCATGTGTTTCTGTTAGACGGTGAGCATCTTTTGCCAAATATCGTGTCGATTAACGCCATCCACTTGGATCGATTTGATGCCCAGAAGTTTACAGAAAAGGTAATACAAGTCAATGTTCGAAAATTCATCGTCGATTGTAACTCCGCTTTTGAAGCTCGGCCCTTTTGCTATGAAAAATGGCTTCATCGAAGGCTCCCAGTTATCGTATCCATGTACTCCATATGGACTATTCATTGAAACTGTAATTAGAAACAAATGTTTTTCATTTTTTTTCTGTAAATAGTATGAACTGGTTCGAGCTAATGTTTAAAATAAAACAATTACTTTTGATACCACTTTCATTGAAAAACCACTCAGCGAGATCAAACATATCTTGGAAAGCATACCCTGGTTCAGCAACTACAACACATGGTCCGAATCTTTGCTGATTTCGAACAAACCATCTATCAAGTAATTGTTCATCCGTGTACGCATTGAATGTATTTCCCACGGTCTTAGCTCCTTCCGTTAAATTTTTACATGCCTCATTGGCTTTACCATCACTGCAAATGACTTGAAGAACCGGCGATGTGCCGTACGTTTTGCACTTGTTTGCATTGATCCATGCATATAAATCAATGAAATTTCGTGGCGTCACAGTCAACATTCCATGATCAGAAAGAATTATAATATCGGTTATAGTATCAAGACCTTCCATCAAAAGCGATTGCTCCAGATAAACGACGAATGCATCTAATCTTTTAACCATATCCAATTCCTGAAGCAACATTTTCATAACACCAATTTATAATCAAAATATTTTTAAATTTCTATGGGAAAAAATAAACGAGCAAAAATCGGTAGAGAAGATTATGAAACAACTAAAATACCCGTTGCGAATCTGGACCATATCGATGGCCCTGTTCATCAGGTTCCTCGACATAAAACATAACAAAATTAGCTCCATTTTTCAGCCATTTCATCATCACGTCAGTTCTATCTTCAAGGGAAAACTTTTTATCGAGTGACATTTCAAACGCACATTTTTTCCCTTGATATGCAAAATCACTGCCGGGCCACATCATCACCCCAGTGCGACCATTCTGATCTTCGTTCAATCGCCAAATTGGAACCACACTTTCATTATAGTGAAACAATGGATAGGAATACTTGATGAATCCTTTGTCACGATCATACACCTCGTTGCCGGTAACACCATGATTTTGTGGATTCAAACCTATGAATATTCGGAATTCTAAATATATACTCAACAATAAAATTTACCAATGTTAATTTTGAAAAACAGTTTTTAAAAACGTTCGATCAAACGTTTAGTTTTGAATTAATTGTGGTCGAACCCGTTGCAATGCTGAAATGATTGACGAATGTCTTCGTTGGAAACGTGTTGTTCATACGAGTAGCCCGAACTCCGTTTTTGTAGAACATCTCCATAAATGGTGTGATTTGTTTATCCAAATAAGTTGGTTTGAATGCGTCGAATGAAATTAAAATTAGTTTGCGAGATGATAGAAGTCCATCAACAATGCGTCCACACAGGTTTGCGAACATCCAGTAGAAGGCGATTTGCGTGAAATTCATTATTGCTCTTGGATACACTTTTTGCTATAACTTCAGATAAAGAAAATCGCTTTGATATAACAGAACTGATATCGCCGAATGAATATCATCCAACTGCTTGCAACGCCTTATGAACGATCAACCGTTTATATAACAACTAGCTTGCTACATGCACGAGAACTATAAAACAAATATGTGCATTATTCTGACAATTTTGCCTAAGCATATTTGCGATCGAATTGTTTGCGTTCATGTTTCATCACCATGTTTTGGAAGAGAAGTTTGCGTTTGTTTGCTGAATGATCAAATTCAATATCAAATTCATTTATTGACTTTGGATTCAATTGAAAAAATTTCGTTTTATTTGCGCCTGTAATTAATCCTAAAACTTTGCCAATAATAATAAAATCTAATACTTTATTTACAATTATTTGTGGCTAAGCATATTCTTAACATTTTATACTTCGAACATGGCATCTTTCTGATGACGCTCATACACGTGTCGCGCTTTTTTCGGAAATTTTAGATAAATCCTTATTTTAGCGATAAGTTCCTTCATTGTCAATTTGTTACGCTTACTAAATATGTTTAAATAAATGCCTAGAACAACAAGCAAACCGGCCCAGATGTATCTGAAGAAAAAAAAAAATTAAACGCAATTATTATTAAAATTCATTGTAAATAAAAAATTAAGACGGTGAAGAATTTCCTCGGTGAATTGCATAGAAATAATGATTGTTTGAGTAAAACTATCAACTTACTGTACACTAAATGGTTTGCTGAAGAATAAAAATGATAGTGCAATAGTGACAGCTTTTCGTGCAGTGGTAACGGTGGCAGCGAGTGTCGCACCGCTTGTTCGAACCAATGTCAATACGAATTGAATCCCCAAATAACCGGATAAACTGAAGAGAAATGCATATCCATAGGTTTGTATTGGATACTGTAATAAACAAACAGAAATTTGTTTAAATTAATTAATAATGCAAAAATAAAATTGATTCCATTAATTGAGGCTTACAGTGGCACAAAATCGTAAACTTGGAAATAAATCACCGGTCAATGTTAAAACAATCAACAAATAAATGAAGCCAATTCCATAGGAGTAAAGAACAACTTCCACGTTGTTTGCTTTGTGCTCACGCATCGCCTTCTCTTGCACATTCCCAATCACAGCATCGAAGAGCAAAGCCGTTGATATCATTATCACACCGATCATATTGAAATTGGGCGATATGGTTGAATCCACTAAAAATATAGAAATCAAATGGATTGTTATAGGCAACATTAAAGGAAGATGTATATTAAAAGTAATACCTAGAGTAAATGTCGCCAAGCCGATGCACATGGCGATGGCAGCCATAAAGTCCAATGGACCATGGCTCTTTTTCTGTATCAGAATGCTACCAATCAGAACTGGCACCAACTTACAACACTTGAATATCACCTGAGTTGGATAATTTAAATAGCCTAAACTAGAGTTAGACAGTCCCATAGTACCGAGCGTGAGTAATGCGAGAAGGGCATATGTGCGCATTGGAATTTTTCTCACGCCACATTGTTCGGGATTCTGAATTCGGCGTTCGAAGTAACCAAAAATCGTATAGTATCCGAATTGGATAAGCGTCAGAAACCATCCGTACGGTTTAAATCCATCAAGTGAGAAAATCAACTCTTGGAAATATCCATATAAAATGTACAAAACAAAAACACCGATGCAACACAATATGAATTGTGTTTGTGCATTGTATTTGCTCAGATCAAAGCATAAGATGTGCATTCCTTTTGCCGCGGTCGAGCTATTCGCTGATTTTGTTTTCGGTCTAACATCATCGTTGCTAATTGAATTGGTCGTGTTGCTGTACAATGGAAGCGTATCTTTTTCATTGTTATGTATCATTCTAAATGCACCAAACCAATTTGAATTAGTGGTTTAGCACTAGGTTTATCGGGTCGAGTTTAGGATTTGCTTTCAATTGAACACTTATATGGAATACTTATAACATAATTTTTTTTTACTATTTGTTTTTTTTTTTGGTTGGTCAAAACTGATAACACAATTTTTATTGATATCACACGAAAGCAAAAAAGAAGAACAACACTGATTAAACACAACCAACGAGTATACTTTCCGTCAAATATAGAATGACATTTCGAAACTATTACACATGTACGGACAAAGCATATTTCGAAATGTCTACTTTAGAATGTTAGAATGGCGCGCGATTCAAATAAAAAATTACAAGTGTGTCGTTCATATCGAAATTGCATGAGCATGGCTTAGAATTGTCTTGAAATATGAATTTGAATACGTCTGATATCTTATTTGTAGTTTTCTTTTGAATAATTGATAAATAAACCTAAATTTGTGCCAAATTGCTATATGCTGATAAGCCCATACGCTTATTAAAGTGTCACATTTTTTCGACGTGAAAAAAGTGTGATTAATGCTGTGGTTGAATCATAACAATGAATATGTTTGGGTTATTTGTTTCGATTGGAAGATGCATGACATGCTTAATTAAATGAAAAAAAAAAGTACGAAATCCCTGCTGTCGCGTCAGCCACAATATGACACAGAACAAACAGAGTAAGATCTTGTGAAATGGCATATACAAGTGAAATCAATGTGAGAAACAGATATTGTTCAAGTTCATATTATGATTTGTTTGCGGGTATTTCTCACTCTCTCACACACACACGAATACACATACACACCCAGACTCCTCCACATCGCAATGACAAAGGTACTGTAAGTGGCGCGGGGCAATAAATAAAAAAAACACGTCGACTCGAAGAAGAAAAAAAAAAAACGTTCGAAACGCAACGAATTCAACTATATGTGTGTTCAACACATCTAGCTAACGTTATCATTCAGTGCACAATATTTCTGACCCTATTCATCGTATATTCGTTTCGTCAAATCGAAATTTCAATTTGAAGCATGCTAAAAACGACATTAATCAGCACAAGAGTGTTTGCATTGTTTCTGTTTGTTTTTTCTCTATCGCATGCGAGCACATGCTGCTTTCTCTCTATCTCCCCCTCTCGCACGCTCACATTCGCGCCTTTTGTGTGTCGTCCGTTTTCATTGCTGCTCATATTCCGTTCTACGAATAATGAAAGGAAAGAACACAGAAATTTTTTTAAAAACTTACACATCGACACAATAAATACACACTGGAATGAGGTAAGTATATGAGAGAGAGCGAGCAAACGCGCGCGAGCGGTTTGTCGGTTTTTCAGTCAGCGCAAATTTTTGACTTTTGAAATATTTACTTGGAGTATGTATACAAAAAATGATCGCATCAGTTAACATATGCCCGTTGTGTTGATCAGTATCGTGTTTTGTTGGCTATTTTGTTTTGTTTTATTTTTTGTTTTTTGTTCACTTCTTTGAATGAACCCCGACGGACAATGTACTTTTGCGAAACTTTTCGATCAATGCTAACAAAATGAATAATCATCGTTTTGATACAACACTCTGACCAAAGTAAAAAAAAAAAAAAAAAAATAAAGAATACAGATCAGATCGGTTGAGTGTTAATTTTGTGTGTCACACATCGAAAATACACAAAACAAAAATAAGAAACACATCGACATCGAGAAAATTGTGTGCATTTGATCGTATTGACAAGCTTTTTCGAACTGTGTGTAAAGAAAAAACCACAAAAAACAAAAAAAGAACGAGCACCGAACGAATTATTCAATTAACGGCTCGTTAGGTAATGATCGTTTAATATTTTTTTTTTTTTTATTGTCGGCGTTCATTGATATTGTATTTATGGTGGGTCATTAAAGAACGAACTTATGAGCTATCGCACATGAAAACGTTGGCAAACATTTATGTAAAATAACACTTGACTCACAAGCTTAATAATTTTTATTGCAAGTAAAAACTTATTGGCTTGGACAAACAATTGTCACCGTTGCATATTCATACGCCTTTTTTGTTGGTTTGTTAATCGCGTTTTGAGTGCAATTTTATGGTCCAGGAAAAAAAAAATGAACTGTGACTCGTAAGCGATATTGAATTTGCTTCGTTTATGATGTTTGCATTGGTTATGATTCAATTATATCGGTATGTTGTGCTAGTTCCTTGCAATAAATAAAATGCAATTGGAGACATTCTACTGACTCGGACTGTAATTGAAGGAGAAGGTTCTGCAGTCGTCTAATTTAAACAATATCATAAGGGATCATAACAAAATTTCATATTAAATATGAAAAAAAAAACACGTTGATTTGAAAATTTCTTGTTTATCAGCAAAACCGAGTGCGAAGTAACTGATTGAAAAAATCATGTAAAGTTCACATGTACTGAAGGAGAAAAGAACACTTTTCAAGTAAAAAAAAAACCGCTTGACGATAATTTTCAAATTTAGGCGACAACTTTTCTAGATTGTACGTTCTCAAACGGAATAAACCCATTCAATGAATACTGTGTAATTGTTTGCAACGGCTCGCAAAATCAAATGACATCTTGAATGGATTTTTGTTCATTTGCTGTGCAACGACTTAGATATAATCCAACTGTTTATATACGTTGAATCTGAAATGTATTTAACAGAGTGCAAATTTAACGCTAAATAAATAACGAACAGCCGATCATTTTGCAACTTCTTTCAAAGCTTCACTCCAGGTTCTTTGTTATGTTTGCACCTTGCAATGAGTTTTGTTTTCTATTTACATACCGTTGAATAGGTTTCCACACTCGTCTTATTATCTGTTTTTAAGATCTATTTCAAGTTTACTCATTTGTTTCAATACCTTACTGAATTCCGATGTTTATTTTTTTTTTCTCTGTTGTCGTTGTATTTTCTATTTCATTCAGAAGTTCAGGATGTCACACAGAATATAATGTTCTTAAGATGCAACGGCCGAACTAAAAAAAATTAAAGAAAAAAAAAAATCAAATAAAATGGAAGAACAGTCAAGCTAACGATTAGTCGTTGTACACACATAAAAATAAATTCGTTAAAAGTGAAATAAAGTTTTGAGTGTAAGTCAATTGTGTGTGTATAAGTAAATATCCTAATGGATCCGATTAAGATAATCGTTACAAATTCGGATACAACGTCCACAACACCAATTAACTCCCATTATCAACTAGCTCCAAATGAAATTGGATCAAACGAAGCGAAATCATTTGATGATATTACTTATAGTGCACCAAATATAAAATCGGCCAAACGATGGAATTTACCGCCACTGAAACTGAGCACGAGCGATCACAACACGTTTAGTGTACACAAAAATGAAGACAACGACCGAAGCGATGAGTTTGAGAGTAAAAAACCATTGCTGAACACCTTGCTTGGCAAATCGTATTTATCGTCACAGTCAACAACATCATTAAATTCCGGAAAGAAAGTGAAAATTTTACCATCATCGTCATCATCTCGAATCCCAGCCACGGTTGCAGGTGAGAAATCACTCGATTATGTTAGACACATTAAAATTTCATTGCGAATTTTTATTGTTTCTCAAACTCGGTTTTCATGAATTAAAAGCTATTTCGTTTTGAGAGGGAGATGGAGAAGGAGAAGGAAACAAAAAATCATACATTCTTCACTAATGATTTGAATAGTAATGGGAAACGCGATTTTCATCAAGGTCATTAAGCAGCTCATGAGCTTTGTTGTTTTTCTATCGTTTGGTGTTTCAAACGAAATCACAGGTGTAAAGTGCCAATTTTAGCATTGTTCTAATTTGTGTTATGATTTATGGCTAACCACAGCGATGGAATTAAAAAAATTTAGCCGTCAGCACTGATCCGCATCGTATTTTAATTTTTATTATTTGTCACTTGGATTAAAACATAATCATTTTCCATGGTGTGAAGCGTTTCTCCCACGAGTTTTCGCTGCCCGCGCGTTTCTGTTCGTTGATAATTACAACAAAAGGCTAATAATAGTATTTGGGCCGTCAGACAGCCATAATTCGATACATACCTAAATTATGATGAGACATTTCAAATATTATTCGGTATTTAACACGTGATATACCTTGTGTATTGTTCGAAATGCCGGCTATAAAATGAGCGAGAAAACATGAAAATTTTATACGTCGCCACAATGACGTGAGATAAAATGAAAAAAAAAAAGAGTAAGAATGTACGTAAACGTTATTCATCAGTCAATGAATTTATAAAGGGAGAAGTTCTTTTTCTGTGCACACGATTGTAAGTTACCGCGACTGGATCTCGTTCTCACAAAATTTACAATATTTTGTGCCTTATCTTGTGCTGAAGGTGCGCACACTGTATGTAATAAATTTAATTGCCCCAGCGCGATAGAGAAGAATTTGTTCGTTTGTTTGACGTGAAAAAAGCGCAATTTGTTATCTGCATCAAATGACGTGTTGAAAATAATCCTTGAATTTTGATTTGGATTTTTCACAGGTAGCCAAGTGGAAACCAAAGACGGCTCATTGATGCCAACAACACACCTAACTACATCGTATACATCACCACAACCGTTGCATACATTATTATCGTTGCCACGAACAAATTCCTTCGTATTCGGTGATTGCAATGGATCGGGCAAATTATTTTCGGATGCAACATCGATACGATCGTTGGCATCAATCGGCATGGGATCGACCGATGGTCGCAAAATGATCATTCGACGCGTCCCAAACACACCTGCCGAACTATTGAGCATTGTCAGTCCACCTGCGTAAGTATCGTGTTGAAAAAAAATGTTAGGCCATATATTTTCAATAACGTGACCCCATCCATCCATTCATCCATTCATTCATATTTATTGCATTCATACAAAAGAAGAAAAAAATTGTCAGGCGGTATTTGTGCTCAATCACAAAAGCACAACAAAGAGCTTAGCTATGCAGATAACGCACAAGAAAAAATGCAAACGATAAGAATAATATTACAAAAGACTGATGCGAGGCTTATATTCTTGATTTACAACACAAATACAAAATTCGCTGCAAATAACACACAGTACTCTAGTCTGATGATCATGTCGCCATTTCCATTTGACACAAAACACATTCATCAGCTGACAAAATATTGTGAATTTCTACGCCGCACATGACTCGATTTACACGAAAAACAAGTACAACAAAACGTGTGATGATTTGCTTGTACGACTAGAAAATCTTGGAGATTATTTGACATTTCGGATTGCTTTTGCATTGGATAGATACTTGAACTTCGCATTAAGGAACATCAACTAAAGTTTTTCATAGATATCAACGAATGAGGAGGGTTCCATAAATAATTGACATTCTTCTAGTAAACTCCCGAATTCAAAGTGGAAATCCATTTTATTTAAATGGAAAACTTTTTGGTTCTTTAGGTAATTTTGATTTGAATCTGTAAATGTTTCTAAAAAAAAAAGTGTGACTAATCTTTTAATGATTTAGAGCGTGAAATATGTCACGGGTTATTGAAAGACACATTGAATGCAAAGACATGGTATTCTACTTTCCTTTTCTTCGTGTGATTACACCGTTCGAAAAGTGATATCATTTATTGGCAGCCGTTTGAAGTACTTGTGATAAGATTTGTATTTCTTTTCGTGCACAAAATTGTGTACATTCAATTTGGGCGCTATTTCATTGTATAGTAAAATCGCACTTCAAACCAGTCGCGTCAACAGAAAGTGAATCAAATTCATATAAGTATTGTGTTGGAAAGAGACTCAAATAAAATGAAACAAATTAATTACAGGAAAAAGAATCGAGCAAAAATGTTGACCATATCTAAATATTACATCGATTCCGAAAATTTTTCTAATGAATCATGTATCAAAAAATCGCAATAAATCAATGTGAATCAACGAGCGGATATTCATGATTTTCTAACACCTCTTTCTCGCCAAAACGATCCATAATTTCCGTAAACGAAAACACACAAATTAAAGGTTGTTGTTTTTTGTACGTGCTGAATATCAACGGAATACACCATTATTACTTACATGCGAAGCATCACCATTCCAAAAAAAAAATAAAAATAAATGCGAATCAATTGTGTGTATATATGTTGTTATAGACTCTGTAGTAGGCATAGTGCACAACGAATGGAATGAGCATATAAGTAAAAACGATTGATGTTCAAAATGTCTCGTATTTGTCTATTTAATGATAGGAAGGAAATATTATTGTGTCTAACCGTAAAATGTACAACGATCCAAGTCAATGTTTGCCACATTCTTCGAAGCATACATAGTTGTGCACAATGAAATGATGCACGTCCAACGACGAAAATGAAATAATTTTTTGGAATTTATTCAGTTGCGTGCGATTTAACCTACATATTTTTGCCGAATAGTGCAGTATGGCACAAGAATCAAGGGAGTTATAAGGCAAGTGCGAAGTGTCAACAAATGAAAAAGTACAACCTATCGACGCAAAATATAAGTCAAGTATGCATTTTTTGTCTCTGCTTTATTATTAAATTAAACGACTTACAATTAATACAAACATTGGGCCAGAGATCGCTTCTATTAATTTACATCTCACATAGAAGCGATCGCTTGTGTGATATCGAGATCGAAACAATGCCATTCAGAAGGCCCATCTAACGAAATTGAACGGTACGCTTTGGTGAAACCACAATGCAATCCATTTTCAAATAGAGCGATTTATCTAAAATTAGGTCAACCCATGAATTGCATTTCAATTTTTGTCGCTATGTTCAAGTTCACCACACTTTTGAAGCGATGTCATTTAAAATGTGACCTTTGAAAGCGCGTTCATGGGTTCCGTCGAATTGATTGGTACTCTACTTCCTATAATCAAATGGATACAGTGCTCTTTTTTGGTTATCGCTGTAAACGCTTTCAGCTTTTCCGATTTCTTTCATTTGGACACAAAAAAGAGCAGTTGTTAAGATTATTAGGCATAAAGTATATATATTTATTTTATTGCCTTGGTTCAGTGTTCATCACAATTTCGTCATATGTTACCGTGAACCATTAATCTCTGGCCTGACGTGCTGCGAATTGTGTGTGACCGCAAATGTGTAAATGTGTATGCATTGTGCTTTATTTTGTATGTAAAATGGTCATTTGTTCTCATAATGATTTCCTCAATTGAAAAAAATGATTTCATAGCAGCAGCAGCAGTAGCAGTAGCTTTATCCAAATAGCACTAATAAATGAGAGAATGTGCTTATAAGTTGTGTACACTTTTGCGTGTGAGATTGTGTTCAATCTATCGAACATGATGATCTACTAAGCACAGAGAGACAAACAAAAAATGTCCAGCCGTGTGCACAATGCTAATGCTACCCATCACAATTGTTGTCATATGTATGACGTTTGCATTTGTAGCCAACCTCCATGAAATCATATGATTTTCTCACAACCGAAATTCATTAGAATGTTTGCGCTTCTTTTTGGAATATGTGACCATTGGTATTACTTTCCATCATATAGAACAAATAAGCGGTCTGAGAGAACAGTGGAAAGGGGTATATGTTGACAAAAGATCTTCTTCACACAAGCACAAAGGAATACCAAAATAAAAAATCAACAACATAAATTTATGAATATAACTTCCGTAGTGCAAGCAATATATCAAGTTCTGACTGGTGCAGTTAGGGATTTTAAGGTTCAATTGCATAAGAAATAAGGCATTGTCATTTGATGTTACCATCATTTAGTTTGATCATCAAAAAGAATTGCAATGACTCGCGCTCTTAACGCGGCTAATTTAAAGTGACTTACGAAGTAATTGATAAAAATTGCAGCTGACTGAATAATAATCGAAATGCCGTATACTTCCGGATGTCGGTTAGTTTTTTGGTATGTTTGTGTGTGTGTTTCGATTACAAAACCGCATCTCACTGACTCCTTGGTTCGAATGATTTTTAATTACTTGCCACGGAATAGGTATTATTGCTTTTGAATGTGGCATATCATTCCCTTAAATTGGTTAAATTTCATAGGAAATTGATGTTGGCAAAATTCACCTCATTATTTTACTACTGCCTAGTGTACAAATGACGTTTTCATTTTTAATAAATGAATTTTTTTTTGTCAATAGTCAAAAGCATCAATTTTCAATAAACTGAAGTTTGACAAGAGTGTCTCTTTTCATTGATTGCAACCCGATTGCAGTTTTGTCAATCAGAGGTATAATTAGCTGCTACATGGCACGAAATCGGATTACCATGATCTTGAAATATTGCAACAGCGTTAACCGTGGCTAACGAACAGCGTTTAATTGTAGTGACAAATCTCTAATAAACTATGGAACAAACTACTTGAATTCACATACGACATTGTCGCCGCGTCGAGGTATCGAAACCATGAGCTCTGAAATGTGCATTTGATAAAGAATGCATTTATTAGTATTAATTGCAGTTAGTTGATCGCTGTTCATTGGTTTGCAGTGGTTGTGTGGCAAATAGCTGCCGCGCATTACAGAACAGATTGACATTCTGCACACGCCAATCTAGTTTGTGCAGCAGTTGACCTTTGTGGTGGGCTCGTATTTTCCATGCACTTGATTGTTTTTCATGTGTTTTTAAATGTGCATGCGGTGAATTGCTCTCAGCTGGTTACGTGGTTGTTGCGACAGTAATAAACGCATTTCGATTTGCAGCCGAGAATCTCCGATCGTAAAAGTGATGATTTTTTGTTGCCACAACACATGATAATTCCACGCGCGTTTTATTTTCAGAAGCATATTGAATTTCTGTTGAGATTTTTAAAAATAAATGTAAACTATACTGAACAGAATGAAAGAAAAAAAACCTAAATAAAGCTCTCGTACAATGAATGTATTCGAAATGAATGGGCAAGCGGAATAATGAAACGTAATTCTGTTTTTAAATGAAGTGCCTCTGAGAAAAATTTTCAGTAAAAAAGCCCCACAAAAATATTGTCTGAATAAGATTTTCATACAAATTTTTATCAGACAATATTTTTGTGGGGCTTTTTTACTGAAAAATTTTCTCAGAGGCACTTCATTTGAAAACAGAATTACGTTTCATTATTCCGCTTGCCCATTCAAATGTCTGTTCGATTGCATATTTTCTTATCGCGAAAACATCTCGTTTTTAATTATCGATTGTGGTCACCTGTTGAATGGCGATAGCAATAATATTTGTTTCATGTACAAAGCCGGCCATGAGCATACATTGAAACAAAGCAAACAAATAAAATTCGTTGACAAATTAAATGCAAATACTTGAAATTCAAAAAAACAAATGCCGGCCATTACAATACATATGGAGGTGACTGATCGTTCTGTCTCGAAGAGATGAATTGTTTTAATCCGACGTGAATTTTATTCAGTAAGTGTAGAACGAAAAAGAAAAATTCACACTGAATGATAGATATTTGTGTTTACTGTCGACGTCAAGTTTATTTTGGAACCGCAGTATTTACCGACACATATTTTATTTGCGTTTTATCATTATTTGGGTAAAATTTTGTTTCGCTATATATTTTTTTAAATAAATATCACATCATGTACTATCAATTGAATAACAACTTGAGTTGTTAGCTTTTCTTATTAGCCATGCTATGGATCGATTGTACAATTTCACACGATAGTCGCACAATTTGTGAGTTGAGACAGACGAACACAAAGAAGAAGAAAAATCGAAATAATACTATTTCATCACTCCTAAATTCTTGTGTGTGCAATTATATTTGGAATATGTTAAAACATTTTCGTTATGGTCATAATAATTTATGTCTTCAAACTGAAGCTCAGTCAGAACTATCGAGTTTTGTAAGCAAGCACATCAATTGATTGATTTGCCTTAAATCGCATTTTGAAAGTGAAATTATTTGGAGAGATTGTTCTATTTTGTTTTTTCATTCGATTTTCGATGTTAGTTGAACGTTAGCATGAAAACGAAAAATTCGATTGAAGTTGGAAGCGTTTTTCGCACGCCCAACGGTGTTCCAGTCTACTATAAGGTCGGCAAACTGTAAGTTTTTTTTTTTCTCGATAAGTGCGATCGATTATGCAATTTTGATCTAAGATGTGGAAAGATTAAGTGCAACTCACTTGTGTGATTAACTCATGATATTCATTAGGATAATATGATGAGCGATTAATTATAATGTGTTGTTTATTTTCATTATGTTTTTGTATACATTTCTGTGTTCAGTGTGCCCGAATTTGATGATCGCGATGATAATATAGCTGACGATGAATCGGATATTGGTCACTTGAAACCAAAGCGTCAACAATGGTCCAGTAAGATGCAATTTGTGCTGGCGTGTGTCGGCTATTCGATTGGATTGGGAAACGTTTGGCGGTTTCCCTACTTGTGCTATCAAAGTGGCGGAGGTGTATTCTTAGTACCATACTTTATAATACTGTTCGTGTGCGGTATTCCGATGCTGTTCATGGAATTGGCTGTGGGCCAATACACGGGCAGGGGACCGATTGGCGCGATCGGACAGCTGTGTCCGTTGTTCAAGGGTTTGTAAAACATATGTATTTGGACATTTATTCGTAGAACAATAGATGATTTCTTTAGTAAATTGCTCTTAAATTCAAATTCTGACTGAATTCTGAAAATTTTTACGTTTTTTTTTTGCTTGTTATTAGGAGCTGGAATGGCTAGTGTTGTGGTTTCATTTATTATGTCCACATATTATAGTGTGATAATAGCATATGCTATCTACTACTTTTTTTCTGCATTCAGACCCGAAACACCATGGCTAGACTGTAAACAAAGGTAATCATAATGCTTCAAAATAATATCTGTTTGCTAAGGAGCATCATTCTATTTCTCGTTTAGATGGGCAACACCGGATTGTTGGATACCCGCACGATTAGAAATGAATATGACTAGACCAATTGATTCGCGAACACCATCCGAAGAATTTTTTGAGTAAGTTCATTTTATTTTCGGTGGATGACTGAATTTGAAAATCTGTTCATATTGGATTCGTTAAAATCTATACGTGAATCTGATCTGAAAATTTCAGGAGAAAAGTTCTTCAAATGAGTCAAGGTTTAGAGTATCCGGGTGCAATGCGTTGGGATTTGGTGGCATGTTTGATGTGCGCTTGGATCTTGGTGTACTTTGCCATTTGGAAATCAATAAAATCATCAGCAAAAGTGCGATATTTTACGGCGACTCTACCTTTCATTTTGATTATCATTTTTCTGGGGCGTGCTGTCACATTGGACGGAGCACAGTTTGGATTACGATATTTCTTCCGACCAAATTGGTCGGCGCTCGCCAATGCAAATGTTTGGATCAATGCGGCCGCTCAAAATTTCAATTCGCTTGGTATTGCGTTCGGTTCGATGATTTCGTTTGCCAGTTACAATAAATACAACAATAATTTCCTTCATGATACGCTGGCCGTATCGTTTGTCAATGGAATCACCAGTTTGTTGGTGGGCATCTTTGCATTCGCCACCATCGGAAACATTGCCCTGGAACAAAATACAAATGTGGAAGATGTCATTAGCGATGGTAATTTGATCGCATAAATTTTTATTTAATCATCTTTTATTATTGGTTTACCCTTGCATTACAGGACCCGGTTTGATTTTTGTCGTTTATCCACAAGCAATGTCCAAAATGCCATTGGGCCAAATGTGGGCTGTTCTATTCTTCTTCATGCTACTCTGTCTCGGTTTAAACAGTCAGGTAAATTTTGGGATCGTTTACATATATAAATTGATGCTTTATGCCGACTCCATGCTTTATGTCCCAACAAAATAATTTCACATGAATGAAAAAAGAAGAAGCAAAAAAAAGACGTGTGTGTACTTTCCATATGCAACTTGGGCTTTCATTATTCAATTTAGTGTCATTCAAATAAATTTTCTAGTCCATCACAACAACAAGATTAATGGATTTCATTGACATTTCGTGTAATTTAAATGTTATAATATTCGATGTAATTTACGAGCACGCAACGTATGATATAACTTGTTGAAATTGGAAGCAACGAAAAAAGAGCAGTTTTTTTTTATTATATTACTGTGAAAGCCACACGTGACGAAAAATGAATGTTCTCTCAATTATATTTCGGCGTATTTCACAAAACTTCAAAATTGATCATACACAGCATGCAATAGTATCATTCAGTCTGCTTAATTCTTTGCAAGCAAATTTTGATCTTTATTGCGAAAACATTCTTTCGAAAATACTCAATTTTGTTTACTACTTCCATTGAATTGACTTAACTTTTGATCAATTGAATTTTTGTCGGTTCATTTTTCTCTCTCTTTCGTTTATAGTTTGCAATCGTTGAAGTGGTAGTTACATCAATTCAAGATGGTTTCCCGAATTGGATCAAATCAAAACTGGTTTACCATGAGCTGTTGGTTTTGATTGTGGTCATAGTGTCATTTTTCTTCGGTTTACCGAATTTGATACAGGGTGGCATATACTATTTCCAGTTGATCGATCACTACGCAGCTTCTGTATCGATAATGTTTTTAGCCTTCTTCCAAATAATAGCAATTTCGTGGTTCTACGGCGTGTCTCGACTTTCGCGCAACATCAAACAAATGACTGGTAAAGTGCCATCACTCTACTTCCGTTCATGTTGGCTCATCATCGGACCATCTTTATTATTTGTGAGTATGAATTGCTGTCGAAAATTTCGAAAATATTCAATGCAATAATTTACGCACCGAACTCTAAACGTTTCATTTTTGTTTTTTCACTCATTGGTTGTGTTGATACACATTTATTCCGTTCGATTGGTGCAGGCATTGGGGATATTTAGTTTGTTCAGTTATGAACCACCAACATATGATAACGGTCACTACAAGTATCCCGCTTGGGCACATGGAATCGGATGGAGTTTTGCGGCAGCTTCACTTGGCTGCATTCCAGTATTTGCTGTGATATCAATAATCCGTGGCGAAGGCGATACACTATTTCAAGTAAGCGCGCTTCCATATTTCCATTCAACCGCAAACGGACAATTGCCGCGATTGGTGGTTTAAAAGAAAAAAAAAACGGTGTTTATTTATTATTGTTTTTCCCATACATTGCAGAAAATACGAAGCGCAATTCAACCAAATATATACGAATGTAAATTTTGTGGCGAACATCATTGTGATCAGCATGATTCGCCTGACATGCAGAGTGTACAAGAAATGCTCACTATGTATCCGCAACAAACGCAACCCAGTATCGTGTTACAAGCACCGCCACCCAATCGTAAAGCAGCTTATCCACAAAAATACGACGTCGAAAAGAAGTCTCAGTTACAAAATTAGGAGAAAAAAATAGAAAGAAAAAAAAAACAATACATATTCGTTGAATGTTCAAATGCATTAGTTGTACTGAATTTAAAAGAAAATCATGTTGTTACCAAAAACCGTACTTGTTTTGTTCAACTCTAAAATGCTCCCTTCTCGTCGACTTTTTCATGCTTGACACTTTGCACCTTTTCTAAAAACATAAATACTTGGTGCGAATTTCGAACCAAGCCGCTAATTGGTACCATAGTTTGAAAAAAACATTTTCTTTTATTCATTCATGTTTTTTTAAAATCTTTTTCTTTATCATTTCAATTTTTCAAATATGATACAATTCTAATGGCAATTCTATGAATCAAAATGTCATGTTTTGTTGCAAATGCTTTTCCCCCCAAAAAAAAAAACGTTATATATTTTTACGATAATTAAGTTAGAGGTAACATTAATAGCAAGTTGATTGATTCGTTCACTTTCAATTTTTTTCCCACTTAAAAAGAAATCGAGTTCAAGTCAATTGGAATATTCGATGTTCGTCGGATGAGACTACTACTTTTTCACGTATGGATTGGTCGAAAAGAATGATTGAGCACCGGAATATGCGTTTGTCAGCAATGAATGATCTTTCCATGCACTGAGATCAACCGATGGAATGGCTGAGCAAGGAACAATTTCATTTCTGAAAGAAAAGAACAACAACATTCATTTGGAGTTACTTCGCTTCAACAAACAAAGAAGAAGTTTGGCATTATGTAAATAAAATAAAGTTGGCTTACGATTTCGACACGCGTCTGAAGGCTTGCGGTTGTATGCTGTTCACATGATTGCTGTTGTCGCATAACAGACGAGCCACGCTTGCTTTCTTCAGCTCAATCAATTGGCCTATAGACGAATGGATAAACGAATTAAAATGATTGGCTGATTGGTGTTAATCAAATTTTGAATCCATTAGAGTCCACTTACTTCTTGAGAAGGCGATTTCCTTGTCACCTCGTTCAAAGAAGTATCTGTCACCAACACGTGTACGATAGAATTGCTCGGTCAAAATGCACAAGAACGTTGGTCCGGCCAGTGTGCCTTCAACGTGTGCCTCAAGCGATGCGCCAACTGTTAAATCAACATCCTCAAAACTATTGTAAAGTGTTTGTAGATTTTCAATGCTCTTTGGTGAAATTAAATCGAGAAAATCTTCCCATCGTTCAGCACGGCGTAGGCCGCAGAATTCACGATAATCATTATAGCTTGCTAAACCATGATCACGATTCCGTTGGATATCGATAGCACGCAGATCGCCGCCAAATGGCCTATTTCGACGGAAGAAGAAATGTTTGATTTCGGGGTCGAAATTGATGTCTGTCAATTGCTCTGGTTGAGTGCTCAGGCCACGAATCAAGAAATCGTAATTGTCTCCCGCTTCAATAATGGCTGGCCTATTGAACCAATCGCTCATGCGTAGCGACCCAGTGCTCGATCGATGCTCCGATATCAAGCTGAAAATAAGCGATAGAATCGAATAATGCGATTGAAAATCCATACACAAACTTTTCAAGTGGAACTATAATTCATCCAGTTGTCTAATGTTCTACTCACTCGAGTCTTCCTTCAATTTGCGAATGGAAGTATCTGAAGGCGGCGGTGGCATGGGAATTCAATACCGACGGATCGATTGTTGTATCGTAATCGTTCACATAGCTTCCTGGCTCGATTTGGTAAATCAAACGATTTTTAATCATGTTCGCAACGCCCAAGAATATTGGCAACCATTCGTAGTAAGAGATTTGTTGAAATTGAGCGATATTTATGCGTCTTGCCTCTTGGTATGTTAGCTCATCGTCCCAATGTGGATTGATTTGTTGTAACACATCAGCAATACGATTGTGTTCACGCATCAGAATAATTTGTAGAATGGTTAGCCCTGGATTTTGGTTTGTACGCACATCACCAGTACGATAGCAAACTTCTTCGGGATCCCGAGTGTCACATGAAGCAGTTGAATTTTGTGCTTGTGGTGGCCATTCATAGCCACGCCTTTCAAGAACTGCCCTGTTGGAGGAAAATGTTTAAGAATATTTTTTTTTCGTTAAATTTAATCGATTGGTGGTCATAACGCCCTGGACGGACAGCACACAGTAAAAAAATAAAAGTCCACATCTAGCCGTTTTTTCAGCTAAAAACGCATTCAGCCGATATTGCTGCTAGTAATTTGAGCTGCAGGCGAAATTCCGCTTAAAATCTAGTCGGTTTTTCGTCTGAAACTCAATTTACTAGGCAAAATATAAGACTGGGCGCCTCTACCAGTCGAAAATCCGCCTAAGTGTGGACTTTTATTTTTCACTGTGCATTTTTAAAGGTTGAGGTAAAAAATTAATATCTTCTTAATCAATTTAACGTACATTCTACCACCGTGGAATGCTCTGATTGGTTGATTTTGTTCATCGTTATTTCCATAAACGAGGGACAAATCCAAATATGATGTGACCACTGTTAACTGTTCGGCCGGATGTTGTGGCAATGTGTCTGGACAATTTTGGTCTTTATCCGTTAATGTTCGCACAAAATTCATGCACTGAACATTCGTCTGGGAATGTGCAGGATCATTTTTTGGAACGATTATCGGAAAGCACGTTTTATGTGCGTTTGTTGTTATAAGTTGACCTTCATCCGTACAACAGCGAGTACCATGTTTCTCTGAAGTCAGAAAAGAATTAGTTTGGAATACAAATTACGAAGAAACAGGCCGCAACACCTCATCAAAAATCATGTCAAATTTAAAAATTTAAATTTGTTAACATTTTTAATATGCAAAGAAAAACATATGTTCAAAAGTGTGCCAGCCATTTTTCTTACTTGATTGAGTGGATCCGGCCAACATCGACATATCGTGTGTCATGATTTGTCCCCATTGCATATTAACTAATGTGAATTGCGGATCCGCTACATCTGCCTCACCAAACGCAATCAGCGACACCAAACGAGAATTTGGCAATTCTTGTCCAGTAATCGAAATGGTTGGTGAAGAATACCCATCACCATAACGAGGCGATAGGAGACGTGAATATCTGGAATAATTTAAATTCTTCCGATTAAATATGATTGACAAATAGATAAGCTGAGTATGTGATTCACCTGGTGTTGGCCGATCCCCAAATCGGATTCTGTAAGTTATTGCAAGTTCCGTCTAGCGTACGATATGGCGATCTAACACAACGCTGCGGCGATATGGCACAACGGACACCGTTCGATAGCTGCGTTAACTGCTTCGGATATGCTGGGCCGGCTATTAAATTGCTATAAAATGCACATGAATTGTTGTTAACGAAAAAATTGAACATTTTCTACATAAATATGATGATAGATAAAATATTTCCTTGTCTGCACCGAATAAAATTGAGCGATACATTTCGAGGCACACAAAATCAAACCACACTTCAACTAGACACAAGCGAAATGCATTCCTGATTTATATCGAATTCCCATATCAATCAAAAGTGAGTGTAAAGTCGGTAAAATATGTATTTTTCCACGTGAATTAAATGATGAAAATAAAACGTAAACACTTCGGTCATAAAATATACCGGCTTTTAACGAACATGCAATGCTTTCCAAACATTCGATTCGTACGTTACATTATATGTTCGGTGAGTCAATCTACCTTGAGAGCCATCGCTGTTTGGTCTGCGGCGGAATAATATTGATTTATATGCGCTAACGGCATAGAAGTATCGACAGTAAAACTTGTTAAGCAGTGTTTATGATATTCGATTACAATTCATAACTGTCTACTTCAACTTCTACTTCATTTAACTATGTGCAAAAGTATCACGCCAACAGATTAATCTCTGCAATCGTTCACAATTTCGTTGTTTTTTCTTTCGGTTTGAAATGATTCAATTCAGAAGATAAACCGACGATGATTCAATTAAAGATTATTATTATTGATCATGCGAATGGAAAGCATATTTACCTAAAAATCGATCTGGTACCGGTATCGAGATAGCTATGAGTTGTGCTATGAGTATACCCCAAAAAGGCTGGTTTCTTTGGAAAATAGGTGGTGTATTGCGATTGTGATGGTACATGATGTTGAATAATTTTATATGATGTCGGTGCTACTTGTGATGATACAATTTGAACGGCAACAATCACATTCAATATCGTGATTGGAATGAGCCAGGCATGCATCTGTAAATATAAATTGGTATTCAAGTATGATAGAGATAAATGAATGATAATAAAGCGGAAATGACACCCACAACAAGTCACAATCATTTGTTGAGCATTTGAATTCGCACATTACAATTCGTTCATACTTTTTGCACCAGCAAAAAATACCTTTCAATCGTACAATTGCAGGCAATATATAAATAAATTTTGAACTGAGAAAGAAAAATGTGCTGCTAACCTACAATGCATAAACATATCGCTCATCTTAGATTAATCAGCTTGTAGTACACGAATTCCAAAGATTTCGATCAAACACACGCATTTTTTTTCGATCCAATTTGTAGTGTTTGATGTTAATTGAGATTTCAATTATGAAACATCATGGATTCATTGTAAACACACAACACGAAAAGATAAGAGATTGTATGCGATTAAATTATTACGTTGTAAAAATATTCCATATACTTTTTATATAGTTTGCTATTGCAATAACTAACAACACAAAATTGCAAAGGGAAATTAAGAATTCAAATTGAAAAAGAAATAGTGTTTCAATTTAAAAAATTGCTCATTTCCAGGAATTTAAAATTTTGAGCAGAATTAGTACATTGTTGAGTGTCATAATTGAGTGACGAACGGCAACAGAAAAACGCGCTACATCATACACCCACCCCCATGTGAACTATGCACATCAAATCGATTGGCAAAACCAAAGCTATTTTATGTATACCAAAGCTATGATATGTAAGCCAATAAATGCGCATATATCGCATATGCGATGCATTCAATACTTCAACAACAGCTAATTATTTACATTTCCCGCGCTTGATCTTTCATTTCCCGGATAAAGTGTGGTGGATTATGAAATCTAAAAACAAAAATAAGTACACAGTTTCAGCATTGTGCAAAGCAACTGCTTTGGATTCGGAAACATCAAAAGGCGATACTAAGAAAAACAAATGATTCAATGCGTTTTCCCTTTGCGGATTCATTTGTTTGCGTAATGTATCAATTTGAATGTAATTTGTATTTCTTTCTTTTTTTTTTGAAACCGATATATTGAACACTGAACGTATTCATAGTTTTGAAATGCTCGGTAGTTGCGAAACAGCAAGCAAAAGAAAACAATAATCCCTTAATCCTGCGAAAATTTCCATAAATACTGCATTTGTTTGTCGACGGAAATCACTTTCTTCATCCTTTTCTAATGATCGAATACAAAAGCAAAAGAAAACTACGGGCTCTGCCAGTATCACAGCACAAGTTTTCGGCACATTTGATACACAATTTTGAAAATTTCAGAAGCAAATAATTGTTTTTCTTACACTCTCGGAGAGGGGCAGCTAATTAATCAATTGCTACAGTTATTTCATGCTTGAGATAGTGTAACATATTATGTGTAACCAAATTGCCTTATTATACATATATATATATATTGTAATCCAATTAATAGAATTCAGTAGCATGTCATTGCATGCGAAGAATATTACTATTGTAATTTTGTGCCAACATTAAGCGCTTAAGACAGCACAGAGAGCACATAAATTCAACGTGATTAATCCCAACGAGTGTGTTTAAAATTAAGCGTGTACGCATAAATTGCACATTGGTTCACAATGCGCATTTAATGTATGTGATTGCTGATTACATTGCCATTTGCATTTGATGCAATATCGTAAACTCAATATAACAACTGTATTAACATGCTAAATACTCGAGGAATTAAAATCTCGTGAGCTGAACTGACATTGTTGATGTAAGAAAATGCTCATGAATCCACCGACTAATGCTCGAAAAGATTTCTCTTATTGTATATTGATCATAGGCTTTATTATTACTCAATTATGCGTTTGCTCAAATTTGGAAGTTTTTCACATAGTTATGATCAACAAAGAAAAAGAGTTATTAAATATTACGCCAAGAAATGACCGTGAATTGAAAACGGGTGTGTGTGTGTGTGTGTATGTGAATGAGTGTGATCACGTGTAATTTGATTACAGTCCAAATCATATTTCGAAACAGTTTGGAATTCTTTCGGTAATTTGGTCAACAAGGTGATATGAAGCCGCGCGTCTTATTTGTTTCTTTATGAAACTGCTCAACATAATTAAATAGAAGAAATGAAGCGTCAAAATAATGGCCACATCGAGGGTGGTGCACATTATGCAATTTGCTCGTAAAACACATCATTTATGAAAATTAATTCACTGAACCGTATCCAATAGTACGGTATTTTGCTCGAATACAACCAATCTAATTGGTGGTACTGCACGGATCGTAGTAGCAAATACTGTTATACATATTCACTTACGGTTACATGTGTGTTGACACATTTTTTTCGGTAAGCTAACACAAAGAAAGCCAGAATGGAGCTAATTTGTATTACATGCGGTTCAATTTTCCCTATTCTTGCACAGTTGAAATCAGATATGAACGAAGGTGAGGCAAAGGGTCATTCTTTACTTTGTAGCTGTTGATAAACTTTGGATTGAAGCAGAAATGTTGTTAATGAATTCCATCAATTCCAATTCTAATTCCGATTCGAAGGCAACCAGCAGCGGTCATAACGTGATTCAATGCGATGTTAGTTCTACAAATGCTTATCTAGCTCAATGCATTGAACAAACACAACATGTACAATTAAAAGAAAAAACCAAAAGAACGTGACACGAATACAAGCTGTAATCGAATCGAAGAAAATGCATTCGCATTTATTTTTCTCCGGTGTCTGTGTGTCGGTTTGAAAAATCCGCACACTTTCAACCAAGTCATGTATTTATTTTATATATTAAGCAATTATTTCCTATGATTGAGGCAGAGTTTAAGTGACGATATGGTTTGGAATTCAAGTGTGAATGAAACAATTTGGAAAAAAAATATTTTCAGACTTTTATTTCTGTCTCTCTACGAGGGCATGTGTATGTTTCATTTTTCATGTGGAGCGATTATTATGAATTCAAAAAGCCGCGATTCGAACAAGAAAACAAAAACAATGGTGAAATATCAGCAGGGTGATCGTTAGACGCGTGCGCATGCGCACTTCGGTTCGATCACATAAACCACAGTAATCTGTGAGTCGAGTATATTACACTTATATATGTATCCAGTGAATGGTATTCACTCACAAAAATGCATGCAATTAGGTTTTAACATGTCATAATCATCAAAAAAAAGTAACCATTTTCTTTTGTTTCTAAACCCGTTCAAATTTGTGAGAAAATGCAGTCAATGAAATGGATTGCATTGCATTATTTGCTTAAGACGCGTGCGGATCAGTCGGCTGATTTTGATAGAGCCGCTCGCATTTCAAACGGCAATAATTTCTCAGGGAAAATATTGAAATAAATGTGATCAACAACAGCAGGCAACATTTCAGAGACACAAAACAAAACCGTTTCGATTGTTGTGAGCAATCGAAGAAATTAGCATATATGGTGGCAGTAAGAAAATGAATTCATTTTACATAAAATGCATAGAGGGTGAGCTAGCATTCAATTAAAAAAGCTCGGTGTTTAATTGGTACGTGTCTGTTTTGGGTTAATTGTTGTGAGAAGATCTTTCCCTCATAAGCGTGAATCGAATCAAAGGAGAGTTCCTCCTGAAAATTGTGCACAAAATACAAAACGATCGTGTAATTGCAATTGAATAATAAAATGCATATTAAGCGGATTGACCGCTTCGGCTACGCTGAAACTCCAGTGTTTGAGTATGCATTATCTAACCATAGTTGTAAGTCATTGACTTACATGACGTCTAAAATTCAATTGCCAAATAAACGCATGTATGAAACCCCCAAAATTAGCGGTGGAGATGATTGTTTTTATTTAGGTTTCATGGCGTGTCTGCATCGCCGCAAAATTCTTTCGCTTTTTCGGATAATGAACATTTTTGAACAGGAACCAATTTTATGCAACTGTGTGTGTTTGCGCGCGCAGACAAATGCCACCGAACAATATAAAAATGATACATGCAACAAAAAAAACTAGTGCTCGCAACAAAATAAGAAAAAATAAAATAGCAATAGACGAGCAGAGCGTAAGATGAAGTACATATATTTGCATTCAAACAAGTTTTGTTTTTCTTTCTTACGAAGACATGTTGCAACCACTAATTATGTGCTGGCATTCTTTTTTTTTCGAGTTTATTTCATTTAATTCAACTATTTTTAATTGCTAATCTCTCTTATTGTTCCCGTTAACTATAATAATTTTGGCGAATGCTTGCATACGTATGATTTACCATTATTTCCGACTTTGTTCACACAGACGATTACTGAAATATACAAATTTTAAACCATCTAACTCTTTCACTCATTTCGTTTGGATTATTGGAAGAAAAAACAAAATGAAATGTCCATAACACAATGATCACGCACACATTGCGTGGAATATTATTGGAGCATTCATTTTTTACGATCTCACACCGTTATAAATGTTAACTTCATTTTTCGCCCTTTCATCAAATTTCGGCAGCTCCATTTACGATGCGTAATCTTTTATAATATCCAACCAAACCATATAATTGAGCTCATTAAGCGAATTAAGAGTATTTTTGGACAAAAATTTACTTGTACTCATCATCACACTCACACGCCCACTTGCACCAAAAACGAACGTTGTCCAATGACGATATTTTAATGGGTTTTAACACTTAATTCACAAATTGTCCACCTTTGGAACTCGCCCGACGAGAAATTTGCGGTAAAATTGGTGTACGCCGACACTCCGTCGCATATCCGCGGAAACTCGCAATGCGAATAGAAATCCACAATGAAAGTTGCCGCAAAATGTTATCGCTGAATACCCGGCGACTATTCGCGCTGCGAACAACAGTACAGTTCCAACCTGAAGTTGGCTGCGCATGACATTTCAGAGTATTTGCATGGTAATCGCCAACTATCCGCAATGCGATTATTCGCAAATTTCTTGTCGGGTCGGTTACACTCACATGCTAACAAAAATGTGTGTATAACTTGTTATATGACTTCACAAAATTTAGTGTTCAATGACTCTGCTCTA